GTTTATTTCTGTATTTGTCTCTGTCATAGGACAATGCATGCATCTTCCCTTCTGGTATTGTTGCCTCCCAGCTCTTTCATCTTCTTTCTTCTTTTTTTTTACTATGATTTTTTTATTTTATTGTTTTATCTTCCCGCTTCTGCTCCCACTCATATTCATCAGATTTTCCCTTCTCTGTTTTTGTTCCTACTCTTACTCCTTTTGACAATGTCTTCCTTCACATCTTCCTCATTCCCTTCTTCATAAGGTGAATAGAAATGACAAAAGAAGAGAATATGTTAAACAAGTAAAGTTAGAGCTATTTCTGCACAGCCATGCCCAGTAAAGAAAACTCCAGCTGCTGCCAGTGCCTGTTCTTTATCACCCATGTGGAATCATCCCATCATTACTAATGTAATTTGAAAATTACTCTTATCCAAGACAAAGGCTGCACTGTTCTTTTCACAAAGTATTGTTGGTAGGTTAGCAGTGATTTATAAATATATAATTAGGATTGATTTTTTTTTTCTTAGTGTTTTCTTCATTGCTCAATCCCCTTCTAACCTTCATTGACTGAAACCAGATGCTTAAATCACAATCTCTGATTCTGCAGAATTGATCTGTTTTTCACCACACTTAGCATTGATTGGGTATGGAATACGAATTATTTTTCTGATTCATGTGCACCCAAAGCTCTTTCAGTTGGGGACCATGCAGCATAACTTTAACTCAAGTATTTAATTGAAAGGAATGTGCCAGGCTGAACAAAGTAGCACATACCTTCAACTCTGTGGTGATTGTAGGTAGGAGGATCAAGGTCTGAGGCTGGCCTCCAGCAATGAGCACAAGACCCTATCCAAAAAATAACTAAAAAAGAACTGAGGGCATGGCTCAAGTGTTAGAATGCCTACTTAGCAAGCTCAAGGCTCTGGCCAAGGAAGGAAGGGGAGGCGAAGGAAAAGGAAGAAGGAAGGAAGGAAGCTAAAACAGTCAATGTGATATCTGCTAGCAAGAAAATTAAAATCTGCTAGAGAAATACATCAAAATTTATAAGGAAGATTAAAGGAGCTAGTATTGTATTTTATTTGCTTGAAAGTAAATAAGGCAGCTGTCATTTTTGACTATATAACATAACCACCTTTGAATTGTACATTTTAAATGGACTGAGCCCCTTGTATGATATATGAATTACATCTCAATACAGTTGTTTTCAGGGCCTTGCATGCTACCACTGAGCTACATTCCAGCCTTCATAACATAACCTAATTAATGATGACACAACTGAAGCTTCTCACAGAATTTGATCTTAGGGCCAGGTGAGCTCAGAGATGGAGTACATGCTTGGTATACACAAGGCCCTGAGTTCTATCCTCAGCACCAAAAGATAAAAATTTAGAAAAAACAAAAAGTAAAAACTTGAGCCAGGCCTGGTGGTACATGCTTATAATCCCAGTTACTTGGCAGGTGGAACAAGAAGATTGTGAGTTGGTGTCCAGCCAAGGCAAAGTTATCAAGATAGGAGGATCTAGGTTCAGGCCAGCCTGGAGTATGCGGGGTGGAGAAGTTAGACCCTAACCCCAAAAATAAGCTGGGCATGGTGGAGGACACCTATCCCAGCTACTCTGGAGGTTGAGATATAGGAGGATGGAGAAGAGCAAAAGCAGAGGACCCTATGTGAAAAATAACTGAAACAAAAAGGGGGATGGGAGCATGGCTCAGTGGTAGAATGTTTACCGAGGAAGCCAGAGGTCCTCAGTTCAAACTCCAGTATTGCACCACCACCCCCAATAACAACCAAAAAAAGGCTAGGGTGGTAGAGCACTTTCAAGACCCCAGGTTCAATCCCTAGTACTACTAGAAACAAAAACCAAAACAACTTGACTGTATATTTATAGGAAGCTCATTTGTTAATAGACCCATATATTATAAGAGAGAATTAAATCCCAGATTTTACTTATGACAGAATGAAACAGTCTAAGGTCATTTTAACTACCTAAATTTTAAGATTTTTGTTGTAGCCCCCCCCCCCTTTTTTTTTTTTTTCTTTTGGGCTGAGCCAGAGTGTTAACCACTGAATGTCTGCATCCTAGTGAGACCTGATTGAAATAAGTTTGGAAACCTGTTTTTTTGTTGTTGTTGTTTAAGGTAGCAGTAGAACAGAGTAATAACTTTTACATTTACTTTATAATAAGAATTGTCCTCAAGATGTTTACATATTTAAATGTAAAAGCCTAAGCAGTTTATAAAAAAGATCTTTAAAACAAATACCCTGGTTTTTGTTACCTTGAGTATCATATTAACCTTATAGTAGCAATTTAAAAACTATTTTGAAGATGTTTACATACACACACAAAAAAGTTTTATAAATTTAGCATACCAGAAAAATGTCAACTTAAGTGTGCATAAAATGAGCTGGAATTCCAGGAGCAGATTAAATTTTGCCCATGCTTTAAACAAATTCACACACACACACATTCACACTGAAGTTATGACAGTTTTCCTTCCCCTCTCTGGGAGAAGTCCCTGACCTGTGGAACTCCTCTCGGAGTTTCCTGGGAGTGGATCAAGCTCCCCTTCCATCCAGTGGGACAGGACCTGACTTAGCACTGATTTCCCAGGGGTGGTGTTTACCAAGTCCAGACGAGACTGCCAGATAAGTTGGTCCATTTCTCCTTGGAGTCCAAGCTGAGTCAAGACTGCTCAGAGAGTTGGGGCACTGGAGTGAAGAAGGACCCGGAATACCATCGGGTGGCATGCCACCTCGTTTGGTCCTGTGTCCCTCTTTACTCCAATGCAGCCCAGCTTCCAGCCAGTGGCTCAAGGGCCCAGTCGGTTGGAATCTCACTGGGGCCTCCAAGATGTTGTGGAAGTATGGTCAGAAAAGAAACCAAGCAACACTTGGAGGAGTGGAGAACTCAGACTTTATTTTTTTACGCCAGCGGGCTCAGATGTATACCTGTGTCTGAGCACTGAACAAAGGATTCACAAGATATTTAAAAGGTAGTGCAGGGCATTAGGTTACAAAAATGTACTCAGGTTATGGTGTCCTAACCAGTGAGTTAGATTGTTTGGGTTAATTGGGCTGGTAGTGAGCTAGGAACCTAATGTTGTTTAGATAAGAACAGCAGGGGAGGCTTGCTTTGGAAAGTTTATTTACAAGTAGAGACAAAGAAAGACAGGAATGGCTGCTTATCTCTGCATGGTGCCTTTCATCTCAGTCCTGAACTTTTGCATGGCTCTAATGGGCAATTCCTCACAGCTCTGTCTGAGGTTTCAGCTTTGATAGTTTACCATGTTTTACTACCCTGTTTCAAGGCTATCTTCCTCTTCAGTATAAATGTGGCTTGTTGAGACCTTATTCTGAAGGTCAGGGATGTTTTTTCTTTAATAATTGTTTTAGATTTTGTTTGTGTTTGAGACAAGGTCTCTGTTGCCCAGACTGGCCTCAAACTCACAGACCTGCTTCAGCTTCCTGAGTGCTGGAATTACAGCCATGCACCATTACCACACCTGACCTGTTTTAGATCTTGAGAATTGAAATCAAAATGTGATTATTTCCGAGAACGACATAGACAAGGGAGAATCAGTTGATATCATTATGCCCAATTCCATTTAGCTACAGATACACACAGGTATCTACAGGTAATCACAGTTAGTCCCACCTGCCAGCATATGAACAGTACGTGCAGTTGAAACATGATGTTGGTAGCTTGGATTAGAGAGTGGTAGAAGTAGTCAGAAGTGGCCAGATTAAGGATCTATCTGATGGCTACAGAGCCATTAGGATTTGCTGTTTGGTGTAGGGAAAAGATATGTTAAGAGTAGCCTCAGGGCTTGCTTTTTTTGTTTGTTTATCCATCTCTGCATACGTTGTTTGGGCCATCTCTCCCCCCCACTGGCCTCAGGGCTTTCTTCCTAAACTACTGGTAAGATGGAGTTGGTGTTATCTAAAGTAGGAAAATTTGTGTTGGAGGAACCAGGTTCTGGATATAAAGAGATGTTTGTGCTTTACCAACATTTAGAGGCACAAGAAAGCTTAAGGCAGAACACACATTAGAATTTGTTAAAGACACTGAAAGAAAATGTTATTGGTTGCATGATGCTCTTTATTAAGTACTTTGCCATAGGTAGTTTAAATAGTAAGCTTATTCTGCAGTGAACCTTGAAATCGTCAATGTTTATAATTATCAAGGCTCTTAATTGTTAAAAAGATACTTTTGTGCCAGAGTGGGGTGATGCAGACCTGTAATACCAGCACTAGGGAGCCTGAGAAAGAAGAGTAGTGAGTTCAAAGCCAACTTGGGCTACATTGGGGAGATCCTTTCTTAAAAACAGAACAAATTTCTGGGTATTTTAAGTAAAAATTCCTATTTTTACTTATAATGTTTTATCCATAGTAATTCCAGATTTTACTCCTTGAAGTAGAGATTTCTAGTTAAAATTCAGTAGGCAGAGATGAAATTCATTATTCCATTTTTCAGTTGTATAGTTGTATAATTAGTAGCCCATGTACTTCTCTATGACTCCATTTCTTTATAAAATAGCACCTGTGTTTTAGGTTGATGGGTGGGATTAAATTAGTTCATTCATGGGGAGCACTTACAACAGTGTCTAGCATATGTTGGTGCTCAGTAAATGTTAGCTATTACTGAAAGGACATTTGCTTCTAAGGTGATTGGTGGTGTAGATTGATGTGTTCAACTCTCTAGTACCAAAATGTAAACATAAGATTTTTTTTTCTTTTATACATAGTATATATTTATGATAATACTCTTTTGAATATAACATTACTTTTTCTTGTTTTTTTAGTTTGATTTTTTTTATTCTTGATTTTTTAGAAACCTACAGCAAAAATTGTTACACATAATTTTAATTGTTCAATTGCCTATGATATGGCAATAGTGATTGAAGAGTTTTGGACGTTAACTTTTCTTAAATGTTACTATGTCACATATTTTATATACCTAGCATCTTTGTTTCAAACCACATTCTAACCCCAAATTACGATTTTGTCATTGCAGGCAAGAAGACAACAAGACCCTAGTCCTGGCTCCAATTTAGGTGGTGACGATCTCAAACTTCGTTAATAGTAGCACAGTAGATGTGCCATCCATCTTTACGTACACATTGCTTCTAGTTAGCAGAAATAATTCATTGTAAGACCAGAAACTGTGATAACTGGAGGTACTACAGTCTATTTCTCAACCTAAGGCAGTAAAAGACATCACAAACTGCCATGGTTTTGCACTATGATTATAATACATGCATTTTTAATGTTTAAAGCATGTAGCCAGTAATAATTTGAAATTTTTTTCTATGCAAGCTTACCTTGTTGGCATTATTTTAGTTGAGTTGAAACTATCTACTTGTAAAGATCTTTTTTTCCTCCATTTTAATTTAAAAGTTCATGTCATTTAAAAACAAGTTAAAAAAATTTATATCAGAGGGATTTCTTCAGTTGCTTTAATTTTTTTTGTACTTTTAGATATGTTGATAGCTTCTTTTTTTTGGAAAGGCGTTCTTGGTTTTGTTTTGTTTTTCTCATTTCCTTTTGTGTTTTTATAGCCTACAGCATTTAAAATTGTTGATGTGTTTGCATTATTTACAAGCTAAAAACCTAGTAGCATAGAGCTGTCTGCCACAGCCTTCTAACACAAAGTTTACAGTTGTTAAAGTTGCAGTATCCTTTTGAATGCTGATAATCAGCACCTTTTCTTTCTTTAGTAAACATTAAAATTTTAAATCAATATTAACTCCAATCTGCCCCAGATCTGTTTTAAATTCTGTTCTGTAATCATGAGTTTGGGTGGAGATACATTCTCCATAGATGATAATATTCTACTGAAATGCCTAAAGAAGTCACAGGCTGACTTCTGTTTTATTCAGGGATTTTTTTAAAAGTCAATCAGAAAAGGGATACTGGAGCTTCTTCATGTATTTTACAGCATATTAAACTGGAGACAGTGATGAATCAGCTACAAAGGTAATACTGTATTAAAATCATGTTTAAGATAGCTGCTTTTAGTGTATTTTATATTGCATGCTTTTGTAGAAACAATACTGGATGATGAAAGATTAGTCTTAGAAAATGTTCACCTGTGCAGAGGATACATTTTCTTCCTTTAATTATTCTGGGGAAAACATTCACAGTTATATGATATTTTGCAAAAGGACTATATTAATAGTACCTTTTGAGATGAATTAGTGCAAGAATATTTTTTAAATAGGCGTTTACTGTCAAATTGCAACTTTTTTTTAATACAAGACTGGAAAAATGTGCGGTCATTTGGCACATCCTTAGAAATGCTTTTATGGTCATTGTCATTAAATACTACATTTCTGAATTTTTGCAAAAATGTATTTTATCGTAACAGAATGGCATTATTTTAAAGAGTTTGAAAAACTGACATAGCCAATTCAGAAAATGAAGTCTGAATAAGGACATTACATTTAAAAAACATAAATATACTTGACTGATGAAGGAGGTGTGACTTTCATTGTATATAGAGGTCTTATGGTTCATAAACAGATATACTGTATCTGAGAATAAAAATATTTGTTATATATTTGAAATTGTGCATGGTAAGGAGTGTGTTTGAATTGTTTTAAACAACGCATCATAAAAGACCACGATGATCTTGTATTACTAAGTACTATGAATGAATTGGTATTTGGTGTTGTACAGCTCACATGTTTACACACTCAATGCCCTAACTTTCCCTGGGGAAATTACCTTTTAAGTGACCTTACACCAGTGGTGTTTCAAGGTTACTTTTATCAGGGGGCTCCTTTGTTTTTGACTTCTGCACTAAAAATTTTTTTTTTAAATAACATGATGATGGTACATTTTTCTCTGTTGCTTTTAGTCAAGGACATTCAGTTCAACAATAAGTAAGATCAAATGGTATTAAATGTTCCTGTTGCCATCCTTTTGTAAATACTGATTTTTTTCCTATCATTTAGCACTGCACTGCTTCTGTCTGTCTTAATGCTGGCATTAAGATCATAAGCCCTTTTTCTCTTAATAGTGCAGGCTTTGAAAAACTACTTTTTTAAGTTATTGATGCAATTTGATATTTTTTCATTCTATATTTAAAGGAAATTACATCATTGCATCATCTTTTCTAAATTCATCTCCATTAAAACTTGCCTTAAGCTACCAGAATTGCTTTTGCCACTATTAGCCATACTGTGTGTTTGTATATTTAATTTACTTTCACAATAAACTTCTGTGTAGTGAAAACAGGATCTTGGCTCTTTATTGACATAATCTGATAATCTTTTTCCTAGTACTAGTTATGATATGAAAATAATATATTTTTGAATTGTTCTTTGAGCTTGCTTTTAAAAAAAACAGCAACAGTGACATCTAGTGGTCATTTCTGCCAATTCCGGAGAGGAGTGTATGTGTGTGTCTGTGTGTGTGTGTCCGTGTGTGTGGACTGGGGTTTGAATTCAGGACTTTGTACTTACAGTCTACATTCCTCTGGTTTTTGTGAAGATAGGGTTCTTATAAACTATTTTCCTCAGCTGACCTTGAACTTTGATCCTCCCAAACTCAGCCTCCTAAGTAACTAGGATTATAGGAACAAGCCACCAGCACCTGGTTGAGGACTTTTAGTTTAAATGTATAGATCACAGGTACAGTAATTTCCCAGTGTAAATTACAGTTTTCAAAAAAATCTGATTTAGGTCCAGGCATGGTGGCACACACACCTGTACTGCCATAACTTGGGGGAGGCTGAGGCAGGAGAATTGAGAGTTTGAGGCCAACCTGGGCTACATAACAAAAAATATTAGATTTAAAAAAGATTGATTGGCTCAGCCAAATCAGTGACCATAAAGCAGTGACCACAGGAGGAAAGAAGAATATTAAAACTTGTGTTAGCACCATCTTGCAAGTTAGTTGTTTTAGGGATATATACTTTTATTGTGCTGGTGTTAATATAAAACATTCTTTGATGTAACAAATTATTTGCCCTGACATTTTCCTTAAAAATGGGGCCTTTTTTTTTATTAGGATATATTCATTGTACATGAGGGATTCGTTGTGACAATTCCAAATAGGCTTATATTGTACATTGGTTAGATCACCCCCACCTTCAGCCTTTTTTAAGTATGTCTTAAGCTTGATTCATAATGATTAACTTTGCTTTCTTACCACCAGAATTAATGCATGTAACAAAAAATAACCTTTAAGTAATGAATTGTTAAGGAAATTCCAAACAGCACTTGGGAAACTGAGACAGGTGAATCACAAGTTTGAGGCCAGCCTGAGCTACATAGCAAGACCCTATTTCAAAAAAAAAAAGTCTAATTTTTAATTTTGACTACATATTAAAGTAATACACTGTGTTATATTGGTATTGATATATTGGCTAAAATGTCCAAATTTATCTTTCCATTTCAATGTGGCTATTTAAAAATTTTTAAATTGCATATATTGAGTCTCACTAATAGTAAGACTGTAAGTTGATAAAGGACATAGATCATAAAACCAGAAGGAAAAACTTTTAATAGAAAATGTTGAGGCTTTATTAATATTTTCAATTTTATCTATAAAAACAAAGTACGCTATATACATACATATGAAGACAACATCGAAATCTACCAAACACTGAAAAGGTGGTGGGGGAGGGGGGAAGGAGAGAGGAAATGGAAATATAATGAAGGGGGTAAACTTGTTCAAATACACCATAAATACGTGGAATTATCACGAGTCCCCCTGTTCAATCCCCCTTGGTGTTGAACTCAGGGCCTTGTGCTTGCAAGGCAGGCACTCAATCACTTGAGCCACTCTGTCAAACTCCCCCCAAACACTATGTTATTAGTGTATAATAATTGAAACAATTTTTTTAAGTAACAGGAAAGAAGCCAACAGTGTAAGCTGGGCAAGATAGTACAGGTCTCTAATCCCAGCACTTAGGAGGAGGAGGCAGGAGTTTCAAAGCAGCCTAGGCTACCTAGTGAGACTCTCAAAAAACCAAGGGTTGAGCTGGGCATGGTGGCATGTTTGTAATCCCAAGCTATTTGGGAGGCAGAGATGGATTGCAGTTCAGATCAGCCTGGGCAAAAAGTTACCTAGACCCCTGTCTCAACAAACAAGCTGGGTATTGTAGCGTGTGCCTGTGGTCCTGCTACTTGGGAGGCATAGGTATCAGGATCATGGTCCAGACTGGCCCCATGCAAAAACATGAGGCCCTATCTGAAAAATAAACCAGTGCGGGGGGGGCAAGTGGTAGAGCATCTATCTGCCTAGCAAACAGAGGCCCTGAGTCAAACCCCCCACCACCACCAAAGGAAAAAAAAAGATTTGTGAATGTAGTTCAGTGGTAGAGGGCTTGCCTAAGCATACTCAAAAGCCCTGGGTTCTATCCCCAGCACCACAAAAAGAAAAACTTTTGATTGATTGAAGAGAACTAGCAGCAACTTGGTCCCACTCACCTGGTGAGTAACCTGGTGTAACCTGGTGGGGAGGTTAGGGGTAACCTCGTAGAATATGGAGACAGTTCTAGAGCTGAAGAAAAAAATACAGGAGGCATAACTTTTTTCTCAGTTCCCCTTATGAGTCGGCATAGGCCCATTGTGTTGACCTAAAACTGCAAAAAGTAGAAAAAAGGGGATTGGCTTAAAGATTTATCCCTTATGTGCTAAATATCTGGCTAACTGAGGCTATCAGCAGAATTGGAACATTGCTAGACACAGGCCACTCTTTCAATTATTAAATATTTTAGGCAGTGAATGTATCTCAGTGGCCCAAGGCACTGGGTTAGATCCTAGCCACTTGCAAAAAAGAAAAAATGGGGAGTGACTTCTTCAGGTTTTCAAGCCCCTTACAACTTATCACATGAATTTTACCAGAACAATTGGCATCTTTCCATCTTCGAATGACAGCTCCTCTAGCCACTTTTCCTGAGTGATACCATCAACCAGCCAGCTACCTAAGCTGGAAAACTATGTATTTTTGACTCCTGTTGTTACCTCCCATATCCAACCTGTAAATCCTGTCACTAGATTCCATCAAGTCTCCAGTTTTTTTCTTTTTCATTAGTTTATATTAATTATACAAAAAGTTGTGACACTCTCTTGAAAGTTCAGACCTAACAAATCTGTGATGTAGGTATTATCATAATACAGGTGAGGAAACGGTATGGAGAAGTTAAGTAACTAGTCCAAGACAGTATGATAGTAAAACTGGGATTCAAGTTTTCAGTCTATGAGCTTTAATTACCCTACTGTGCTTTTACCTGAAGCTGTCCTGTATGTGGCTTGGACTTTTGCCAAGTACATTCTTCATTAGCCACTTCAATATCTCTGAATATTCCTACCCTCAATTTGGGGGAATGGCCACTGAAGACATTCTCCTGAGTTGGTCTTCCTGGAGGGATCTCCTGCTACTCAGTGTATTGGATTCTGGGTTACGGCCTTTTAGTACCACACCCCAAAAGCTGTCACTCTCACCTGTGACAAAAACCTGGGTGGATCACACTTTAATGAACAGAGATAAACTTTTGTTGCTGCCTGACATTGTTCACAGAAACTTACCTCCCTACTACCCCAACAGGGAATATTTTAGGGGCTTCCCTAACTTTGTTCTTCCTGGATTTTTGGTTAATCCAAACAAAAAACTCTTTTCACTGTTAAACTCAGGACTGTGGCTTTCCTTTTGTTTTACCTGTCCCACTACCCTACACATCCTACTCCATCCCATTTCAAGGTCCAACCCCATTTCTCCACCAGAAATAATCCTCTTAAGTATCTTTTAAGCAGAAGAAACATTCCCTGGTCGGGTTAGATTTGAGTTCAACTAAGATACTTTTTGGTTTTGGTGGGATAGGACTGGAGTTTGAACTCAGGACTTTGTGCTTACTTGCAAAGCAAGTACTCTACCACTTGAGCCGCATCTCGTCCACTTTGCTTAGAATGGAGATGGGAGTTCATGAATTATTTGCCTGGGCTGGCCTTGAACCTCTTCCATCCTAATCTCAGCCTCCCAGATAGCTAAGATTTACAGGTGTGAGCCACTAGGTGCCCAGTTTCAGTTAAGACACCTTTAACTGACCAATCATAGGACTTTTTCCCAGGTCGCCTTCTTGTTATCTAACCTAATTGCTCAACTAACCTTTACTAGATACTATAATGCTTGCCACAGTAAGGGAAAATAACCCCCATCCCTGCCCCTGCCCTTATGTTAGGTATTACATTTCTTTTTATCTTTCCAGACATGTTCTCCCTTATTGATATAACCAATGGTCTTTTGTTTTTACAGAGAAAAGGGTCATGCTGTGCTGCACATGGCTTTTTTTCTTTTGGAACACCTACATCAGCATACAGGAACATAACTTCATTTTCCAAATGTATGTTATTACACATCTCAGAGTTTACTTAGTCATTTCCCCAGTGGGAGTCCCAGTGACTCAATTCTGGTTCAGCATATAATGCTGCAATGAACATCCTACTCTCCTACTCTTTTTTTTTTTTTTTTTTTGCATTGCTGGGGTTTAAGCTGAGGCACTCTACCATCTGCTGCACACCACCACCCTTTTTTTTTTTTTAAAGGTCTCATGTAATTAGCCTCAGTTCGAGATCCTCCTGAGTGCTGGAATTACAGGCATACATTTCAACAGTTGGCTTGTTTTAATGCCAATAACTGTGACTTCAAATTTTGATGAGTTTGCCATGTTACACTCTTCTCAAGCTGGTATGAGAATTTAGAATGCCACTCTCAAGTAGACTAAATAGGCTTAAGAAGAAAAGAGGCAAACTGCAGGGTGGCTAGAGGCTGATGCAGCCACAGAGCTGTATTACATAAGGACCACCCAAAATTGCCTACTCCCATCTGTCTCCAGACCACACAACCAGAAAACCCTTATTATAAGAACAAAATGGGCTGGGAGACTGGCAGAATCTCAAGTGGTAGAGCACCTGCTCTAGTGTAAGGCCCTGAGTTCAAACGTCAGTACCACAAAAAAAAAAAAAAAAGGAATAAACCCTAATCCAGGAAAATTAGTCTCTCGAGTGCTGCCTCTTGGGTACACTTTTGTTTTGAAATAAACTTCCTCCAAATTCCTTACTTTTTCTTGTCTGACTTCTTTCTCTGATGGTGATAAAAATCTGGAAACACTGGGTTAAAATATCTCAGTCTGCTCTAAGGCCTCCCCAGCCTGCACAACCGGCAACTCCCCTGCTAAAAAATACTCATGTAATGGGAAGAACTTGGGTTCTGTTTCCCAGGACAAAGGAACCTTGACCAAGACTTTTAACCTCTCTGGACCTCAGTCATTCGCCTGTAAAATGGGATATAATCTCACGTCTTAGGGTGATTGTGAGAATCCACAGAGGACGCTGCAAAGGCTTGGCATCAGAAGCGGCCTCAGCTGCCTTTTAGTTTCAGGGTGCCCTAGGACTCACAGGCCACAACTTCAGGCAGAATATGCTAGAGGAGCCCCTCCTGCCACTCGTAGATGAGGAAATTGAGGCTCAGTACTTTAAGGGTTTGGCTGTGCGTCTTTTGTACCCAGTAAACGCTAGTGGGATTTGTGTGTAGACGGGAGGCAAGTATCGTGTAGCTGTGTGATACACGTATCCTTGTACAGACGTGTGGAACGTGTGTGGGTGGTGTGCAGATGTGAGGATTCGCGAAGTCTAGAGCTCCTCGCTCCTAAAGCGGCAGCCCTTCCTCGCGGTACAGTCTGGCCCTAGCCTTTGCAGCAATTGTCACTGCGGCCTGATCCAGAGTTTGCGCGTGCGTGACCCCGCCTCAGGCTCCTCCTCTGAGCTCGGAACCCCGCCCCCGCCCCGCCTTCGCCACACTTTACGGCCCGGCACGCCGCTTTTGCCGCAGTTGCTCCAGTCGCCACCGCTGCCGCCGCTCCTCCTGCCCCTGCTTCTGCCACAGTGTCTGCCCCCGCTGCTGCAGGTGAGGTGAGGTGAGGTGTGGTGTTAGGCCGGTACCACCGGGGACCGGGTGGAGAACAGAGCCGCAGCGGGCTGGCGAGAACTGCAAGTCAGCCGCTGTGTTGTTTCCTCAGGTCGGGTCCCGTCTGCACTGCCGCAGGGAGGCCGCCCGGGCCCGGCGAACCGAACCAATGCTGGACCTGGAGGTGGTGCCTGAACGCTCTCTGGGGAACGAGCAATGGGAATTCACGCTGGGTGAGTGTGGGATCCTCTGTCAGGATCCTTCGGTCGCTGGTTTTACTATCCTCCGCACCCTTCCGCTTCTGGTATCTTCCCCTGACCCCCGCGCCCGCCGCTCGCGTTTTTTGTCTCCTCTACTGTCTTGGCTTCAGGCATTAAGATACCCGCTCCGACCGCCCGGATCCGCCTATCAGTCACCTTATAGGGGCAACAACGCCCTGGCCTCGGGCCTTGGCAGGGTCACCCCCTGGGGCGGTGGGACTGTAGTAGTAGTAGTAATAATAATGACAATAATAGCTGGCACGCCCAAGCACCACACCAAGTAATGGCCGGCCCTACTCTTTGGAACGAAGGGATTATCTCTATTAACCTTAACTGGAGTCAAGTTCAGTACTACCGTTGTTTCCATTTTAGACTAAATAACAGCTACAAAGTGGTTAACAGCCCGAATCACCACTGCGGTCTCTGTCCATCTTCCTTTGCCTTGGTGGGGTATGGGTTGCCTTTTTTGGTAAGGGAAACCTACACTCAGATCCCATAATCAGATGATCAAAGGAGTTGAGTTTGTGTGTGTTAAAGGAACTTACGAGACTGGTGTGGTGGTGTACACCTCTAATCCCAGCACCCGGAATTCTGAGGCAGGAGGATCACTAGTTTACTCAGTGAGACTATGTCTCAAAAAAAAAGAGGGGAAGGGAATAAACAACAAAGAAACTTCTGATTGCTTTTCTTCCCTTTTGAAATGTCTTATGTTTGATGGTGTGATCCTAAACCCAGTTTCTCAGATGTGAGAGCTAAGGGTTGAGTGAAGTAGTAATCAGGAAAGTAACGTACATTTTGTAGCAAGTGCAGTTTGGCCATTTTTGGTTTGTTGCCCCAGTTTTGTCCCACCACCCTTCATCACCAGCATCAAAGTGTTTAATGTTCTCACAATAAGGAAAGGGGGTGAGAAGCAAGTGTTGCTGCTGCTTGTTTGTGTGGGCCTGAACTTTGTCACTCTAGTGTGGGCTACTGGATTGAATCATTTATTGCTTATCCTTGAATGTAGAAGATTCATGTCTATGGAGACAGCATATTGGAGAAACTCAGCACTGCAGATTGCTGGTGCTCAGTGGCTTCACACTTCTGCAGGTTGTAGGCGCCAGTTTGGTTTTGTGTGTTTTTGTTTTGTTTTGGTACTGGCAGTTTTGTTTGTTTTTTGGCAGCACTGGGTTTTGAACTCAGGGCCTCATACTTACTAGGCAGGCCCTCTACCGTGAGCTACTTTGCCAGCCCTTTATTGTGTTGGGTATTTTTGAAATAGAAAAGCCAGCCTGGGCTGGCTTCAGACCACGATCCTCCTGATTTCTGCCTCCTAAGTACCTAGGATTACAGGAGTGAGCCACTAGTACCCAGCAATACTGGGGTTTAAACTCAGGGCTCTGGCTTACGAGGCATGCGCTCTACCACTTAAGTCACAGTTCCAAACCCTAAGTGCCAGTTTTATTGAAGGGGCTTTTAGTCAACTTCTCAACTTAGACCACTCCTGTACAATTCCTCTCAAAATTTTACCTGTTATAAAATGCTCCAACCTCTTGTGAAGCACCAAGAACTTGGTTGAAAGACTAGTGAGTGATACCATGCTAACACTGTTTCACTTCTAATTAACTTCTTTTCTCCCCTCCTCTTGACAGCTTCTACCCACATGAGAACTTCCCAGGGCTGGGTAAGAAACACAGCCATAGTTTCAAACTGTGCTTGATGGTGTAACCAGATCGTGGATCTCTTGTGGTACAGGCATTCAGAGTCCACTGGTCAAAATTAGTGACTGTGTTATCGGTTGTGATCAGGATTTTCTAGAAAACTGAGTTCCCACTCAGCAAGGTTTCCTCTGGCTATTCTGACAACCTAAACTGAAATCCTAACTGCCAGTTTCCAAGAATCAAGATTTTGGATAGTTCTTTCAAACTGTCTTAATAGCAAGCAAAAATAGAAAAACATTTCTGTATGTTTTGAGTCCAGAATTGAACTTTGCGGGGAAAGTTCATGGAGAGGGCCTGATGATTCCTTGTGAGTCTTAGAAAATCAGCATTTATAAATGATGTAAGTCATTTTCCTCCCTTTGTTAATCTCTTTCCTCACTGCCAGCTCATCATACTGCAGTTGGGACTGTTAGGTGGGGATACGTCTGGGAGATGAATCTATGCTTTAGAATTATATTCTAAAGAGAAGAACTAGTTAGTACTTAACCTCTTGTCACCCAGACACTTTAGGTAGGTATTGTTTGCTTTATTTTTCCTCTAAGAAATAGGTAAGTAGAGGTGATAAGGAAGTAGCTGACCAAAGATTTCCTGCTTCCCGCCACTCTACTCTTCTAAGGATGGGCTCAGCTTTGTCCTCTGGTTTCTTATTGGAATCTATGCAAATGCAGGTGTATCTAGCCCTTGTAATCATCTGCTTGGCATCACAATGGGGAGCTGCATTCAGTGTCTTGGCTGCCTTCCTGACCTTTGTATAATGTCAAGAGATAAGGAAAATGCCAACAACATAAGACAGAATAAGCAGAATCTCTGAATGTCACTGATAGTATGACTATAGTAAAGGGCAATGCAAATTTGAAATAGTATGTTTGCTAGGTGGTTGTGTGTGTGTGTATTTTGTTAGTTTGTTTGAGATAAGGTCTCACCATGTAACCCAGGCTGCCCTTGAACTCCCAATCCTCCGAATATATTAATGTGGAGACATGTACCTGAATTTGTTTTTGAAGTTAGTCTTTAGAATGCCTAAAGAAGATAGATTTAATGGGTTACTGGAGAAAACAGCCTTCTCTGAGATTATCTTGTTCCACAAAAACTAATGGTTTACTCTGTTAAAGACAGCATTTACCTCTGTGGGCTCTGCTCATGAGCAATGGAAATCGAGTAAGAAATGGTCTTATGCCTGAAGAGTTTAAACTAGTGGTAAGGAAGGCTTACAAAAGTACTTCGTTTTATTGAAATGCAATAAAAGCTGTATAAAGTGTTAGGGAGTGGGGAGAAGGGACTTGACCTGACCTGGAGATTTAAAGAAGGCTTCTTGTGGTCCTAAGGGAAAAGGATAGACGGTGTGTGCAGGGAAATATATAAGCAATTTGGTATTATAATTAGAATATGGTGTACTGGTAAAAGAAAAGAAAAAGAAAAAAAAAAAAAAGGATTTCCCAGAATCTCAGTTCTGTTTGGTTGTAGCTGCTTGCGACACTATCAGGGAGGCTCTGGAGTTTGGTGGAAAAGAGGATACTATTGGTAAAGTCTGTTATGGAATCAGTTTAAGCGGAACAGTTCAGAGACTGGATTTAGAAACATAGGAAAGAAGGAAGAATGTAGAGGTTTCTGACTTGGGAAACTGGGTATTAAGTAATACCCAGATTACAGAGAAGATGAAAAACTCACTTTTTTAACCTTTTGACTGTTATTTGCCCTTAGTTGTATACAGAAAATAGATTGAGATTTGAATCAGAAGTTGGGTCATTTGTTAAGTGAGGAATGGGCAGAAAAAACATACCTGTCATATCAAACAATATCCTATCATAGAGACATGAGAAAGAGGAACAGCTGAAAAGAATGGTTATTTGTGAAGAGAATGGGAGTTCTCCAAGGGGAAGGATAGTTACCAGAACCCTTGATGTAGGACCTTTGTGCTCTAATTGTTTATTTCACAGGTATGTATAATCACCTATGATTATGGCAGTGATTGGGTACTGGGGATACAGTGATGAGCAAGGTAGACAAGATTTTACCATTTAGGACATTATAGGGGAGACTAACAATAAATAGGATGGAAGACCTCATTAAATAAGGCAATTGGGAAAGTAAGGTCTGAATCAAAACCTAAAGTGTGAGAAGGAATCAGGAACAGCAAGATCCTAGTGCAAAGGCCTGAGGTGGGAAAGCATGACATGTGTTAGTAACAAGGGGTAGGTATGGTGGCAGTGAAAAGAAAGATGAGCCACATCCAGAATATTTAGGGATTTAGGTGATGGCATGGTATTTGAGTTTTATCCACCTGTAATGGGAAGTCCATTGGAGGGTTATAAGCAGGCGGGTGATGAAGTCTGTAAGATAAAGATTTGAACAGTTTAGAAAACTTGACCATTCTGTTACAGGTAAGACAATTCCCCCGTTTCTTTATTGTTCACAGAGTTGATTCCCTTTAGTGGTCTTTTATAGCCGTCCTTTACTAGTAGTTGTACTATACCTAGTTACCATGGCTGCTTTCTCTCCACTGATGGGTTTCTCTGAGTGACTCAGGATTCGAAGACATTGAGACCAAGACTTTGATATGGTTAAGTGGAAAAGAACCATCCCTAAAGAAACTGGTGTGTACCATGTGCATCAGAGAAGACATGTGTCCTTGACATCTTTGGCAACTAAGCAACAGCTTATTGGTCTTGTCCATGTGATTGTTTGTCTGTTCCCTTTGGGAAACAGCATAAGTGCTCTCCCATTTCAGGAATGTCAAGTCTGAGTGATAATCCAATTTGTTCATATTCTCAACACACATTTACTAAGTCTACTGTGTGCTCTATGCTACAGAAGGCCAAGAAAAAAACTTTAAGATCATTAGTCACCCCTCTGATTTCATTCAACTTTCTTCAAACTAAACAATGACTCCTCAAATGAAAGTGGGATCGGGTTATTTAAATGTAAATGGGCCATGAGGTTTAACTTCCCCCCAACACATTTGAGTCACACCCCCAGCTCAAGGTTTAACCATTTAACTCTTCATTTAGAATCTCTTTTTCACATATCTCATCTGCTTGAATGTGAGCCTACATGTTGATGTGGGGTAATGTGGTCTTTCTTCTTCCTTTTTCCTTGTCACTCACCCCACAATCCTTCATTCCCACTGAATAAATAAATTCTGTAGCTACTAGGTAAGTGGTCAGCTCTGAGAAGGGAGCTGGGGATCCAGTGAATAGTAACTAAACACTGTTCTTGCACTAGTGAAACTAAGAGTCTTTGTTTTTAGATTGTCCAGGACCTATCTCTGTATTTCTTCCTGCTTAAAAAGATAATGGATTCTGAAAACAAATTTGTAATCTTTGTGAGTCCCTGGAATGTTTGAGGTCACTGGGATTTGGATTACTTAAATTGGAGGCAAATGCAAATCTACTTGTAATGGGTCACGAGTTAAAAAACCAAATGTTTAAGAGATGTTTGTGGATTTTTAAGTAAAAAGTCAGTAAAACCATTTTTTTAAATAAGTTGATTCTGATAGATGTATGACTTTTAATTTTTTGTAGTACTTGTATTTTGAACTCAGGGCATTTCACCTGCTAGGCAGGCAGTTTACCACTTGAGCCACACCCCATCACCTGTTATGTGTTCTAACAGACTCATTTGAGAGATGCTAAGATAGATGCCAGAGAAGAAGGGAAGGGACCTGCCCTAGGTCATAGGTAATCGTGGCAAAGTGAGGATTAAAACCTTGGTCTCCACAGTCATGCAATCAGTGCTTTTCTCATCTTGTTCTTTGGTTTATGCTGACTTTGCCTTCTTTGAGCCCTTTCCCTACTTGGGGTCAGTGAGTGTGAATGCCTCCATTTCCAGGAAGCTTTTTTTTTTTTTTTTTTTTTTTTGAGGTAGTGGGGTTTGAACTCTGGCCTTTTGTTTGGCAGGTGCTCTACCACTTGAGCCATGCCTTCAGTCCTTTCTGCTTTGTTTTTTTGAAGGTTTTTTGTTGTTTTTTTGCAGTACCGGCGTTTGAACTTAGGGCCTACATCTTGAGCCACTCCACCAGCCCTTTGTTGTGATGTTTTTTTTCAAGATAGGGTCTATTGAACTATGAGCTTTGTCTCCTGAGTAGCTAGGATTACAGGTGTGAGCCACTGCACCTTTGCTTAATTCTTGCTGTTTATTGAACTTTCATTTATTCATATCTTTAGACTCTCTCCTCCCCCGACACACACCCCTTCTGCAGGTTTCAGAGATCAGTGGCTTGACAACAGTAGTAGATGTTAGGAAATGGATAGTCCAAGTAACCACACAGGTGTCCTTGCTTTATTTCAGGAATGCCTCTGGCTCAAGCAGTAGCCATTCTTCAGAAGCACTGTCGCATCATCAAAAATGTCCAGGTTCTCTACAGTGAGCAGGTGAGTGGTGGCTGATTTGTTTTCTGAAATGGCTTCCTTTGTCAGTGAGTCACCTCCAAAGGTGATGCTCTGGGGAAGCTAACTGGCAGGAGTTGCTGTGTTCTAGTGGGAGAATCTTCAGCACTAGTCAATTATCTAGTACATCTCCTTGATTCTGAAACATTTGGTCTTAGTAATCTAGTGCTGTCAGCTTTAGAAGAGCAGTAAACTAAACCTGTTTTTTGTCTGTGCTTAACTCACTAATGGCCCTTAAAAATAAGGAGTTTTCAGTGGAATGTCATTTCGTGGGCTGTGTCTGGTTTTCTAGGGTGCTTGCCTTCTACTTTCATGTTTAAAATCATCTTTTCTGTTAGTTGACTTGTGTTCAGAATTGTCACAGTACAGATCTGTAGCTAAAAGAGCATACTTTGCTTGAAAGGAGGCAAACATAGTTCACCCTTTTATCAAAGAGCAGTCTCCTCTCTACTGAGCTCTGAAGCTCTGAAAACAGACCAGTGCTACCATGTGGTAGAGTCTTTGTGGTGCCCTGTGTGTTGCAAGCCTTAGGAGATAGTTTTGAGCTTACAGAGGCCAAAGGGCATTCCTAGAAGCCTTTCTGAGACCATGAGTCCTGGCTTGATGTTTTCAGTTCAGATTGTTCCAATTCTTTTCAAATTCTAAAGGAAAGGGCAACTTACTTTTGACATGAAGAATATTTTAGATTAAGGGTAAAGTTTCTGTGAAGGCTTCCCAGTTTGGCTTAGTGTAAAGTCAGAATTGGACCTGCTACCTCTACTCAGAGATTATATTCTGTAGTACAGTACACTTCTGTCATCCTAGTAAGGTTTCATGTGAAGGATCTTTCTAAGAGAGGGAATGCTTAAGTCTCCCAAGCAAGTGCTTTGGGTATTCCTGCTACAAAACAGGAGATTTGTAGGCGTGTGCAGGGGCTCCTTGAAACAGTGCCAAAGTAGTTCTCTTTTCAAAAATGAATGATAGATGGTAGCTTTTTCTTTTTTCTCAGCCCTAACCTAATTTGAGTTTCAGTGTTAGACCTTGAGGGAATTAACTCATGACAGGTAGCAGCCATCAAAACGGGAAGCGGGCTTACTTTTTAAGCTTACAGCCACATATACATTGAGATGAATAAGATTTAGACACTCTGAACACTGGAATATTGGATACATTTGAAAATAGGCTTTAAGGTTTCTGTTTTCTTTTTTTGAGACAGGGTCTTACTATGTGGCCCAAGGCTGGCCTTAAACTCTCAATACTCTTGCCTCAGCCTCCCAAGTATTAGGATTGCAGATATGTATCACCATGCTCAGCTTTTAAGGTAGAGTTGCTTCAGGGCCTCACTGCAGGACAGGTAAGCGCTCTACCACTTGAATCACACCCCCAGCCTTTTTGTTTTTTGAGATAGGAGCTCCTTAATTTTGTCCCCTCTGGCTTTGAACCTTAAAATCTCCTATCTCCAACACTTTCAAGCAGTTGAAATTATATGAGTGTACCACCATGTCTGGTTTATGTGGTGCTTCTTAAATGTGGATCCTGTCCTCTCACTGCTTTTATTCTTTACTTTTCTATGTCTTTGCTTCCCACCAAGTGAAGAAAACATTTGCCCTCTTAAAAGTTTCAGAAATATCTTCCTTTTTTTCTTTTCCTATGTAAAACCGGCTCTAGGAATAGAACCTAGGGCCTCAAATGCTAGGCATTCTACCAGTAAGCTACAATTCCAGCCCAGAGACACCTTTTCTCTACACAGTCACACCTTGAAAAATGAAATGCATATATCAAGTAGATTCCATATTTTTATAGGAGGAAGCAATCAAGATTCCTGAAAGAACTAAAATTTTGTTTCGTCTTGCTTATGTCTCTAAACCTTTTGAACAGCTGTGTGCCAGTTTTGAGAAAAGTTATGGATTTTGAGTTGTTTTTTTCTTTCAGTTTGTGAGCATTGGGTCAGGTATGTGAGAGCCTTCAGACATGGAGTCATTGAATTGATTGATTGTACCAAAAACAGATGAGGCAGACACAATAGGAACGACTTCTGTGTGCCAGTTCTGTGCTTGGTGCTTTCTGACCTACTATCTCTGACCTCAGAACAACCCTGGAGAGAAGGAATGAAGATATTCCTGTGTAGAAACCAGAGCTCAGAAAACTTTTTTAAGAGTTACCTAAGGTCATCAAGGCTCTGTTCACTGTCCTGTGCCTCTCCCCAGGACTCAGAAGGGACAAATGTAGAAATGTGACTCCTTAGATCTTAGACTTAGTCTTTTTAGGAACATATGATATAGGTGGGGGGAGGAGTAAGAGTGCCATCGTATATATAATCAGATCGCAAGGTATTTCTTGGTCCTAGAATTTGGCCTAAAACATTCAAGGAATAAAGCATGTTCATTATGGATGGTGAGAGCCTGGGTGTAGGCGTAGTTTCATCTGACAGTCATAAGCAGTACCATACTGCCGAGTTTCAATCCTGGGTCTTTCACATGATACGGATTCCTAACCAGCTGCTCCGTAGGTTGATGGCAGTAAACTGAGACAACAGATACGGACCCTGTACTTCAAAGAAAATGACCTCTATACTCACACAATTTTGTCCCTTTCTCCCAGGTATTTGTACTCAAGTCTGGAAGGGAGAGGCTCTTTTCAGCCAATATTATGAAGCAGGAGCTGCAGGCTGGAAGTAGGAGACACTATGCATTCATGCAGCAGTTTTTTTCGGGCTTCCAAACCTCATTAGTTGGGGGAGAGAGGGACTGCCTGCTCTTAGGTATCCTCTGTGCGTTGCATTTATATTGTAAGGCTTTCAGTAGGTGCTGGTGAATAAATCAGTTGCTCAAAGTGTGTTTTATTTTTGTTTTGTAGTCTCCTCTAAGCCATGACCTCATCCTTAACCTGACTCAGGATGGGATCAAACTACTGTTTGATGCTTTCAATCAGAGACTTAAGGTAACTATAAATGACAACTGTAGTTTCAGATCCGGCTGATCCAGTCTTTCTGGAGCTGATTATTATGTGCTGTTGTGAGATGTTTTGTAAACTCATAATGGGTGTGGACTTCTTTGGTTCAGAGACCACCATGATGTTGGGGACTAGAGCTTTGCCTGTTCTCTTAAAAAGAGGGAAGATGGAACTGAGTTGGGGGTGGTTGAAAAGAGGCTGGGAAGGGCTGTTGTCCTCAGCTCCACCAGGGAAATTGGGAAAAGAGTGTTCAAATTTGGAAAATGTATAGAGAAGGAAAAAGAGGACTTAAGAAACATGCTATGGGGAAGGACTTTTTATATTGACTAGGAGAAGAGCTAAGTGTTTAGAATAGTTTGCCTTGAGTCTATTTTAAAAGGTTCGAAGAATGGGGCCTAACAACAGAATAGAACCAAAATCTTTTAGTCAAAGTTTGTGTGTATTCTTGTTTTGTTTTACCTCATTCTTATGTCAAACAGCATGACTTGGAATATAGAAAATGCAAACTGCTCTTCTGTAGTGCTGGAATTCTCTAACCCCATTATAGAAATGTAAACAAACAACTTGCTGATGTGTAGGGTGTCTTAATTGGCATTGGGTGCAATTTTCTATCACCTGTTTCAGTCCAGATTGTTTTTAATACACTGTTGTCAACTGTCCAGGCCTCACAGGTTTGTCATGTGACACAAGACTCATGCCTCAGAGTCATGAGTTTGAATGTGGGCTCTAGGCAGTAGCATACCAGAACTGTTTTCCTGGTTAAGTTATGGAAAAAAACTTCGAAAAGACTAAGGTACTTCCCAGTTCTAGTCATCCTTTCACAAGAGAGATGCTGAGGAGACAAAGCAGAAAGTGGAAAGGATCCCTTTGGAGAATGTGATCCCTCTGAAGGGATCATTGGTCAACCATAGGGGTAGTTGTCAGAGAGATAGATTACCTATACCTTCTACAAGCAGAGCCTCTGACTGAAAGTGGAAACGCTTTGCCAGCATGAGGCCCTGACCTCAGTGAAATGGCATGCCAATTTGGCATGGTATACTGCCATGTCCAGGCATTCTGAAGGGAACCCCAGCTGTCTTCTGAATCACAGCTATTCCCCCGTTTCCTTGCACAGCCCCTCCCAACACCACTTTTCATGCTTTCAAAGCTTCATATGCCCTTAAGTAGCTTCATACTCAGCACACTCATATGATATGCATTGAGTACCTTCCATATACAAGCTAATGAGTCAAACCTCAAGGGGTTTAACTTAGTGGGACCAGTGAACAGCTAACATAAGTTGGGGGCAAGGGCTCATTCAAGTGCTGTGAGGGCCAAACAGAGGGAGGAGTTCCTTGCAGCAGGTAGAATAAAAATAGCTGCAATAATAGTCAAAAGATTTCCAACTTGGTTCAGTGTTACATTCTCTAAACAAAGTTAGAAGCAGAATGTAGCCAAAAGTTCAATAGAACTACTGTTGAATACAGATGCCTCAGTTTCCATAGCAGTGCCAGATGCTCCCACCCACCAGACCCCACAGCCCCTTCCACAGTTGGGCCCAGATTAGCAGGACAGACACTGAGCAAGCCTTAACACCATAGAGAATGGAGGGCTTCTTTGGGCTTAGTACTTGGCACCATTAATGACTGAAGGTTTAGTGCCTTTTCCTTTGTTCTTGACATTTTATCTGAGGCTGAACTCATTAAACAGCATACTTTACAAGGATTTTTAGGTTCTTCAGGTTCAGACATTTCCTTTATTAGGGATATACTTAATATTCTCATACTTGTCCTGAATTAAATGTACTGTACTTGTTTTCTAGCCAGATAGACCTCCCCCACTTCTATCTTTTTGTTTTGTAAATAAAATGAACTTCAGAATAAACTAGTTTTGGAAGTGACTTGGTCTGGATATTTTTGTTTGTTGGTGGGACTGGCGTTTGAACTTGGGGCTTTGTTCTTTCAAAGCAGGTGCTTTAACTGCACATCTCCAATTCATTTGTGCTCTGGTTATTTTTGGAGATGGGGGTCTGTGAACTGTTTGGGCACACTGACCTCAAACTATGGTTCTCTTGATCTCAGCCTCCAAAGGTACCTAGTATTATAGGTATGAGCCACCTGTGGTTAGCTTCTGGTTTTTTTGTTTGTTTGTTTTGGTTTTTTTTTGCATCAAAGTATGAAATAGAAGGAAGAGGGCTTAGTTTCTAACATGTAATCTCAGCAAGTTGCATGAATTTGTTTCTGTGGGAGGTGATGGTGTCCTGTGGAATAATGTGTAACCCAGAAGGACCCAGAAGTGGACTAGATGTAAGGACCTTGACCCAAAGCATCTATGGACATTCTTTGAGTACCCCATTGGAAAAGGGGAAGTTGCTTTTCCTTCCATTTTTATTTTGATATGGGATCTCACTATATATGTTACTTGGGCTAATCTTGAACTTGGGGGGCTCAAGTAATCCTCCTGCTTCAGCCTCCCAAGTTGCTGGGACTACAGATGGACACCACTGTCCTGGGTTTTTCTTCCACTCAGTTTTAAAGTGAGAATAAAAGATAATGTAAAATGCTTCAGGAGTTTTTGTTGTTGTTGTTTTTTAAATATAGGGTGCCACTACATAGTCCAAGCTGACCTTTAACTAGTGATCCTCCTCCCTCTTACCTCCCAAGTGCTGGATTGTGGGCTGAGCTATCATGTCTGGCTTGAGTTTAAGGAATTTTCTTTTTGTTTGGCTGTTTAGTTTTAGTAATAGAGCCCAAGACTTCTTGCTTACTAAACATTCACTCTAACACTTTTCAGTCTGTCATATCAACTTGAGAGCATTAACGACGCTTACATTTTTTATTTTGTAGGTGATTGAAGTATATGACTTGACTAAAGTAAAGTTAAAATATTGGTAAGTTTTCACATATACCTCTCTGCCCATTGTGTGTTATTAGTAAAGGATTTTATTCATAGCAGTCCAGGGATTACAGCTTGGTGTCATGATTTCCTGAGGCAACTCCCAGCCTGTTCTCTCTGCTGGGGAAGAAAAGCTCATCATGAACATGCCGTGTGGGCTGGTGGAGTGGCTCAAGTGGTAGAACTCTGCCTAGCAAGTGTGAGGCCCTGAATTCAAATCCCAGTACCACCAAAAAAAAAAAATCTGTGTGAGCGGGCATGGTGGTGCAGAGCTATAATCCCAACACTTAGAGGCTTAGGCAAGAGGATTGCAAGTTTGAGACCAGTATAGACTACGTTGTGAATTACAGGCCATCTTGACCTATATAGCAAGACCCTGTCACAAAAAGCCAAAAATAAATAAAAGTGCTATATGTTAAATGTTTTATACGTATGTCATCTACTTTAACATCTCAACAAAGCAGAACTTGAGTTCAGGTGATATAACCGTCTCCTGAGTTATAACTCCCTTCCTCTGCACAGCCTTTCTTTTGGCACCTCTTTTCAGGTGTTCATGAGCAACTGTGGAGCAAACCAGATAGTTTGACTCTAAAGCCAATGTTAAAGAGAATGCTAAAGAGGCTACCATTTTAGAGCCAAAATCTACTTTTTAGGATGAAAATGGGTATGATTTGTGCAATCCATAGATACTTGAGGCCTCTCTATAGCAAGGTGCTATGCTAGTGTCTAGAATATTCCCTTCAATAAACCTCCTGAGCAGGCTTCCTTTTTTAAGGGTATGAGATGGGCCCAATTCCTGAGGCAGGCTCTGGCAGCATTTGCTGATGGATAGGCAAATAGTAATAGCACTATTTCTAGTTGTCTTTTAGTCTGACTAGAGTCTCTTCTCTGCCCTCTTGTTCAAAATCCATAAAGTCTTGGAAGCCCTAGAGTATTAACTCTATCTATCAGTTCCACAAGAATTAACCTTCTTTGCCACTGCTGGTGATTCATGCCTGTAGCTACTCGGGACGCAGAGATAAAGAGGATCTCAGTTTAAGGCCAGCCTGGGCAAATAGTTCTCTAGACCCTCTCTCAAAACTACCCAACACAAGAAAGGCTGGTAAAGCAAGTGTGAATGTGAGGCCCTGATTTCAAACTTACGTAACACAAAAGAAAATAAATAAAGTTCATTGAAGCTGAACATGATGATGCAGCATTCAGGAGGCCAAGGCAGGATGATTTAAAATTTTTTTTTTTTTTTTTTGGAAAAAGATTGTCAGCTCCCGCACTTGCATCTTAAGAATAACTTTTCCAGCAATCATCTTTCATGATCTGTTAGCCCATCTTGCAAAGCCCAGTATAAAAAATTTTTTGTTGTTGTTTTTCAGTGGAGTGCATTTTAACTCTCAGGCCATAGCTCCTACCATTGAGCAGATTGACCAGTCTTTTGGCGCAACTCATCCTGGAGGTAAGCCAAGTACATCTGATTCCTCTAGACATCAGTGGCAGCCCATAGTGATAAACCTTGCAGGTGGCACCATCCCACCCCACTTCAGGATTGTGGGATTAGTTCATGAGTATAAAGGAAATCTCCACCCCCTTGTTCTCGTTGTAATGTCAATTCATATATAAGGAAAGTATTGTCAGTCATTACTTCCTACCAAGCTGGTTTATGTTAGTGACTTAAGATGCCAGCTAACCATGTCATTTTCTTCTTCTGCACCTCACAGTGTACAACTCCGCTGAGCAGCTCTTCCACCTCAACTTCAGAGGACTGTCTTTCTCTTTCCAGTTAGATTCCTGGACTGAGGCTCCCAAGTATGAGGTTAGCCCTTCTGTCCCCTGGCATTTGTTCCCCAGTGTTCATGTGGTGTGGGACGGCACTCAGCGCCATGGGGGGATGGATAGGCAATCTTTCTTTGGTTTCCTTGTCTTTGAGATCTTTAAAGACCAATGTGGATAGAGTGGATAGAGTGGGTAGTTGATAGGAAGAGCAGGATCCAGGCCAGCATTCCTAGGAAGAGGAGACTTCCCACTGCACAGGGCACTTGAGGCTCACTTTTTTTGGGGGGTGGGACTGGGGTTTCATGCTTACAAAGTAGGTTCTCTACTGCTGAAGCCACACCTCCAGTCCATTTTGCTCTGGTTAATTTTGGAAATGACAGTCTCCCAAACTATTTGCCCAGGTTGGCCTCCAACCACAATCCTCCCTATCTCAGCCTCCCACGTAGCTAGGATTACAGATGTGAGCCACTAGTGCCTGGCTTAATTGAGAAACGTTTTTGGAGGGACTGGGAGTAAGACTGGGGTTTGAACTCAGGGCTTTGCACTTGCAAAGCAGGTGCTCTGCCACTTGAGCCACATTTCCATGAGGTTTGCTTTTCAGATACAAATCCAACCATGTCTTTAAAGCTGCTAAACACTGAAGTTTTCTCAGTGGCCAAGAGTTTGGAAAATTTATTCTCTGGATTTTCAGTTATCTGTTTTAAAGATTAATTTATAGGCCAGGTGTGGTGGTACACAGCTGTAATCCCAGCACTCAGAAGACTGAGGCTACAGAGCAAGACACTGTCTCAAAAACAAAAAACACAAAAATAAGCATGGTTGTTCAGGGTGGGTTGATTGATCTGGAACCAGGTTTAACCACGTGGTTTGAAGACCATGAGTACCAGGGAAGACCAGAACCTGAGTCTTCTAATTTGCCTTTAGTAAAACTCTCACCCTATGTTTGCAGCCCAATTTTGCCCATGGTCTAGCTTCTCTCCAGATACCCCATGGAGCAACTGTAAAACGGATGTTCATCTACAGTGGAAACAGCCTACAGGATACCAAGTAAGTGTAAGGAGCATGTGCTTCATGCTAAGGCCATGGGCTCCCTAAGAAGGGAGCACCAAGCCTCTGCTCATTCTATGCCTGTTCCCAGGGCTCCTGTGATGCCACTGAGCTGTTTCTTGGGCAATGTGTATGCTGAGAATGTAGATGTTCTTCGAGATGGAACAGGACCCTCAGGTTTACGACTTCGCCTACTTGCTGCAGGTCAGTTACTGGCTTTGAGATGGGTAGATTCCCCATTACATCCGTATAGAACATTTTAAAATCCTGTGTACTTAGAGATATGTCTTCATCCATTTTGGCTGCAGTAAAGAAATACGATAAACTAGGTAGCTTATAAATGACAGAAATTTATTTCTCACAGCACTAGAGGCTAGGAACTCCCAAGATCAAGGCACTGGCAGATTTGGTATCTGGTGAAGGCCTACTTCCTGGTTCATAGACAAATGTTTCGCCATGTCTTATGTTGGAATGGGCTTCCTAGCTCTCTGGAGTCATGAGGGCACCAACTGTAATTGAGAGCTCAACCCTCATGACCTAATCACCTCCCAAATGACCTGCATCCTAATACCATCACCTTAAGGGTTCCAACATAATGAAGTTTAAGGGAGCATAAGCATTCAGTCATTTGCCACATAGTTGGTAGAAGACAAATGATGCATGTATTTATGGTTAAAGCTTTTTAATTTTGTCAAGAGGCAGGACATAGCCTTGATCTAGCAATTTTTCTTGTGTGTTGTGGTATTGGGCTTTGAACTCAGGGCCTTGTACTTGCTAGGCATGCACTTTATCTATCACTTGAGTCATACCTCCAACTAGAAAACCTTTTTTTTGCAGGGGGTGGAATGGGAGGGTGCATACTGTGTCTTACCATGTAGCCCAGGGTGATCTGGAATTCATGATCCTCCTGCTTTAGCTTCTCAAGTGCTACAGTTAGAGGTATGGACCACGACACCCACCCATCTGTAGCAAATCCTCTTTTTTTTTTTTTTTTTTTTAAGGTACTGGGGTTTCAACTCAGTGTCTCACACTTATTAAGCAGGTGCTCTACCACTTGAACCACTTTACCAGCCCGTTTTTGTGTGTTGGGTATTTTTGAGATAAGGTCTTGCTTTTTTGCCCAGGCTGGCCTCGAATTGAGATCCTCCTTATCTCTGCCTTCTGAGTAGCTAGGATTATAGCCATGAGCCACTGGCAACCTGCCCCATTTTTAGCAAATCTTAATAAACAACAGTGGCACTTCTTTTCTCAGCATGCAGATAAACCTGCTGTGTGCTTATGTATCTTTGCAGTGGTTCCCAGGTTGTTTCTTAGGGGTATATCTTTACTTGGGAGGCAGAGAGAGGATAGCGATTCAAAGCTAGTCTGGGCAAATAGTTCTCAAGACCTTATCGAAAATAACCAACACAAAAACAGGGCTGGAGGAGTGGCTCAAGTTCAAGTCCCAGAATCACCAAAAAAAAATAGAGCTTCCACTTTGAGTAGATAGTATGTCTAGGATCCATAACTCACTTTGTAACTGACCATTGTTACTTTGAGTCTTGCTTAGATCATGGTTAATAGGACTGGGATCACCTGTGTAGAACTCATTCCCATAAAGAGCCTGAGTGCCAACAGAGGGTCTGTGCCTTCATGGAAGTCATAGTCCAACCTGCATTTGTTCATATATTAGGGTCTTGCATTAGTCCCTGGAGCATTGGTTCTGTTTTTTGGGGGGTTTTTTGTTTTGTTTTTGCAGCACTGGAGTTTGAACTCGGGGCCACACGCTTACTAGGCAGGTGCTCTTATTGCTTGAGCCACTTCACCAGCCCTTTCTTGTGATGGGTTTTTATCAGGATAGGGTCTCACAAACTATTTGCCTGGGGTTGGCTACAAACTGCAATCCTTCTGATCTCTGCCTCCTGAGCAGCTAGGATTACAGGCATGAGCCACTAGCACCCAGCCTATTTGCTTTTTTGAGATAGGAGCCCAGGAGGACTGGTGATCCTGTTGGCTCTGCCTCCTGAGTGCTGGGATAATTGGGTGGGGGGAAGGGGGGTGCACTACCACATGTGGCAAGCTGTTGTTTTTTGAGAGAATTGACACATGGCAGCTTAGTCTGTATCTGTCTTATCAGGAGGATCACTGCTTGAAACAGCAGGGTAGTCAAGGGTACGGGACATTAATCATCATGGGTATAACAGTAGGAGGTGCCTGCTAAGTGGTTCTGGCTGCCTCCTGCGTAGCATACTGTAACACTTCTCACTACTTAAACTGTCTGGAGAAAAACATTTTCTGTTAAGTCAGGGTCTTGCAGAGTTATTTCCAATCCAGTACTCATTGAAAGTTTCCTTTGGTGAACACAGGGGTCTTAACCAGTCCATTTTTCAACATCCATGTCTTTAGGGACTATGGCTATGGTAATGATTTTAACACAGTAAGTCAGCTCAGTTGTCTTAGGCCCCATAATTGTAGTAAGATACACTATAGGGATTCACAAACTAAAGTAATCTCCTAAAACTGAGATCAGTTTTTTACCTAAGTCGGGACAAGCAGAGTGAGAACAGAGAAGACTTGCCTGTGAAGCATTACATCCCTGCAGCTCCATCCACATATACAAAAGTATCTGGTACCTGAAGAGATGTATCAGACCACTGGAGACTGCGTCCACATTGATGGAACTTTTCTGATGTATTCTGTAGTTCACCTAGGCTTGTCTAAACAACAGTATTTATAGACAGAGGCCTATGAAGGTCATGTTTTTCCCAGGACCTAGTTAATTTAAACATACCCTTTATTTGCCAACCAGCATGCATGTGCTCTGGGATTAGTTGGAGAATTCAATATCTAGTTATTTCAGAATTTGGTTCTCTGAAGTTGTCTGCATATAACAAATGGTTTCACATGAAAGAGCTTTGGCAACTGGAAAGCCTTGTGCAGAATAAGATGATGTAAGCAATTGTCATGGCACCAAGAATTGTAGTTCTCTGATTCTTGACTTCCCTTTTTTATTTTGGGCAAAACACATTAACTGTTTATGTCTACTGGTTCACAGAATAATGGGGAGGTTTTACTGATGGTGTATCTAGCACTAGTGCCCAATACTTCTATGTTTGTGTAGGTATGTCATTAACTAATGCCAAAAAAAGAAACTTGGCAAATCAGAAGGTTTTTCCACCTTTGTACTTTCCTGTTTGCCTTTTTTTAAGTGATGGTATTCTTACCTGAGTTGGAGGACTCTCAGTGTGTAGCATTAGAAATGAATTAGTGTGTGCTTAATTATGGCTATTCTGCAGTGATCTCAAAGGTGCACTGTCTGGTTGGGTTACCTCTGGGGGGTTGGCAGAATGGTGCAAGTGGCAGAGCACCTGCCTAGAAAGTGTGAAGCTCTGAGTTCAAACCCAAGTACTGCAAAAAACAAAACAGAAAAACCAGGATGGACATGGGTAGCACATCCAGTAATCCCAGCATTTGATAGGCAGCGTCAGGAGGAGGGCAAGTTTAAAGATAGTCTGAGCTATACAGCAAGACACACTCTCACAACCCCCAAGAGCTAGGGATGTGGCTCAGTGGTAGAGCACTTGCCTACCATCTGTAAGGACATAGGTTCAATCCCCAGTACCACAAAAAGAAAAAGTGTAACAAATCCTGTGTCTTGTCATTATTCATGTTCATGACACCTACTGCTACTGCTGATCTTCACTCAGTTTTGATGATTAGATTGTGGTCTTTACCACCACATCATATACTTGCAGCTTAGTGGCAGAAATGTACGGTTTTATTCACCAGTATTTTCTCAGGATCTAGCATAGTGCCCTAGTCCATGGTAGGCAGTAAAGAAATATTACTAACTAAATGAATTCTCCAGCATTCCATGTAACATTGAGAAGATTGACTGAGTCCCTGGCAGTATTTTTGAGTAGACATTGATTTCTTAGAATCTTACTTAAGCCCCATTGACCTGGTATTTCCACCCACATGGCAGTCTTGCCCCTTAACAGATCTGATAATGCAGCCTGTAGCCAGTAGCATCTTTGGAGCCCCAGGGCCTTAGGCTATACTGTCTGCAGCACTGACCAGATCCTGACAACCTTTTCTTTGTTCTCTGCAGGTTGTGGACCTGGCCTTTTAGCAGATGCCAAGATGCGGGTATTTGAACGTTCAGTGTATTTTGGTGACTCCTGCCAAGATGTTCTTAGCATGCTTGGCTCTCCACACAAAGTCTTCTATAAGTCAGAGGACAAGGTAGGGGAAATGTGTTTATAGATAGAGTGAATAGCCAATCCCTCTGTCTCTTTTTTAAATCAGTAGTTTATTAATACCGAGTAAATATATAAACTATGCTATTTTCCCATAGAACCTGTTCTACTTAAAGTTGATGGTGAAGTGAAATCTTTTTTCCTGACCCCTGTTGGTTAAATAACCCTGCTTCTATCACTATAATGCCCACCTTTCCTTGGAGACCAGGGCCCAGTACATAGTCAACCATATCTGGCCCCATTGCCTCCGGTACTCTACCAGCAGCTAAGACTCCTCACACTGTTGCTTACCCAACAGCTTAATGTTATACAAGAAACACAGTGTATAGAATTTCTTTAATCAAGAGCTAGATTAAGAGGTTGGATTCTTCAGGTGCTGGTGGGGCTCATGCCTGTAATTTTAACTATTCAGGAGGCACAAAGGTCTGGAGGATTGCGGTTCAAAGCCAGCCCAAGCAAATACTTTGCAAGACCCTATCTCGAAAATACCCAACATAAAATAGGGCTGGTGGAGTGGCTCAGATGGCAGAGTGCCTGCCTAGCAATTGTGAAGCCCTGAGTTCAAACCCTAGTCCCACAAAAAAACAAAAAACAAAACAGAGGTTGGATTCTAATTTGGTTTTTTTTTTTTTCCCCTAACAGATGAAAATTCATTCTCCTTCCCCTCATAAACAAGTTCCATCTAAGTGCAATGACTACTTTTTTAACTACTTCACTCTCGGGGTGGTAAGTTACGAGGTTTATTTTGTTTTTGGTGGGTTTGGGGTTTGAACTTGGGGGTTCATGCTTGCAAAGCAGGCGCTCTACTGCTTGAGCCACGGCTCCAGTCCCATTTTGCTCTGGTTATTTTGGAAATGGGGTCTTGGGAAGTATTTGCCTGGGCTGGCCTCAAAATGTGATCCTCCTGATCTCAGCCTCCCCAAGTAGCTAGGATTGCAAGCCTGAGCCACAGGCACCCGGCAGTTGTGTCCCAGAGTTGACAAGTGCAAAGTGCACTTTTGCTTACTTGTGTGTACACATATAGCCATAACCATGCCTGGATATCAGGAAACCTTTCCCCCGGCTGGCTTTGCACAGTGTCATTTTGCATAGGTCCTGGTATCCCAACATAGACTTTTTCTGTCACCAAGAATACTGAGAAATACCAGGTTTCCTGGTGTGTCTTGACTTGTTTTCTGAGAGAAACGTGCTTCACAGAGGGAGGCTGTGGAAATCATTCAGGTTAAACTATTTTGGGAGCTACCTTTATATAGTGCATAGGACCCTCTTCTAGAGTCACAAAACAGGGAGACTGAAAAGACCTAGATAGTGGAAGTGTGCTTTTAGGATCACCCCAGAGGCATTGCTGCAGCCCTATACCTGGATCTAAGGCCCTGGATGGAGCTGGTGGTCCATAGGATGCATATGTGAGAAATCGCTGTAGCAGCAGTGCACCAGGAGGAAGCATCTCGGAAGGGCTGGGCTGGAGCATGGGTCTTCTAAGTTATCTTTGAGCCTTTCATGGTCTGAGGTCCTAGGCAGCAAAGGTTAAATTCCAGAGACAGACAAAGGTGATACTGGGTCTGCCTACTAGGAAAAGACCATACAGTAGCTAGGAGTTGTAGGAGAGCTATTGAGGTGATGAGGGAATAGTCCTGTTGCAAGTGCACCCCAGAGTTCAAAGGCCAGTGGTGATAAGCAGCAAAGATGATGGCAAGAATGGACTACTTTAGTAGGACTTTGTTTGCTACTTGTACAGAGGTAGAGTCAAAGATAACCCTGAGAGGTCCCAGACCTGAGCAGTTGGCAGAAGCTGGGAAAGGTATGGAGGATAGGAGGAAGTATTCAGTGGGTAGCATCAAATCCAGGTCTGACTCCTGGTGTGAGGTTAGGCCAAACTTCAGTTCTAGGAGTTGTTGATTTCCATAGAAAGTGTAATGGAAGTCAGGAGGGTCTGGATCTCTCTTATACATTTTAGTTCTCAAGCAGTGGTAGCTTCTGTGCCTGCCAACCCTCCCTTCTCCCCCACTGAAAATGCCCAGTTAGGGCTGCTTAGTCTTAGCTGTCCCCTTAACTACTGTTTGAGAGAAAGCGCATAGCCATGAGCATCCCCAAGGTGGAATGGAAGTCTCCAACTTGGACATGCCCTTGGAAAGGCCCTTGTCCTGCCTCAGCTTCCATAACTTTTCCTATTTGAACACCCTTGTTTTCTATCCCAGGACATCCTCTTTGACGCAAATACACACAAAGTGAAGAAGTTTGTCCTGCACACCAATTACCCTGGGCATTATAATTTCAACATGTGAGTATACATGAGAAGTGTGCTTTGGGCTGAAAATCCCAGGGGAAAGAACTTGGCTAATTTATGTCTCAGGATTTTGTTTTGCAGTGCTGGGGATTAAACCTAGGCCCTTGTGTATACTAAGCAATTGTTCTACTACTGAGTGACACTCCCAGCCTCTCCCTGAATTCTTGCTGCTTTCATGGGAAGTGAACATTTGCTAAGTGTCTATTTTACAAATAAGGAGATAGGACCAAAAACCAGTCCTCAGAGCCATGACCTTTTCTGTTTGACTTCAGTGCCTAAATGGGGCCTTCCCCCAGTGAATGCTGTATCAGGGACCCAAAGCGAAGTCTTTGGGCAGGTGTGTTGGGTTCTGTTTTTTTCTGGGGTGCAGGGTAAGGATGTGGGAGTGGTCAGGCCTCCCAGGAGCCACAGCTTTTACTTTCATCTGCCTTCTCTCTAGTTATCATCGCTGTGAGTTCAAGATCCCACTAGCCATAAAGAAAGGTGAGTAGGCAGTGCCCTCAGGTTAAAGGAGGGGATTTGGAGTTACTTTTTCACTCTGAAAAGCAGGAAGAAGCCAGAGAGGTTGGTTAGTGGTTAGTTTGTGGAACCTTTGCCTGCTTGCTTCTCCTAATACCCTCAGCTCCTCTTGGATGGGACCCTTGTTCTAAGAGCTTATTAGTTCTGGGTCTGGAGTATCATGGAAGTCCTCTAAGCCTCCTGTGACTGTGAGATTGCTGGCAACTGGAATGGAGAGTTTCCTATCTACATATGATCATCCAGTACCCCAACCCATACTTGGTGCTCACTGCCAGTTGGTATAGCTCACACCTAGACTTTGCCCCTCCATCCTCTTCCACCTTGGAGCTCCACATGGCTTGTCTATGCTGCATCTGTATTTCAACTCCAGGCAAAGGGTGGCTAGACCTGGATTCTGCCTATGATCACAGCTGGGCTGGACCAGCTACTAGCCTGACCTCTGTTCTCTTTTCAGAAAATGCAATTGGTCAGACAGAAATATGCACAACATACAGCAAGGTGAGCTCCTACTGTCCACTTGATACAACCTGAAAATGAGGTGGGCACAAGCCTCCAGCAATCTGGGGCCATATCCTCTGGGCTAGTCATTGGTCACAGGTGTTCTGGTCCTTGCTAACCCTGCTGCCCTCTATTCCTTTTATAGTGGGACAATATCCAGGAGCTCCTAGGCCACCCTGTAGAGAAGCCTGTTGTCCTGCACAGGTGAGTGAAAGATTGCTGTTTCAGACACCCCATCTTTCCCTTGAAGCCCAGAAGGCTCTGCCAGTGGGTATTGCTTAGAAATTACTTAAGTTTCTGGGCTGGATATGTAGTTCAGTGGTAGAGCCCTTACCCAAGACCCTGGGCTTCATTCCCAGCACTGCCAAAAAAAGAAAGAAAGAGAAATTACAGAAATTTTTGATGGCTCCAAAACATGTCCAGCCCTTAGGACTGGGCCAGCTGTTCTGCATGTTTAACCTGTAACAGGTTACTCCTTGGTATAGCTCCCTTCTCCCTGCCCTAGCTCAAGGTATGCAGGCCCTCTCACTCCTAGTTATTTGGAATGGGAGATAAGTCTTGACCATCTGTCCTGGTCTCTCTTTTCCTGTTCAAGCTGCTTACCTGTTATAGCCCACAGCCCCATTCCTGCTGCCTGAAGTTCTCACTTAAAAGGGCCTTCCTAATTTCTTACCACCTCCAAGTTCCCCAGTAACTTTTTGTGCCCTGTTGGCCATCCCTACCCCTAGGACTTTGAAGGGAAGAGACAGATACACTCACAGCCATGGTAGACCACTATCCAGTAGCCCACATCCCAAAAAGGATTACATGCTCTGCTGACCTTGGCTTGTTTCTGCCTCTCTAATTCTGGCTTCTCTGGCTTCAGATCCTCCTCTCCAAATAACACCAACCCATTTGGCTCCACATTCTGCTTTGGTCTCCAACGAATGATCTTTGAAGTAAGTCTTCAAGTCTGTAGAAGTAAGCTGTCGAGGGGTTGGTGGACAGGCCAATTGAGGAAAAGTAGAGAGGGCTTAACTACCATGCTAAGCAGATGAATCCTTCAGCTTGGCCACACTTAACAGTAAGGGTTCAGAGTGGAAATGTGGAGTTCACAGAGGCTGAATCACTCTATATCCAACAAGATGAAAGGTAATAAGGATCCAATATTTGAATCTAAAAATGGGTATAGCAGGGAAAGGGGGAGCCTCAGGATAAGTGGGGCAAAACCTGGGCATTTGAGGGGCACCTTTGAGTGACATGTGAATGAATGTACTGTAGGTGAGTGATTGGAGGCCACACCTTCACAGGCCCTTAGCAATTCCAGAAGGCCTCGATAAATGGGTGTGGTAAAGTGTATGTATCCCATAAGGCAGATCCTCAGGCAAAGGTGGTCCCCCAGCATGACTTGGGGAAGACTGAGAGATCAGGAAGCCCAGGTCAGGTATATCATGTGTACAACCTTCAGCCCTCCCAACCCCATACACACATCTGCCTGCATCCCTTCTACCCTTCCCCTTAACCCACTGTCATCTTCTCACACCAGGTCATGCAGAACAACCACATTGCCTCAGTGACTCTGTATGGCCCTCCTAGGCCTGGTACCCACCTGAGAACAGCAGAGCTCCCCTAGAGACGTCACCATCCATACCCCTCTACTTATGGAACTGTGCATTGCATCCTACTCAGTGGGTTTCTGTGCTACCCTTTGGGTTTTCTTGGACACCTTGCCAGTGTTGAAGGGCTGAGGGATGTTCTGAGGTGGAACTCAGGCTGAGTGCTCTGCCATGGGACAAGGGACCCAGATATTCTTCTATCCGTCCTAAAAGCCTACTGCTGCTGGCAAGAAACACAGACTGCAAAGAGAAGCACAAACTTTGAGCCTCACTTGATACTTGGACACAGAGGCTCTCAACTAACAAATTAAGGGGGCAGGACACATCAAACCCTGTCCTACATACATGGGAAAAATGGGTTTCTTCCTGCGGCTGAGGACACAGGCAACCAGGATAAGGACAAGGTCCTGCCTTTGGCTCCATATTGCCACTTGACCCTTAAGACAAGCAGGTAGCATGTCCATAATACTTGGTTGCAACATTTGCACTACATCCACTTCACTTACTTGATGAACTGGCTGTGGTCAAGGTGGCCCACTTGCCCATCCCTGTTACTTGTGAGCACATGTTCCCTGCTAGGCCCAGAAGGAGCACCCAACTGGTAGAAATACAGTTTCTGCCACCCAGGTATGTGCCCAGGCCTGGTTCCCACTGCTCTTGGAGTCCACTTCAAGGTTGCCTGTGCCCCTGTTTGGCCTACCCTGGCTGGCAGGGCTGTATGTTTCCATCTGTTTGCCTCTTTTATTTAATGCCAAAGTTTTAGCCAAAGACATGTTCCTCCTTTTGTTGTGTTCAGCATTGTTCTGCACTGCAGGCCAATTTCCTGTCCTGACTCTGGGCAGTGTCCTCTGGCCTGGCCACTCAAGTCTCAAGTCTTCTTAGGGGCTCAAGGAAGGCTCAGCTGCTTGGTTTCTTCATGGGTCTTGCTATCAATAGGAAGTAACATATATGTGCTTTAAAAACATTAGTCCTTTTGAAAAGATTTGAGAAAAGAAATGTATAATTTTATCCCATTTTTAATATTTTGGTCTAGCAACTTGTGATACATAGATGACAATTTTGTGAGTTTTTCAAATGTGTGTATAGACTTTTGTAAATATGACTTTTTGTAATTAACTCATGTACAGCCTCATCCTGTATAGTTCATGATGAATGTGCAGGGGACCCGCCCCAGATGCCTATAGTTTCTGGGCCTACACCCAGGCTTGTGTGGTGTTCCCATGACTTTGTGACTGACGAGTGTCTTCCCATTTGGACCATGGTCTGGCCAGAGACCATGTACATCCCACTATCAGGAGTAGTCAGGACTGTTCCATCTTCTCCGAATGGGGAAAATTCCTCATCCCTTGCCCACCTCCATCCCCTCTCCAATAAAGCACCTATGCCCACAGCAGTGGCCCACCATGTGCTGCTACAGGGGTGTTTGTACTAAAATAAGTGTGGAAATGTTTTTTTTTTAGGAGGGGTGGTTGAGGAATATGGGAGAATGTAGTGGAGGAATCTTAGGAGGAAGACTCCTCAGTTCCTCTGAAGGGAATGACGAAGTCATCAGAAGGACATTGGCATAGTTGTGTGGTGTAAGAGGTAGGCAAAGATTTTAGGTACGACCATGACACATTTGTCCCTGTGTGTGTCAAAATCCCTGTGTTGCAGGCAGACTTGGCGCAGGAGGGGCTGGCTCAGAGGGGAAAGCTCTGAAGATGTGGACAGGACTGGGAATCCAATTTGGAGAAGTAGGTGGAAAGCAAAATGTCCACTTTCAGACTGAGCCATGGCAGAGTGCCTGCCTGGCTTTGAGACTTCCTGCATCATCCTAGGGGTTCCAAACCAAGTCGCCACTGTTGTGCACTCGTGCTACTACTTGCTACTAGGAGAACTAAACAGTCCTCTTGGGGCCTGCTGGGCCATACGTGGTCCTCCCTTACACTGGCTCCAAACCTGCTGCTGGTAGTGCGGGCCTGCAAGAGCCACGCTCCACTCCATTCCTGGGATCCTGTGGAGGCTAACATCCAGTAATCTGGGGAAAAGCCACATACACTATAATAATCTGCACGGGGTACCCCTTCAAGCTCTCTGGCTCCATTCTGGAGCTGAGTGAGAAAAACTTGCCACTGTTGGGTTAGCTAAGAGTTCCACTGGAAGGGACCTGCAGCCATGGGCTGCGGGTGTGCACAGATTGGCCCATGTGGCCGGTGCAGCAGGCGCCACATAAGCCAGATGTCAGCGGCTGAGAGCCCGTGCACGACCACCAGTTCGCGGTAGAAGCAGGGGTCGAAGGTGTGCAGATGCGGTGCCGCAGACGGCTGCGAGATGCCAAAGGTGCGGAAAGCCGGGTGAGGCTCAGGCGTGAGCCTCAAGCGCTGCAGACACATACCTAGGAAGACGTCATCAATGGGAAAGAGCTCAACCTGAGCGCAGGCACCAGCTAGGCGGCGCAGAGTAGCTCGGGAAAGAACAAAGCCACCACCTCCTGCGTAGGCCGGATACACCGGCAAGCCATACACAGCCTCAGGGATGTAGTACTTGCTGTCCCGTGCGCGGATTGGCCGCGCCTGCACAATCACATCACCCGCAAGCAGGTCCTGTGCTGGATCCCGCGGCGCCAGGAAGTCCAGCAGGTTCCCCATGTGCACGAACACATCGGCGTCACCCTTAAAAACGAAGCGCGCATCAGGGCAAAAGGCTGAGGCCCAGGCCAGAAAGTGGATCTCTTTGAGCGTTAGATTGAAAAAAGTGTCATCGAAATCCCAAAGGAGGATGTCTGCGTATGCAAGACTCTCCGCTCCCAAAAGGGTGCGCCAGTGCGTGCGCGCGCCCAGCCCCTCCGCGTTCCCCACGTCTGTGCCTACGACCCTAGGCACGCCCAGCAAGAACACTCGCCGCACGAGCGCCCCCTGTATGCGGCCCTCGGCACCCCACGTCTGGCGCACGGCCTGACGCCGCTCGAAATCAGCAGCCACTGACTTGACAGCAATGAGTAGATCAGGTCGATCGTTGAGTGCACCATCACCGCGGCACTTGTGCGGTTGGTTAATGAGTAGCGGGAAGCGCCGCTGGTCCTTGGCGCGCAAGTAGCGACCGAAGTCAAAGGGACCCGTGGGCGTGGGTGGCACCGGTGTGTCCCCTTCGTACATCGGCGGAGCTGCGCCTGCTTCCAGTACCTGGAACGCACGAGGACCCGGGGTGGGCTTTCGGGCGGGCCGCCCTCGCGCTCGTGGCGCGCTCATCCTCGGGGCCGCCCCTTCGCGCTGCGTATAGAGTAGGAGGCCGAGGGTGGCGCCGAGGAGTAGCGTGAGTAACGCGTCCCGGCGTAGGCGCAGCCTCCACATGTCCGCGTGCCCTCGCCCGCCCTCCCTTCGAAGGGTCGCGAACAATGGCTCCCGAGGCGGTGGCGAGTGGACAGCGGCTGGCAGGCGCTCCCAGCCCCGCCCTCCCCGAGAGGAGAGGAGGGGGCAGAAGACCAAGCCCCCGGACCTTCCAGCTACCGGTCGTTCATCGCCTCTGGTCGACCTCTGCCCTGGGGTTCTGACGCACTGCCGGGACGAGCAATCTAAAGGGGCAAGAAGTTCCCCCCTTTTAGCCAATTCCCAAACCCGTGGCACTGACTCGAGTGCCGCTAGGCCGGGCCAGGAGACGCGGAGCTTCGGCTCTACCCCTCCCCCACGCCTTGGCCTAATCCCTTCTACTTTTCCCCTCCCCACCCCTGGCCTCGGACCCTTGGCATCCGACACTCACACTCTGCCCTCTGGAGCGGCGTGAACGCCGGGGCCTCTGGGCTCAGCGTAGGGTCCCAAGGGCGGCCACGAACGGGGACTGGGCCAAATGTAGCGTTGGCAGGAAGGGGGCCGGGGCCGTGCCACGTGACCCCCCAGCTGTGCGCGCCCGGACATCTGGAGTTGAGCTCCGCCCCGGCGCGGGAGCGCCATCCCGGAATGGGACTAATCTCTGCGAGGATTCCTCACGGACTCGCTGGGAACGGCTGATCTTGGTGCTGCGTCAGACTCCACAAGTACATCTTTCTATGGCTTGAGAAGTATCAGTGTCTCTGGTAACCCCACCCCCCACCTCTGCGGAATGGGCGGGACCTGGGCTGTCAGATTCCCCTGGCCATCACACGTGTCCCAAATCCCTGGCCATCACACGTGTCCCAAATCCCAAGGAGGGACTGGGCGTTTTATGTCGACCTGGCCACTATCCGAGTCCATTCTTCATAGTGCCTCTCCTCAGGAGCCCTCGTTCTACTAGACGGGCCATCCGTAAACCATAACACACACACACACACACACACACACACACACACACACAGCTTGACGGGCCATCCGTAAACCATAACACACACACACACACACACACACACACACACACACACACACACACACAGCTTGTCCAGTTCTTAGCACAACCCTGCCAGACTAGATGCTCGTGGCTCACCCTGTAATCCTAGCTACTCTGAAGGCAGAGATCAGGAAGATCATGGTTCAGAACCAGCCCAGGGCAAATAGTTCCAGAGACCCTATCTTGAAAATAGCCAACACAGAAAAGGGCTGGCAGAGTGGCTCAAGTGTTGGAGCACCTGCTTAGAAAGCTTGAGTTCCTGAGTTCAAACCCCAGTACCACAAAAAAAAAAAAAAAAATCCTGAGCTTCACTGCTTCCCTCCACTTTTACTTTCCCACCACCTCACTTCCCACTCCCTCCCGTGGTATAGTTCTGGATGGTCCCACCAGAACCTCCTTAACCCACTGGTTCCTGGGCAGTCGGGACTGACTGGCAGCCTCCTGTACAACAACAGACTCCTGACTTCAAATCCCCTGGTTTTCCTTTTTCCATTTGTGCTGCTCTTCTTTCCTAGTAGGTCCTTCAGGGTCTCCCACACACATTCTCACCTGTTCAGTCATGGATCTTTAGACCTGACCCTTCTCTTGGGCTCAGAACTGTATGCCAGCACCCTCGAGGTCCCTGTCTGAAGTCCTGAAAGAACACCATTCCCTGTGAACAAACAGCAAACAGGGCCTCCTCCAGGCCTCTATCCGACTGGCAAACACAGGAACTCCGATATTCTCTTCCCATTCCTCATCCATGGTCACAAACCTGTAATTCTTCCTCCCCAACAGCTTTTGTTGTTCATCCCCATTCCTCCATCTCTTCAGGCACTGCCTCAGACTCTTACCTCTTCCTCCACCACCAGCCTCCCAGTGTGTGTGCGTGCAGATGTGTGTGCAAGAGTGGATGTGTAGACAAGGAAGTGAGGGCAGCCAAGCTGAATCCTTCGATTCTACCTGCTATTCTTTCTCCCCCACACCTGTGTGGTGGTAGTGGACCACCATATTTGCATTTCTTTCATTAATTTCCAAATTAAAAAAAAATCTTTAGAGTTGGGAGTGGGAAAGGCAGGAAAGGGGAAATGAGGAGAGTCATAGAAGAGCAGGAAGAAGACATGGAGATGAAGGATTAACCTGGAGTTAAGGAATATAGGAGGAGGTGGGACTTAAATCCTTCATAATTGCCTATGTGTCAATGGGGAAACTGAATGACACTTTGAAAGAGCTAGAGTTTCTATGTATGGTTAATGTGGAATTAGGTTTACAAACCCTGCTTCCCAGCCTAAATAAATTTGGAAATTTAGAACTTAGGAAAACATGATTTCTGGAGGCTTGGAAGTCGTGATGGAGAAATAGCCAAATCTTAATCTACCTCAGTCTGAGTGGAAACAAAATCAAAGATCTCTACAAGAGAAAAAAAAATTTTTTTTGGTGGAACTGGGGTTTGAACTCAGGGACTTGCACTCACAAAGCAGGTACTCCACCTGCTTAAGCCACACCTCCAGTCCATTTTGCTCTGGTTAATTTGGAGATGGGGGCCTCAAATGTTGATCCTTTCTAGCTCAGCTTCCCAGGCAGCTAGAATTACAGATTTGGCCCACTGGCACCCAGCTTTGCAAAATCTTAAAAAGTAAAGTTTTGACTTGTGTGACTGTAAAATGAAAAATCTGAGAGATTTCAACGAGTGTGTTTTTGAACTGCAGCAAATCAAATTCTTAGATGAACATGATCAGGAAGGTACCAAAGCGCCAGACTTAGAAAAGGAAGATGAGGAGGATGGAGATGAAGATGGCAAAAATGAGGAAGATGAAGCTGGCCCACCTGAAGGATGTAAAGAGGAGGAAGGTGAAGCACGCTCAGAACAGGGAGAGGAGAAGAGGAACTAGGCCACTCATACTTAATGAAAGAAGAAATTCAGCTGGGCACCAGTGGCTCAGGCCTGTAATCCTAGCTACTGAGAAAGCAGAGATCAGGAAGATCTCTGTCCGAAGCCAGCCCCAGCAAATAATTCGAGACCCTATTTCAAAAAAAAAAAAAATCATAAAAAGCAAAAGTACTGGTAGAGGGGCTCAAATGGTCAAGTGCCTGCCTAGCAAATGTGAGGCCCTAGGTTCAAACCCCAATACTGCCAAAAAAAAAAAAATTCAGGTTGAAGAAAATGATGATTATGTTGAAGGGGAAAGAAGAGGAAGATAAGGGCTTGGGAAGGAAGAGGAGAGGAGATGCTGAAGATGTTGGAGAGGAAGCATGACTGATGGTTCTAAGATTAGACTCCCTGCTGTGCAACAGAGTGATCACATCTTTGTTTCTTCATAGCTATTCCTACCAAAGATACTATGTAGCTTTTATAGGAAAAATGTGGCTTTACTAGTTTTGCCTTATTCCAAATAAGATTTACTAGTTTGAAAAGAAAAACATAAAAAGGTGTACTAGTCTGTTAATAATATACAGAGAAAAACTCTTATTGATCACCCCCATTGTGAAATTCTCTAGCAATGTATTTGAAATCTTTTTTTTTTTTGGTGGTACTGAGGTTTAAACTCAAGGCCTGGTGCTTCCTAGGCTGGCGGTCTACCACTTGAGCCACACTGCCAGGAGCATCTTAATTTTTCTAATCCAAGCTTACTGGGTTAGATATTTTTAGCCCATAATTTAAAATACACCCTTAAAAAAATCCGAACTTGCCAGATGCTGGTGGCACATGTCTGTAATCTAGCTTCTTGGGAGGATGAAATCGGAAGGATCACAGTTTGAGTCCAGCCCAGGCAAAGTTCCAGAGACCCCATCTCCAAAATAACCAGAGAAAAATGGACTGTAACTGCTGCTTTGCAAGCACAGAAGCCCTGAGTTCAAACCCCAGGCCCCCAAACACGCAAAAAATATCCACACTCTGTAACAGAGTTCACCAGACCCCATGTTATCCCTCCCCCCATTCAGCCACTCTCAACTTGATATTCTTAGACCACTCCTATCTCTCACCTTCAAATCCCCCTGCCTTAGCCTGCTGTGCCCAAGAACACTGCCCCCCTCAAAACTCCCCACTCCACCCTGCCCATTCTCATGTCTTTCAGGAACCTAATCTCTGTGCTTCCACAACTCACTGAATGCAAAAAGGTTACACTTTATTACCTCTGCGGAGGTCTCTGGTCCCACATTGAGTGTGCTGGGGACAGGCAGTATTTCCAGCACCTGGGGTGATGCCTAGGACCCTGAAGGTATTCGTTTGTTTTTAATTTTTTATTTATTTTTAGACAGGGTCTCCATGCCTAGCCCAGGCTGGCCTGGAGTTTGGGATCCTCCTTCCTTGGCCTCCCAAGTGCTAGGATTACAGGCATGTACTACCATACCCAGCCTTAGTCCAAGTGCTTAATGAGTCATCATCCAATGAATGAGAGGATGACAATTGGTCACACTTTCTCCATCAAAGGGGCAAAATCGCCAGTGCTGCCCTCCACGAGCTCGGTGGTTGAGTGTGTGGATGCTGGGGAAGGCAGTCAACGCTTCCTCTCTCTCTCTCTCAGCACCTCAGCGACGTGTGTGTGGGGTGTATGCTCAGAGTTCCGTGGATGGAAGGAAGGGAGGGGGCAACTATAGCAGCAGCAGTGGTAGAAAGCACCTAGGGCCATGCAAGCCCTCCAAATTCTGGCTGAGCTCTTGGCCGTCCTCCCCTTCCTCGTTAGCGGGCCTAGGCTAGGCCGCCATCACGATCTGTAAGGCCCAGCAGGTCCTCCGCCAGACTGGTGAGCTCGTTCTCCTCGAGCGCCTCCACGAGGCGCTGCAGCGTGGCGCGGCGGCCCTCGGCCTGCACGAAGCGCCGCAGCAGCTGGAAGGCCTGCTCGTACAGCCCCTCGCGCTCGTACTCGTAGGCCAGCGAGTCGAGCGCGGGGTCCCGCAGCGCCCGACAGCCGCGCTGCAGTGAGCGCCCCACCCTGCGCCACTTGAGGCCCACTGAGCGTGCGAACGTCTGTTGGTCCTGCAGGCTCAGCGGCCGGTTCACTGCGGAGGGAGCAGGGAGGGGAGGCGGTGGGCCCGGGAGACCCCAGAGCCGTCATCCCCCCCACCCCCCACCCCATGCCCGCCCTTCCTCCCAACTTCCACCTCCCGTGATCCCGCTTCTGCGCGTGCGCCTCACCTATGGGCTGACCCTGGAACAGAAAAGTCTGGCCAGACGCGGGCGGCGGCTTCTCCTCCGACGGAGAGGAGACCAGGGACTGCGAGGCGGCTGGAGCGATCTCCACGTCGCCACCCTGGCGGGCCGAGCCGCACGCCAGATTGCGGAGCGCATCCTCCAGCTCAGCGAGTTCCTCGTCCCGGAGTCGGTCGGGCTAAGAGAGGAGGTGCGCAGTCAGTGTAGGGTTTTAGCCGCGAACCCCCACTCACCCCAACCTGACCCCAGCCGTGGCCGCACCTTCTGGGTTAAAATGTAATTCACACAGCGCTCCTCATCGGTCAGCCAAGCATCCAGCCGTTCCGCGCCTGCGCGCAGCTCCAGCTGCAGCGGTACCGAGTGCCGGGCGAGCGCCGGCGCCAAGCATTTCTGCAGTGCGGCGCGCAGCGCCCCCTCGCGGTAAGCGCGGAGGAAACGGCTGCAGGACTGGCGCCCGCAGAAACGCAACTGCACTATCAGCTGCGGGTCGCTGCGGTGGATCTTGAGTATCTGCAGCAGGTCCGGGCTCTCGGCACTTTCTGCGGAGGCGAGCAGTCAGGCGCCCAGCGGACCCAAAGCGGGGCCGTTCTCCAAGCCACCGGAGAGGCGAAGCCCGTGGTTCCCATCCCCTGACCTGGGGTGCAGGGTTTCCCCAGCTGGGAGACATTACCAGCGTACAAACGGCAACAATTCAGAGAGAAGACCAGAACCTATCATAGAGTGCATCCCAAGACAGAGTGTGTGCCACTTAGCCCCATCTGTGAAGCGCCAAACGAGGGTGGGCTAAAGGAGGGGCTTTGCAACTGAGAAAGGGGGCGTGTGCCCTGAGCCGCCAAGCCCTCTGGGTAGGCAGACAGGGGAGGAGGTCTCAAATGTTCCGCACCCCAGACCGACTCTGTGCAGCTACCTCTACCAGAGAGGGAGAGGGGCTCTTGCCGTTCTGAGGCTGGAATAAGATTCCCCCAACCGGCTTCAGCCTCTTGTGGTCTCTGCCCTGAGATGAGAAAGGGGAACCTAAAAGGGTAGGTACTGGGGAGGGATCTTGGGCAGGAGTGCTGCAGTGAGAGAGGAAAAGAGGAGAGAGAAATTTGCAATTAGTAGAAAGCAGTGAGCTGGCTAGTGGAGGTGAGACACGGAGCAGGGGGGCGTTAGTGCAGACACATACATCATCGTACACAGACACGCATATATATGTCTACACTCTAGGATACACATGCAGTAATCAGAAAAGGCTGACCCCAGCAGCCAGGAGTCTTCCTTCTCACCTCCACACGCACCTCACCCTCCACACACCCACCCCACCCTCTTGTTCCCTGACAGTGGCTAACCGTAGGCCCACAAAGTCAAGGAGGTGGGCCTCAGGTCCAGTGCCGCCCACAAATACAACTCTTCCTCTCCCATACCTGCCAAACTACGCACCTGCCAATGCTGTCTGCAGAGCCTTATATATCGCCACCTTCTTCTGGGAGTGTGCGTAGGCATCGGACAGGACCACCTTGTCCAGCGAGGACTCCAGAAACAAGTATGCGCTGCCCACCCACTCTTCCTGCCCATTTGACCCAGCTGCCATCTCTCCTCCTGGAGACACATATAGGCATCCGGGTCACTCACACACACACACACACACACACACACACACACACACACACATGCCTTGAGGAGAACCATCGAGGCCCATGTGGTCCAGCTGCCCCTCCACAGCAGCCCCTGACACACTTGGGGCAAGGAGTCCACCATCTCACAGGTAGCCCCTTGTCTGCACACACCCCACCCAGTCCAGACTTTTAGTGAGGATTGTCCCTCCACTGCCTTCCAGGAGAAGTCAGGGCCACAGTGGCAGATGAACAGAGGTGGACCCTGCAGTGGAAGCAGAGAAGCTCTGTCCTCTCCTTAGGCCAGTGTGTCTGTTTTGAAAGCTGAGGGTGCCCATGCTCCAAAGCCAACCTGGCCTTGCCTTCAGCTTAACCTTGTCCCCCAGGATCCCTGGAGGTCCACAGCCCCACCCCTAGGTTCTTTCACCTGCCTTCCCACTACACCTCCTGCCTTCGTTTCTTTCTGTTCTTTTTCTTTCCTTTTCTTTTTTTGACTTCACTTCAAAACAAATCGGTACCTTGCTCCTACCCAGCTCCCCCAATCCTGACCTCTGAGATTGTACCTCCTCCCTCTTCTCAGACTCTGTGCTTGTTGGGAGAATTAATCCCACTCCGGAGTTCCAGGTATGGGCAAGTGAAGTTGGCCTAGCCAACCTGAATATCACATTCACCATTTTGCAAGGACTAGTTTCAGGACTGATACAGGGCTCTAGTTTGACCAATGAGAATCAACCCTGCAACTCTGGCTGGACCAGTAGGAAAAAGGCACTAATTTCTTTTCCCTTGGTCTGAACTGGGTAGGTCTCCTTTGCCACTGTATGGGAAAGGCCTGGCTGAGAATGAAACCAACACTTAAGGAAACAGAGCCAAGAGATGGGATGGTGCAACTCTTAACAACCCTATGCCCCTGGATCCAGCTGTTCCTGAATCCATTCGGACTGTTCAGTTATGTGAGAGTTATGTGAGCTAAATCATTTCACTCTGTTATAAGATCCTTGGAATTGGGCTCTTGTCTTCTTCAACTCAAATTGTTTTATTAGAGATACCTTCTTTGTCCAGACAAAGCCAGGGCCCCTTAGTGCCAGTACCTCCTTTATCTGTCTTCTATCAAAAGCCACTCATTAACCCTCAGCTCAGTGCCCCCCACCCATTACCATTACATGAGGAGGCAAGTGGGGAAACTGTTCTGCTTCTTCCTCCTCACCCCCCACCTCAGGCAACATCTCCCCACACCCTTTTCCTAGAAACAAGGGCTCAAGACTCCACCTCCTTCCCCATATTCCTTTACTCTCTCATTTTCAGCATTTACATGTGGCGGACAAGGTGATGATACCCAGTTTTGGGCATGACAAGTAGATAGCCTCAACAGGCTTTGATTTTTTTTTGGCAGTACTGGCGTTTGAACTCGGGGCCTCCTGCTTGCTTGGCAGGTACCTTACCACTTAAGTCACTCTGCCAACACCTCCCCCCAACCCCCCCACCCCCTACCCTGCCCCATTCCCCCCCTTCACCCCCCCCAGCTGGCTTTGACTCCTGAGCTCAGAACAGAGGTTGCATTTCAGATCTACCCCCAGGCTCTTCGTGGCAAGGCTGAGACATTACCTAGTCAGGGGCTCTTTACCATCACCCAGACCCTGGCAAAAGATAAGTGACGACTGCCCTACACTTATTTAAGTCCCCTCCCTACCCATCTTTTCACAGAAAACATGTTAATATTTGTGTATTTACCCAAAACAACAGTCTGGAAGTTAAAAATCTAGCACTGTGTTTAGCTCTGGGCAGGATGGGCAAGATTAGGGGTGGTTTTTATTTTCTTTGTATATTTAGAAATATTTTCTACTTTATGTAAAGTAGACATATTGTCTTTGTATTGAAATAATCAAATAAAGAGCTGGTGTGGTGATGCACACCAGTAATCCCAGCACTCAGGAGGGTAAGGTAGGAGGATCTGGAGTTGTAGGCCAGCCTGGACCATGTAAGGAGACTACGATTCTAAAAACATACACACAAAAAGCAAAATAAATGTCTTTCTTCATTTGATCTTAGACAAAAGATGAAGAAGCGACAATGTCTTTCTTAAAAGCAAAACAACAAAAACAGGATGAAACTCTTCTAGTGACAAGTAGGGCCAAGAGAAGTAGGGAGCCAACCAAGGAAGTAAAACAAGGGGAGAGCCCTAGGAAAGTGGCTTTGGAGGATCCTGGAAACATACCCCTTTCACATCCTCCTACCCCTGACTTGGAAGTGCTGACCTAATGGATATGGTCTCACCAGAAAGGATGGAAATCGGGTCAGAAACGGACCTGAATCTGTCCATCAGGCCCGCCAGGCAGGTACTGGTGATGAGGAGACACGCCATCACTCACTAGCACTGGGCCAATGGGGGAGCCTGGGAGTTCAGTTAGCAAGGTAGGGAAGAGGTTGGCGGTGGGGGGGGGGCGGTTGGGGAAGGATCCTCTTCCATTCTCTTCTTTGGGAATCCTTCTGTGTCCTTCCACAGAAAACCCCTGCGTGGGAAGCCCCGAACCCCATTCATCCAAAGTCCGCCCCTCCTCCGTCTTGGGAACGCTTAGTGGGCGGACAATACGTGGACCCTTGGGTACCAACCTAAGAACAACTGCTCCTACTGCCAGAGGCACGGCGCCTCACAAACACACCACAGTCCCTAGGAAGCGCCACCTCTGCCTGGATGGGCGAGGATGGCCCAGGGACTGAAAGCCAGAGATTCCCGGGAGCAGCCGGGCACGCCCCCTACACAGCTGCGCCGTCCGGAGCCCCGGAACCGAGCTTCCCAGGCTCCCACTAGCCCGCCTTCATGTTGGAGTTCAGCACGTGCCTGGACTGAGGCGGACAGGGGAATCCGTCACAGAACTGTTCAGACTCAGCCCTGCCTCAGACCCTTTCTCCTCAGGGTCCTGACTCCGCTCAAAAGCCCTAAATTGGAACAAGAAACTGCGAGGGTGAAGTTCCGTACCCCCTCCCGCCTCCCACCAAAACAGCCCCAATAGGCCATCACAGTGATTAGCTGGCCGGGGCAGCCACGGGTGGCGATCGCGCAGTACCCACGCCAGAACCCGCCTCTGCTCCCTGCGTACCAAGGAGCCCACTCACCCTCTGCACTAACCTGGCCGCCTCGGCCGGGCCTGGGTTCCCACGCCCGCCAGGCTCCGCTCCGCGCGTCGCTTCCGGGTGTGCGCGGAGGCGCCGGGGCGGTGCCCCAGCCCGAGCCTCCCCGTCCGCCCGCGCATCCCGCCTTCCCGACTCCCGGCGACTACTACTTGTCCCGCTGTCCTCCGCGACCAGTCTCCTGCCTCTGGGCAAAGCTTACCTGGTCCGTTGAACAGGTAAGACATCAGCGCCCGAGTTTAGACGGCAGGAACAACTGCCCACGGATCATGATTTTGGGAGCTTGCGGTTCTTACCAAGCCAGAGGGCCCCGGAGAGAGCTGCCAAACTTCCGTCGGTTCTTGGCGGACCAACAAGAGGGCGCCCCCTGGGGATCAAAATTTTCTGGTACCCCCCTGGGAATCAGGCTTCATAATTTAATCTCCCTAGTAGTCAAAACTGGGTGCCGCGTGTCCCAGGTCCAAGCCTGGGCAAGAGTGTCCGAAACCCCTGAGCACACTCCAGGAGAGACCGTTAGCCTGGAAAATATGGGAAAATAAACTGGCGAGTGGTGTGAAACGTGTGTACAAAACCCTTCGGGCACCTTGAAACAAAATTCGCAACCTCAAAGAGGACGCACAATTTCCAAAAACCTCATTCTCTCTCTAAAAGCTGCGCTCCAGGGTGGATCTGCGGAGTTCTAGCCGAATCTAAATTACTCAGCCGCAGCCAGGGCTGCTCAAGGTCAGGGTCGGAATTTGATCCGCAGACCCTCAGGCGCCAGAGCAGTTAGGGCCCTGAACCCGAGCTTTTGTTTGCCGGGTTGGTCTGCCTTAGGAAACACCCGAACTTCTCCCGTGTTTGGTGGAGGCAAGGGAAGACCCTCCCCTTTCTGGGCGGATCCAGCTGGGCCCCAACCGCAGCCCCGCTTCCTGATTGGCTTGTGGTCCCTGACCTGTAAAAGTGTTCACTGGAGCAGGGGCCGAATTAACCCTGTAGTCTCTCTCTGGTGGCCGGCAGGGCTGGGACTGGGTTTCTCAACTTGGAACCTGTGGAGTCACCAGGAACTTGTCCAACAAGTGAGACAGTGGTTTAAAAAAAAAAAAAAAAAGGCTCATGCTTGTAATCCTAGCTACTTGGGAGGCTAAGTTCGGGAGGATCACGTGAGGCCAGCCTGGGTAAATAGTTTGAGAGACTCCCATCTCCAAAATAACCAGAGTAAAATGGACTGGAGGAGTGGCTCAAGCGGTAGGGCACTTTCTTTTGCAAGCGGGAAGCCCTGAGTTCAAACTTCAGTCCCATGAAAAAAAGAAAACCCAAAAAGTCTTTGGCATACAGGACCAACTTCGTGGATCTAAGACCTACCGCAGTGGGGCAGGATGGACTCCAGGACCATCAGCTTGAATTAATACTTGATTAAATATTCTGCTAAGCTGTGTTTGGTGGTGCACGCCTGTGATCCCAGCACTCTAGAGGCTGAGGCAGGAGGACTGAGAATCCGAGGCCAGCCTGGACTACATAGCAAGACCCTATGTAAAGAAAGTTCTACTATTGCTGTCTTAAGAAGTAATATATTTGTATTTATTTATATATGTTTGGTGGTCCTGGGGATCAAACCCAGGGCCTCGAGCATGCAAGGCAAGTGCTCTAATACTGAGCTACATCCCCAACCCTTTGAAGCTCTTATTAATGTTCTGATCCTGGGATCCCCATATTTTCATTTTGCTCGGGGCTCCAAAAATTATGCAGTAGTTTCCAGACCACGAGCATTTCTTCTACACCGGGCTCCCCTGTTTCCTCAACACTTCGATCTTCCTGAGCAGGGACTCCCGCTGTCTTTCCAGGCCCAAGCAGTTGGGAGCGGCAGAGTCCCAAACCCTAAGCCACACCATGGCAGAGCCAGGAGAAAAACTGCCCGAGGAAGTGTTAGCGCTCATTTTCCGCCACCTGCCCCTCAGAGACCGTGCTGCTGCCGCAGGGGTCTGCAGGTCCTGGGCTGCTGCTGCTACTAGCAGCGCCGTGTGGCATGACACTAACATCAGGTGAGCTGGCTCCTATGCCTCCCACTTCCCACTCATCTTCACCCTTTGTGTTAAGGAGATTCTTTGACTTCTCCATATTGAAAAAATTACCAACTATTGTTTTAAGTGCCTTACATATATCAATGGACTTAATTGTCATGAAAACCTCGTGTGGCAGATAGGTAATATTATCTCTATTACATAGACAGGAAACTGAGACATGGAGACTTAATCACTTCCAGCAGGTCACTCAGCTAAGGTGCGGCAGAGGCAGAATTTGAATCTGGCAGTCCAGAGGCCTCTTAGAGACATCTGAGAAAGCCTAGTTCCTAAAATATCATTGGCTTTCCATGCCAGGGTTTCAACCTGTGGCAGCCTCCACTGAAGTCTAAGGGGATAGGACGGGAGTTCCCTCCTGCCATCGCAACTGCCTTGGGGGCAATGGCATGGTCCTGACAGAGGTGTGTGATTGGGAACAGGAAATGGGGAGGGGAGGTGGAACCCAAGCTGAAGGGGCAGGGGGCGTGGAAGTTTCTATCCCATTCTCAGTGATGCTCCTGATGCCTTTTCTGCACCGCTCTAACCCAAGTTTCGACTGTGAGGGAGCAGGCATGCTGCCACCATATCTGTCCACCTGCCTGAACCATGTTCACAACCTATGCCTGGAATATAAGCCGTCGAGAAAGCCAAGCCGCCGGGCGGCTACTGAGCTGCTGACTGCGCTGGCCGGCCGTGCTCCAGGGCTGCGAGGCCTGCGCCTAGAATGCAGCGGAGAGAAACCGCTCTTCGATGCGGGCCACGACATCTTGGACGCTGTGCATGCCATCTGCCGGGCTGCCCGTCAGCTGCGACACCTCGACCTGCGCCATTTGCCCTTCACACTGAACGACGAGCTGGTGCTACAGGCTGCACGTGGCTGTCCGGAGCTCCGCAGCCTTTTTCTGGACAACCATACACTGGTGGACAGCGTGGGACCTGGCTCTGTACTCAAGCTATTGGAGGCCTGCCCGCACCTGCGTGCCCTTGGCCTGCACCTGGCCAGTTTGTCGCGCACTGTCCTGGAAGCACTAGCTGCCCCAGATCGCGAGCCTTTTGCACTCCTAGCCCTGCGGTGCGCCTGCGCTGAAGATGCTCGTGTGTCCCCCCTTCCGAACGAAGCCTGGGCGGCGCTGAGCCATCGCCACCCTGAGCTGGCGGTGGAGTTGGACCTGGAGCCTGCGCTCTCTGCTGAGAGCGTGAACGGCATCCTGCAGCCAGCAATGCCTGTAGCTGCGCTGCGTCTCAACCTCTCCGGTGATGCTGTAGGCCCTGTGCGCTTCGCTGCGCGCAACTACGCTGCAACCCTGCGCGTGCTCGAGGTGCGCGCCTCCGCCTCAGCGGAATTGAACGCTGCGCTGGAGGAGCTGGCAGCACGCTGCGCGGGCCTCCACGAAATACACTGCTTCTGCGTGGTGAGACCCTCGGTGCTGGAAGCCTTCCATGCACACTGCCCGCGCTTGCGCAGCTACACGCTCAAATTAAAGCGCGAGCCACATCCCTGGCTGCCCACGCTCGTGCGGTGATTGGATGAAGTCTCCGCTCCGGACCCCTCTGAAATGCGGGAGGGAGTTGCCCAGACACGCCCCAACTGCTACCACCTTTCCTTTGGATTCCGTTACCTCCTGGAGGTTGGGCCTGTAGGATAAAGTCCGGGCGTCAGGTGTCCACTTGGTCCTCTCGACCTCTACAGACGCCGACTCTACCCCGACCGATCATACTGGGCCCCACCCCTCGGCGCATTCTGCGCCAATTCCCCGACCAAATGTTGGGGGGAGGGCGGGCCAGGCTCGGGCCGGCCTCAGGAGTGAGTGTGAAATAAATAAATCCTGCAGTATCTCTGTGTCCTGTGATTGCCGGTCAATTCTGAAGGGGGAGGGCAGTGGCTAGAAGACCATCCCGGCAGTGGTGAAAGGAACTGAGACCTCAAAGATCTGTTGTATTGATGGGGCTGTGGGAGTCTGGGCGGGGCACTCCGCACGCCTGGAATAACAACGTCCCAGCGTTCGGGGAGTGAGGGCGAGCTTCCCACACCACCCTTTCTATCTGCCTGCTTCACAATGCCCACGGTCACCACCTCTAGGACTTTCCCAACTCACAGCAGCCTGCGCATGGGCTATTTCTGCCAAAGAACATAGTAGAGGGAATGAGAAGATTAGTACTGGAACCCAGGTCTCCCTCCGCACCCTAGCCTTTCACATCCATCAGAGTGAGCCAGTCCTTTCTGTTTGTTGGTGCTTCGGCCGCTGTCCGAGCCCCGCCCCGCGAGTTCGCACGTGGCCCCCGCCTGACCCGGCGCCTGGGGGCGGAGTAGGGCGGGGCGGGCGGCAAACGCAGCACTTTCGCGGCTTTCACAAGCCCGCAGCGGCCGGCCTGGAGCGCTGAGCCGGGCTGAGACTGCGCGATGCAGGAAGCGCCAGCTGCGCTGCCCACGGAGCCAGGCCCCAGCCCCGTGCCTGCCTTCCTAGGCAAGCTATGGGCGCTGGTGGGCGACCCAGCCACCGACCACCTGATCCGCTGGAGCCCGGTGAGGGCTGGGGCCCCTCAACTTCCCCAGTGTTCCCAGGGTCCCTCCACGTTAGTGAACACCCACGCCCACCCAACCCCCGCTGGGCTGTGGGTCCTTCGATTCAGCCGTCCAGGGTAGTTCACCTTGGAGGAGGTGTGGGAGATGAGGATGAGGCTCCTTCCTCTGAGGTGGAGGAAGGGTCCCGGCACCTCGAGCCCAAGGGATCAAGGTAATAGAGCTCCCACCCACCCTACGACAGATCGGAAAACAGGCCAGGAGAAGGGAAGGGCTGGCTCTCGCACCCGCACAGGGTCGCGTCGAAAGTCTGGGACCGGTGTGAGGTGGAACCGGGGTGGCCTCTGCTACTTTCTTAGAACCAAGTCTGTGTTGGGCTACGAATAGGGACTCACGGTGGTCGCCCCGACCTAGGCCTCATCTGGTTCTGGCCTGGACTCGTCCCATATCTGGATGAGCTGCAAGCCCCGACCCTAGAGTGAGAAAAAGGGCGCGCGCGCGCGTGTGTGTGTGTGTGTCCGCGCGCGCCAGAGCGCGGGGCCTGGCCGTGTGTAGGCGCCACTGACCAAGTCTGGTCTCCATATGTCGGATGGGCGTCAATCTCCTTAGAGCGGGACCAGCTTCCTCGTAAGCGATCAGAGCCGCTTTGCCAAGGAAGTGCTACCCCAATATTTCAAGCACAGCAACATGGCAAGCTTTGTGCGCCAACTTAACATGTGTGAGTTCCTCGGACCCAGGGGGAAGCGGGCGTGGGTGACTTGGTGCAGAAGATGGGGCGACTTACGCCCCGACGTCCCACTCCCCAGACGGTTTTCGGAAGGTAGTGAGCATCGAGCAGGGTGGCCTACTCAGGCCCGAGCGAGACCACGTCGAGTTCCAGCACCCGAGCTTCGTGCGCGGCCGAGAGCAGCTACTGGAGCGCGTGAGGCGCAAGGTGAGGGTCGCCTGCAAGAAGAAGTAAACCGAAGGGCTGGAGGTGTGGTTCAAGTGATAGAGTGCTTGCCTAGTAAGCACAAGGCCTTGAGTTCAAATCCCAATACCGCAAAAAAAAGAAGTAAACCCGAGTGGGGTGTTGGGACAGTCGGTTTGGTTGTTCCAAAGGTGCCTCCTGTCTACAGGTGCCCGCGCTGCGAGGCGACGATAGTCGCTGGCGCCCAGAAGACTTGGGCCGGCTGCTGGGCGAAGTGCAGGCTTTGCGGGGAGTGCAGGAGAGCACGGAGGCGCGACTACGGGAGCTCAGGCAGTGCGGGGGGGGGGGGGGGGGGAATGCTTGGTGGGGGTTCTAGTTGAAGGGAAACTCGCCATCTGGGGATTCTGGACAGCCCCTTCCTCTCTTGGGCAGTGGCGCCTCCATGCAAATGGGCCCAGCCACAGAACTCTAGTCTCTTCTCTATAGGATCTCTATAGGACCATGGGACCACCCACATACCCGGCCTCAACATTCTGGGGGGCCGGGGAGGAATGGGCGATCTCTCAGATACCTCAGCACCCTCCCACCCCTTCCTCCAGGCAGAACGAGATCTTGTGGCGGGAGGTGATGACACTGCGGCAGAGCCAGGGTCAGCAGCACCGGGTCATTGGCAAGGTATTTCTCTACCCCACCTCGTACTGGAGGGCATTTGCCCCTCCACCCAGTTCTCCACCACCCATTTACCTCCCCACTCTTCAAACTGCCTTACTGGGGTTGGGTGGGTTGGAAGTATAAATTAACCCTTCGCCGTCTTTTCAGCTGATCCAGTGCCTCTTTGGGCCACTTCAGGCAGGACCCAGCAGTGCAGGAACCAAGAGAAAGCTGTGAGTGAGAAAGGGAGGGATACTCACACCCACACCCCCACTCCCAAGACCTCCCCCCTCCCCCAGGGGACCCCTGGGAGGAATCCCTTCTCCAGAAACTCCCTCACCAAGTGTCCTCCTTCCTTACCCTATCTGGGACTTGCCCCTCTTTTCCCCAACTCCCCCACTTCCAGATTGTCCTGTGCCATCACCTTACCCCAAATTCCTCCCAAAAGAGAGCTTGAGGCTCAAACCAAGCTCTCTCCCCTCTCTACCCCCAAAGGGCCCCCATCTCTGGGGGAGCCCCTTCTACTCCAGCATGTGACTGATGTCCTGGCAACAGGCCTCAGCTCTGCTGACTTGGCTGCTGGGGCCAGAGGGAGGGAGAGAGGGAGGGAGGGAAGAGCAGACTGAGGGGCACGAGGCCTGCCCACCCCTGCCTGTGCCCTGGTCACCCTACACAGGTCCCTGATGCTGGATGAGGGGAGCTCATGCCCAACACCTGCCAAATTCAATGCCTGCCCTCTACCTGGTGCCCTCCTTCAGGATCCCTATTTCATCCAGTCGGTAGGTCCCCCCCCTTCACTAGGGCACAACTAGGAATATGGGGAGCTTGTTTCTTCTCTTTATTCTCCAAAAAGGAGATGAAAGCCAGCCTTCCCACCAACTCCTCCAAGGCTGCCTGAATGAACTGAGCATCCCTCCTCAAACCCTGACCCTTTAAACTGGTCCACCTGGATGCTGGTTGGATTCTGGCTGTCCTGATGAGTACAGGTCAAAGGCTGAGTCTAGCCTTCTACTTACAGCCCCTCCCAGAAAATACCCTGGGCCTCAGCCCTCACAGGGTCAGGGGCCCCATCATCTCTGACATCCCAGAAGACTCTCCATCCCCTGAAGGGTCCAGGCTTTCTCCTTCCAGTGGAAGCAGGAGGTAAGGGGAACAGGGGCTGCTCTCTGAGGAGCCTGTTGAGCTGTCAGGGGAGGGCCTAGTGGCCCAGATGGCTGTGGGGGTGAAGGCCAGGTGTGTCAGGGTCTGGTTGAAGCTTTTCTCCCGTACAGGGAGAAGGGCCTGGCACTGCTCAAAGAAGAGCCGGCCAGTCCAGGGGGGGATGGCGAGGCTGGGCTGGCCCTGGCCCCAACCGAGTGTGACTTCTGCGTGACAGCCCCCCCACCACTGCCTGTGGCTGTGGTGCAGGCCATCCTGGAAGGGAAAGGGAGCTTCAGTCCCGAGGGGCCCAGGAATTCCCAACAGCCTGAATCAAGGGGCCCCAGGGAGGTACCTGACAGGTGAGTAGAGCCCATTTTTGATGGTAAGTCCTGCACTTACCTGTCCATGAAACTTCCCTGCCTCACCTGCCCATTGGTCGCTAAGGGGCCATTGGACACTTGTTTCTATGACACTGACCTGATTTCTCAGAGTTTGCTCCAAAGAGCACCTGCATCAGAATCCTCTGGAAAGCAGAAACTCCCAGTCAGGTCACTTAGCAGCTCTGTGGTAGAACTCAGGAGTGTGCATTTTAAATGAGTTCACTGGGGGTTGATTATAATGTGCACAACTCTTTAAGAGCCACTGATAAGAAAGAGTAATAGAGGAGGTGAATACAATCAATTAAATACATGTATGGAAATGTCATGATGTATATGCACAATAAAATTAACAAGAAATAAAAGAACCACTGGTATTTATACTTGCATAGAGAGGGGTATCTCCTGAGACTTCGGGTCCAGGTAGGAAGAGGAGACACACTGTAGGTGGACGGGCACGATGAATTCCTCTCTTGGCATTTTCTACATGTTGGGAGATTTAAATCCTGATGCATCTGGGGTCCTTGGGGGCCTAATAAGACACTACAGGCCAACAGCAGGTATTTTGTTTTTTGTTTTGTTTTGTTTTGTTTTGTTTTGTTGCGTACAGGGGATCTCTGGGTCTGGAGCGGGGGAACCGGAGCCCAGACAGTCTGCTGCCTCCAATGTTGCTTCAGCCTCCCCCTGAAAGTGTAGAGCCTGCAGTGCCCCTGGATGTGAGCAGCCCTTTGGCTGGGGTGGAGGGGAGTGAGACAAGGTGAGGTCCCCGCTGTCTCTGTGGCCTAGGAAGGCGCCACTGACCTGCGCTTTCCCCAGGTGCTGGGCCCCAGCCTCCAAGGGCGAGAATGGACCCTGATGGACTTGGACATGGAGCTCTCCCTGGTGAGATGGAAATGGGGAGGGTCTGTGGCTGTTCTTAGGGAGCCAAAGCCACATCTGACCATTGCCCCGGTGATTCCCCAACTTTCCTCCTTTGCTACTGGGCTCCCTCCCCAGCTGCTTCCTCCCTTCCAGATGCAGCCCATGGTTCCAGAGAGGAATGAGATTGAGCTGCCAGTCAAGGAATTGAATTCTCCAGGTGCAGGTAATAGTGGTAAGGAGTCAGAACCTGGGAGGAAGTCGTGACTGGGCTGAGCTACCATGATTAGATGAGCTTGGGTTTTGCAGGGACATCCCTTGGGTCCAGGCTGCCCTGTGAAGCCTTCTGGAGTCACATATCCTCTCACCATTGAGGGGAATGGGGAGAAGGGTTAAGTAGAAGTCAAGTGGAGCTCTCCTCCCTGAAGAAAGGAAGGGAGGGGCTCCTCTAGGCTAAGCACAACCCTACCTCTCCTAGGGAAGGACCCCACTCTGGGAGCCCCACTGCTGCTGGACATCCAGGCGGATTTGGGAGGCACAGCCCTCACTGTGCCTGGGGCTTTAACTGTTTATAACACTCCTGAGAGCCGGGCCTCCTACCTGGGCCTGGGAACCACTCCCTCCCCCTGAGACCAGCACACTTCAGAAAAGGCTTGGCTGAGGAACTGACCCATGGCAGCACACCCACTTAGGCTTCCTGGAGCCCCCTGGGGGGGTGAATGAAGCCCCCACTATTCGGCAGACTGTCTCCATTATACCAAAGCCCCACACATAAACTGCATTTTTCTGTGTTTCTGGTCTCTTTTTCTCTATCTACTAAGGAGTACAGGAGTCAGGGGTGGGGGCGACTTTTGTGTTTGTAGAAGCGTCCAGATCCTAGGGCTTTGATGGAAAAAACCCTGGAGAGTGGCCGTGCTTGGGAGCCGGTGCCTTGCTCTCCTGCTTTAGACTTGGTGCGTGGCCACTGCCACCTCCGGGAAGAGGGGGCTTCTGGGCCACATCCAGTTCCGCAATACATGTTCTCTGAGACCCTGGGCAAGTCGGTTCCCTGAACTATCTGTGACAGGCAGGGAGGAGGAGTCACCAGAGGCTTGATGAAAAGCTCCTGGAAATTGGCAGGCCCAGAGTGGGCGCCGGATGTGGGGACGCAGGCAGAACTGTCCCCTGACTCGAGTGTGGGTTCGGGGAGGGAAAGCGGACTATGTGCCGGTCCACAGCCAGCACGTGGCCTCCGCAGCCGGGTCCCCAAGTGCCGGAGAAGCACGTCCTCTCCCCCATTCCCGGCAGCCCTGGCCGCCCCGCCCCCGTCGCAGCTGCTGCACTCGTCCCCGCACCGCCCAGCCCTTTCTGCACTGTCATCTCTTGCCCCGCCAAGGCTCGACCCGTGCGTGGGGCCGTCCGAAACGCTCCGGATCGTGAGTCCCACTCTACCCGGCGAGGGGGAGGGAAGGGAAACAGATTGGGCTGAATCCCCGCCTCACCATCAGCAGCCGCGCTAGCAAGTCTGTGAGCCCCGCCCTTCGGTTGAACTCAAATTCTGGGTCTGGGAGGAGGGGAGGTCAGGGTACCCTTGTGGTCGCGCATGCGCAAAGGCTCCCGTAGGCCCACTACCCTCCCTCTCCCGGAACAAAGCCCGCGCAGCAGGCTGGGGATGGTGCCCGACCCTGCCTCACTCCCTGCCACCGGCACTCCAGGAAGCATCTTGGCTTGTCCCTTGATGAACTGTCCCATGATATTCACATTAGAGCTGCTGAGAGCCTCAAAGGGAGAGCTCAAACCAAAGGGGATCTCTGCTCCTCAGATAGGACAAAGGGCAGGACTTGGGGTGACAGAGGAAGCAGCTAACATGAAAACAATTTAGGCTGCAAGAAGGGAGAAGGGGCCAATCTAGCCTGTATTCCCCCTACCTTGCCAGAATAGGTCCTGGCCCCTCTCCCTTCCTGTACCCAGTGATGGGGGAAAGTCTTTGGAAGCCTCAGTGAGGAGAGCAGAGGGTCCCCTGCCACTAGTGCAGTGATGTCACTTAACCCAGTAGTGAGGACATATGTTGTTCACCCATGTACACAGAAGGGACCACCTGCCCTTGAACACTCAGGCATTTTGGTGGACAAGAGAATATTTGAGGCTGGGTCCGTGGAATGGAGGGAAGGAAGGGTGTTCCAGGCATAGGGAACAGCATCACCAAAGGCTCAGAGGTGACAGGAGCAAAGGGAGTTCTCCCAGGACTGAGTGGTGAAGGGACATGGGGAAGAACCTGGCTGTTCAGGATGGTGGGAGGTGGCAGAAGATAGGTGGTTACGCCTGACATTCTGTTAGACAGGAGACCTCATTATAGTTCAGGCTGGAGCTAGTCAGATTCCAGTTCTACTGGTCTCATCTGTAAAATGGGAAAAATAAATCCTACTCCATAAAGTTGTCAAAGTCGCTATGTTGAGGAGGTGGTAGAATGGAATGGGGTGAGTGCTGTTCATTACCTACAAGAGATAAGGTAATGATGGTGAGGTTGAGAGGCAGGAGCTGCTGAAAACTCACTTGGAGGCACTTTGTCACAGATGGGAATTAAGGGAATGAAGGGGCAGTTTTGGTCTCCACTTCATAGCCTGGGACAAAGGATTGACACTTTGATGTGAGGGGCGGAGGAAGACTTGCCTGGAGTGTGAAGACTAGGGAAGCATAGTGTGGCATGAGCGGGTACTTGTAGACCAAGGAGGCAGTTGGGGGGCTAGAACCTAGTGGGCCAGGAAAAAAGGTAGAGAGGGATATTAAAGGGAAGAGAATGCCATGTGAACAAAGCCATGGCAGATGGAATGGGTGGAGGGCAAGAGTGGTCTAAGGCCTGATGTCTTTGCTTAACACCAGGTAACTCGCTGCCACCCAAGGCAATGAGCTGTAGTCCTTAGTTGGTAATAAGTAGACAAATAAGATTGATTTCTACATAGCTCCTACTGTTAGAGACAGTCTCTCAAAATGGAAGATCCGTGAGGGATCTGGGTATTTCAAGATCAAGTAAGAGAGTCATTCTGCAGCCAGCAGGGAGATAAGTGGGTCTCTGGTGATGTCAGATCTCCATCAGAGATAGGACTTAAAAGGATTCAAGTCCCCTGCTCAGGTACCAGGGAACCAGAAAGGCCTTGAGGCCATGTTGGGTTTGCAAGTTGTGGGGGTGTTGGTGAAGGTGCAGGGGCAGAGCCTGTCCTGGAAAGTTGGATCTCAGGATCAGGAAAAGGTGAGAGGAGTAGGGGGAGGCTCTCATCACTTTCTGCTCTGATTTGCAGAGAGGACTGGAAGAGATATTACGGAGGGAGGGAACCCTGGTCCCCAGTTCTGCAGAGTCCAGGCAGGAAGTAAAAAGCTACACTAAGGGCTTGAGGTGTGGCTCAAGTGGTAGAGCAATTGCTTTGCAAGGGAGAAGGCCTGAGTTCAAACCCCAGTCCCACCAAAAAAAAAAAAAAAAGCTACATTAGGTAGTATGATAGTAAAATACTCAGCAAAGTAGAAAGGACTTGACTGCAAACTGCAACGTCAGGATCAATCCTTGGTTTTTCTGCTTATCGTGGTGGTGAAGCAGGTTTGGGAACAAGTTAGTTTGGAGCCAGGCTCCGGTGGCTCACACCTGTAATCCTAGCTACTCAGGAGACAGAGATCAGGATAGCAGTTCGAAGTCTGCTTGGGCAAAGAGCTTGCAAGACCATATCTCGAAATACCCATCACAAAATGGTGGAGTGGCTCAAGGGGTAAGAGCGCCTGCCTAGCAAGTGTGAAGCCCTAAGTTCAAACCCCAGTCCGCCAAAAAAAAAAGAAAAGAAAAAGAAGAAGAAGTTAGTAAACTGGGTCTGAAGTAGTCCAGAATCTGCAGGCGGCTGGGGTCAGAAGGCAGATTCTGGCTAGGGAGAGTACTCAGCTGATGTTTACACGGGAGGAGCCTGAGAAGGAGATTGGACTGAAGTAGCTGCCCCTAAAGGGGCAGGATAACGAGCTGTGTCACGGCCTCCAGTTCTAAAGGGGCAGGATAACAGCTGTGTCACGGCCTCCAGTTCTTATGCTGCGGAGCTATCTGGCCACTGAACTTGAGGTGAACTTAGATCACAGCGGCAGGTGTTCACTAGGGCCCTGGAAGAAAGATCAGGGATGAGGGTACCCTGTTCCCCACTACTTCTCTTCCTCTACCCGGTGCAGCCTTAACCATGGGAAACGCGCAGGAACGGCCATCCGAGACCATCGACCGCGAGAGGAAACGCCTAGTAGAGACGTTGCAGGCGGACTCGGGGCTGCTGCTGGACGCCCTGGTGGCGCGGGGTGTGCTCACCGGGCCCGAGTATGAAGCGTTGGATGCCCTGCCTGATGCTGAGCGCAGGGTGCGCCGACTGCTGCTGCTGGTGCAGAGCAAGGGCGAGGCCGCCTGCCAGGAGCTACTGCGCTGTGCGCAGCATACAGTGCGCGCACCAGACCCGGCCTGGGACTGGCAGCACGTGGGCCACGGTGAGCGCCGGTGGAGCGGGTCTTCGGTCAGACCAAGGGCGTGGCTTTGGGACGGAGCAAAGACTAAGTGGAGGGAGGAATCGCCTCTGCACACGGTAGGTAAATTGAGCCTGATGTACTCCTGTTTATACCTCAGGCTACCGGGACCGTAGCTACGACCCTCCATGTCCAGGCCACTGGACACCTGAGGCACCTAGTTCGGGAACCGCATGTCCTTGGCTTCCCAGAGCTTCAGATCACGACGAGGCTAGGGGTCCTGGGGGCTCCGAGGCCGTGCAATCCGGAACTTCAGAGGAGCCAGAACTGGAAGCTGAGGCCTCTGAAGAAGCTGAGACCTCTGAAGAGGCTGAGCCAGAGCAGGAACCCCAAATGGATCCAGAACGGGAGCCAGAACCAGAACCTGATCTAGAGCCTGAGCCCGAGCCAGACTTCCAGGAAGCAGATGAGTCGGAAGGTGTGAGGTTGCCCTAACTCCTAATGGGCTTGGTCAGGAGGGCGTGGCCTGGGAAATGGAGGGTTGACCCTACTCCCTTGACTATCCTCTCTTTCAACTCTAGATTCCTGAAGGCCAGAGTGCTGACTAGAGGTTCCCCACCTAGCCCAAGCGGGATAAGACCTGGAACACTGGCAGAGCTCCCATGCCACCAAGGCTCCACCTAGCCTGCTGAAAGTGAATAAACTCCAGAGGGTCAGCCTGGGCCTGGGCTCTCTACAATTCTGTTTGACCAGAACTGAGGGTATATACATGTCATGTCTTTGAGTCCCACTGACCTGGGCAGTCTCACTTCCCACCATACTCTAGCACCAAGTTCATGGCCCCATTCCTCCCTCATCTGTATCCCTGGAGATCCCAGATCCAGGCTTCTAGTGAGAGGACAGCCTGAACCCAGGGCTCCATCAGCCCCACTCCATGGACTTGAGGTAGACAGCAAGGGAAGAGGGACTTCTGTCCAGTTAAGAAGAGCTTAGAGCTCTGAGTCTTGGGAAATGAGATAAGAGGTGAACTGGAAGGGAACTTCAGTAGACAGAGGCCACACACATCATGTAATTGCTGTTTTAATTGTCTGGCTTCCCTCTGAACTGGGGGCTCAGTGAGGATTCTAACCAGGCACGGGCACACACAAGGCATTCTACACATATTCATTGACTTAAAATAAATAATAGTCTTCCAGCTGTGTTTCCAATTTTTATAGGGTAGGAGTGAGACTGGGTCAACCTAACACAGCTGAGTCCAAATCGATACAGGAAGCAACAACTAGCTCTATACCTCTCCCGGTCCAAGACAGGCTCAGGACTTTGAACAGCAAACCCTAGGGGCCTGCCCTGTGGCTGTTCCCAGACTATGCCAACCTCCACCTGAGACAGGAGCAGAGGCTGGTGGAGCGGGGTAAAGACAGGGCCATGTGAGCTCTTGGGCTGAACTCACAAGGCCTGAGGTCCAGTGTGTGTAGCTGTGTGTGAAGCTAGGAACAATTGGCACCTTCCAGGAGTGTCCTGGTAAGTTTCCATTGAACTTCAGGAGTTGCTGCCTCCAAGCTCCAGGAAGGATGCATAAATATGGAATAAATATATGACTAGTGAAAGAGGCAAAATGCTGGAAAATGAACCCCAGCCCAGCTGGGTCTCTACTACCAGAACCCCTGCCATTTCAGCTTGTGTGGAACCCAGGACCAAAGGCTCAGGCAATCACCCCAGAAGGGACCCAACCTCCACCAGGACCCAGTGAGAGGTAGACAGCATGAATGCTGAAGGAGCACCAGGGGGTCAGGTGGGGGAAGGGACAGATTGGAGTACGGGACACCCAAAGCCATCTCATGCAAGAACAAGTTTCTATTCAAACCACCCCATATCCCCACTGATACTCAGCTCCCCTCCAGCCCCTAGGCCTCTTCTCTGCTCAACAGTTTGCCTACATTCTGCTGTTGGTGCATAGGCCCAGGAAGGCTAGCAAGGGACAAAAGCCTTCTGATGTTGCCTTGTCCTCCCAAGATACTCCTGGCCTTCCAGTGCCCACAAGAAACACGTAGACTGTAGAAGCACAGAGCAGACAGCTTCGTGTTCTGGGGGCTGACCTGGAGGCCTCTGTCCAGGGCTTCTGCCTATAGCCCTCAACCAAAATCAATCGGGCAGCAGACGGCCCAGCTCTGCTTCATCCAGCCGGTTGGTAGTCATGATGTGTTCTAGCTGCTGTCGATAGCGTTCCAAGTCCTGCATGAAGTGGGGCACTCGGGTCTTATCCAGCACTCCATAGGGCCGCAAGTGGTCCACATCCTCATAGGAGACCTGCAAGGGAGGAAGATGAGCCACCGGGCTAAGGGAGATCCTTTGTTTTCAGGCAACTGGTCCTAGCTCTGCTGATGGCTCATGACCTTCTGTGCCCTCCTTATCCATAGCTATGTTATGTACTTCTAGGCCCAGTCCTGGGTTTTTGCTCTTTTTCTCAACACATTTTCACTGGGGAGTGAAACCAGGGCCTTACACTTGTTGGGTAAGTGTTCTACCACTTGAGCTGAGCCCCCTCACCCCCCGGCCCCACCCTCCCCATGCGCACCCCCCCACTGCCCCTTTGTTTTTATTTAAGTTTTGAGACAGAGTCTTGCTACTTTTGGCAGAGTTGGCCTCAAACTCACATTCCTCCTACCTCTGCCTCCCAACACCTTCTTTTGTCTATGCTCTACAACCCCTTTCCTCTCCCATAACCTCCAAACATGGGTATCCAACTGGTTTCTGGGTATCTCTCATACACCGCCCCACATCCAGCACTCAAAACTGGATGCCAGCTTATGCCAGCCCAAGTTCTTCACAGTTAACCCAGTCCACTCAGGACTCTCCCCCTCCCACTTAGGGTGGCCACTGAGATAAAGGGATTCCACTCAAGAATTCTCCAGCTTGCCTCTTCCTTCTCCAATCACTGCCACTGCCTGGTTAGGCCAGACCACCATCAATTCTATAAGAGTTACAGGAAGGTCTCCCTCCTCTTGCCCTTGCACTCCCTTCCCTAGGCCCTCTTTTCAATCTACCTCCCACATGACATCTAGAGTGAACCTTTTAAAGCACATATCTGTGTCACACCTCTGCCTAAAGCTTCTCTAGCTCCATATTGCTTCGAATGAGGTCCACTTTCCTCAACTGGTACAAATGCCCAGCACTAGGGACATGGTCCCTACCATTTCTCCAGTCTCCTTCCCCAGACCTTCCTAACCACCCCTTGGCCTGGAATGCTCACCTCTTTTGAAATGCAGTATCTATACACACACCTGCAGGCTGGGCCAAGCACCTGTTTTGAACTGCCAACCTTTCATTTCCTCTTCTTCCACCAGAGAGGCCTAGCATCCAGGCCTCAACTGAGTAAGACTCAGACTGAGGCCCAAGGAGAGAGTAGTAGGCTGGCTGGGGCCTCTGAAGACCAGCAGCCACTCACCTTGCCCAGCGAGGTCAACAATGGAAAATCAATGGTCTGGCGATGCCGCAGAATGCGCACGATGCCATCCAGGTACACCTGGTCCTTGCTGAAGCAGCCTGTGAAGGGGGTGGAAGATGTGAGCCCGTACCTGGAACCCCACCTCTGCCCGCCCTAGTTCAGACATTCCCCCAGGTCACAGCACCCACCAGGCTGGGAGGTGTCAGTCTGGCCTCGCTTGGCGCGCACACAGTACTCCCAGCGCACATCGGCGTTCTGCACGTAGCGCTCCAGGTCCTGGAAGAGCTGGTGGAAGGACATGTGTGCGGCTTGGTGGATGGTGTAGTATAGCAGGGCGGCACGCCACAGGAATGGCTGCTTGCGGAACAGCACGCTGTGCAGGCTGGCCAAGCCCTCCTCAGTAGGGTTGGCTGGGCGCAGCCCATACTGCAGCCGGCCCTCAGCGCTGCGCCATGGCTGTCGCGCATTGTTCACGCCCCGCAAATAGTGAGTTCCTGCAGGGAGGGGCAGGGGGAGGTGTACGGTGAATGGAGGATACCTCCAGCGGACCTCTAGGGGCGGCTCTGTGAACCTCATGCCCCCAAACTCAGACGCACACAATTCCCAGACAAGCACACACTCCCCAAAGCAGCATGAAGGACCCACAGAGGCTCACAAGCGTCTGTCTGTATGTTTCTCCCTCCCTTCCTGCCTCCCTCCCCCCAACAACTCCTACTGCCCCCTAACTCTCCTAGAGACAAGGAACAACACACCACACCATCCCAACATCCCCAGTGCGGAAATCAAACATTTTGACCGAGAAATGCCCACAGCAAAACCATCTCTTGCCTACAAAGTAACAAGATTCTTGTGGAGGACAGAAAGAATAGTGATTAGTATCATGTGCCCACCTTCCCAGCCTGACGTATCCCCTCCTAAACTGGGCTGTGTGTCCTCAAGCAATTATAATCCTAGGATCTACTAACCCAGAAGGGCCTGGTAAGACCTTCAGGGTTCTCCCTCAGCCTGTTGCAGCCTCAGCAGCTTTGCCCCCACTGTCAAGGGAAATTAGAAAGGAACTGGCGAGAAAAAAGCTACCCCAAAGGGGCAAGAGTGGAGGTGACCCAGAGTGGGCAGGCATGTTCAGGCCTACGTCTGTGAGTGAGAGGGAAGTAGCTGCTCACGAAGGGAAAGGGCCTGTTCTCCTCTGGAGAGAAAGTAAGGGAAAGGGGAGAAACAAAGGAGGGGGTTACTGGGGCCCCTCACTTCTAGCCCCCAGCTCTCAGCCCCCTCTTACTGCTACCTACCCACCCACAACCCACAGCCTAACCTATCTCGTGCCGCAGCATGCCCTCCAGCCAGTACTGGCGGGCTCCAGTCAAGTTGATGGCCAGTGTGGGTCGGCTATTCTCCACCATCATCACTGCCTGGGACAGCAGGTCCTCACTCAGCTGCACCACAACCTGCAGGTGGCAGTGGTGACAGTGCTCTGAGTCATGGCTACCAGCCCTGGGGCCAATATGCAAGCAGCTCCTGTACCCCCATGCCACAAGGAAGCCAGGCTGGACATTGGCCAGGACACCCCCACCCTTTACCACCTCTGCTCAGAGCCAGCTCCCACCTCCATGGGCAGGGGCAAACCTCTGGGATCACACCTGACAGGTGTGCAGCTGGGCCTGAGACCACCCACTAGGCAGCCCCTAACACGTAGAAGAGGGGGAACACATAGAGGAGGAGCCTTGTAGGCAGGGCAAGCTCACCTCCCCAACACAGCCCTCCTTCTGCATGTATTTTCGCACAATGGACCAAATCTGGCACTTGGTCAGCAGCTGGCCCCCAGTGGCAGCCTCAAAGTGTTCATAGGTTCCAAACTTCTCCAGGACAGCCTCAATGATGCCAACTGCCTGCACACAGGGCCACAGGGGCTGGTCAGGCCAGGCTCCTTGGGTAATCAGAGCCAGGGTGACGTGGGCAGGCTGGACTGACCTGATGGATGAACTGTCCAGAGGCCTCACGGTATCTCTCCAGCACAGTCGTGGGCATGGGCTCCTGGTACTCGAACTGTGGATCATAGGTGTACTGGGACTGGAAGAACTTGTCCCGCTCATGGTCCATGTTGGTTGGCCGAAGGGCCACCAACATGCAGGGGCTCTTGCTAGTACCATTGGCTGCATCCTTTCGAGTCTTAGCAATGTGAGGCAGGGAGGCTGCAGACCGCAGAGTGCCCCCACCTGGGTCCTGTCCCCGTCCAGGTGGGGCCAGTCCCTGGGTGCCACGCCCCCGTCGGCCAGCAGTATTTACAGTGTAGGTGCTCTCACTGCGACGCATGTGGCCACAATTGCCCAAATGCAGCTTTGAGAACGGCTGCCACTCACGCTGGGGCTGGACTGTTGAGGGGACTGCCAGAGCCAGGGGCACAGCCAGGGACTGAGGCCAGGAGTACAGGGGTGGCCCATCTCGGTCTGAGGGTTTCAGTCTGTGGTGCTGGGACAAGGGACTGGCAGGTGGGCTGGAGGGCACCCGTTCATACACCTGAGCCCCCGAGTCCAGCACCATTCTGTCCTGGGGGTCACATCCAGCCGGGTTGCTCCAAATCCCCACACTGTCAGCCTCTGGGGACACAGAAAGGCATGTGGAGACCAGCATAAGTGAGTGTGGCCAGAGGAACAACAGGTCCTGTACACCTTGCTGGGCCCTAGGTGGGCCTAGGGTTTACTGCCAGGAGTCTGGGTAGCTGCCCCACCTCCCCTGTGTCCATTCCTTCCAGCAAGCTTACCCAAGTAACCTGGGTTGGGGCAAAGCAAGAGGAAGAGATATTTTAAATACCTACCCAGATGGTGCTCAATGGAATCTCCTCAGGCTATGAGATCCAAGGAACAAGGAATGAACTCCTTCTCATGGTTCTAATCTCTGTGCTTAGCACTCACTCAGTCTGATGGAATCCAGCTGGGTGCAGCCTCAGCTGCCTGGATGGATCATAGGTGAGGGGACTCCAGAGGCTGCCTCCTAGCCATGGCATCTTCTCAGTCTTACCTTGCCCCTCCCACCTGGCTTTACCCATATCCTCCTGCCCATTTGACCTCAGTCAGGTTGAATGCCTGAGTGCCCCTTGCCTATGCCAGTTCCCACTTAAAATGCCCTCTCTCCTAGGCCATTTGTTCAAATTCAAATTAGAATCTGCCCCCTATCTGAGGCATCTTCCCAGTGGTCATCGGAGGCCAGTGTCAGGGCACTCACTTCTGACTGTGCCAGGGTTCAGTCCAATCCAATCTCTCCCCAGAGACAGAATGGAAGCTCTAGTCTCTGCGCTCCCTTGCCTGCTCAGGGACAGAATTCCAGCATTTCCCCTCTCTCCTACATTAACAATCTCTTCCTCCCCACTGGATTCTTTCCATCATCATAAACACATGCTGTTATTTCTCCATCTTAAAAAACAAAACAAAACACTCACTTGAACCCATACTCCTACAGCTACTGCCCCACTGCATGTGGTCCTTATTGCAGCACAAAATCCCAAGTTATCTATATCCAGTCTCCAATCCCTTCTTTCCTGACTCGAGTTCACTCCACTTAGGTGTGTCCCCCACACTCCATTCCAATTGACCTAATTAAGGTAATCAGTGAGCTCCATATTGATCTCCAGCACTTGACCAAGTTAATTCCTTTATCCTTGAAACAAGCTGTCCACTTCCCTTCCTAAACACACCAGAACATAGTTCTTCTCCCACCTGTTCCTCCTTGGTCTTCCCTGTCATCCTTGGTTTTGCCAGTCATCCCTATCTCCCCAACCTCTTAACACTGTAATGCCCCAGGACTTATCTATGGGAACTTCTTCCTCCTCCACTTATGCTCAACTCCCTACATGATCTCATCCATTCTCATGGGTTTTTGTTTTGTTTTGTTTTGGTGCTAGGGATCAAACCCAGGGCCTTGCACATGCTAAGCAAGCTTCCTACTACTGAGCTATAACCCCTCCAACACTCATTCTCATAGTTTTAAATATATTAGCTCAGACTTCTGCCATAAGCTTTAGACCAGTGTTGTCAACTTCAACACAACATCTTTCTTTAACAGGCATTTCAAACATGTGCCCTGTCTAAAAAGTTCTGCCATATAATGGCATGGATCATTTTCTCACTTTTCTCAAATCGATACCCAAATACCATGTTACTAGACTTACACTTTTTTTTGTTTTTGACAGTACTGGGGTTTTGAACTCAGGGCCTTGTGATTGCTAGTCAGGTCCTCTACCACTTGAGCCACACATCCAGCACCAGGTTATTAGAAAAGCCACCCCAACACACCTTTATAAAATTGTAAACCTTTCTCGCCTTCTTCTAGTCTCTGTAGCAGTTATCACCATGTGAAGTGTACTCCAGCAAGCCTTTTTGCATAGTGCATTTGAGTGTTAGATGCTCTTTCCAGTGTTCACAGCTGTGTACCCCAGAACAGTTGCTCAACACATAATGAACCCAAGAGTCCTTCTCAGGGGCTAGAGATATGGCTCAATTAGTAGCACACCTGCCTAGCAAGCATGAGGTCCAGAGTTCAAACTCTACTACCACCAAAAAAAAAAAAAAAAAGAGTCCTTTTCAGAACTAAAATCTTTTCTTCCCAGCACTCAGTTTCCCCATCCACACCTGATCTTCCTCTTCCACACCCTCTTCCTAGTGACCAGTTGCTTGAAAAATATTTCATTTCTCTCAACTAACCTTACACTTTCCTGGACTCCTCACTGGACTCTGGGCTGCTTATCTGGACCAGTCCCTACCATCTCCCCTTCTTTCACGCGACCTATATCCTCGAATTGACCAGAATAAGCCAGTTTCTTTCGCATCTCAGCTCAAGCAATGTCTCTCTGGAGCAAACTCTTAACCCTTTTTTTCAGGGCTCGGTTTAGGCCTCACCTCCTCCGAAGCCTTCCTGGCGTCTAGAGGGTCTCAGTGGCTCGATGGCTTCCTTACCGCCCTAGGTTATCACTGTTGGAGCATAGTTTCGTATCCCTCAACAAGCCTTGAATTCCCCGAGAGCAGGGACAGGTCTGATTGACCCTCATGTTCCAAACACCCAGCACTCCAAACAGAATGAATGAAGGCTGAATGGAGGAGGAGCCCCTGCCTGCTGAAGGCGGGGTCTGGTGACGAATGAGAGGGTGTGGCCGCACCATTAGGAAACTCCCGGGAAGAGCCAATGGGAGCCAAGAGAAACAGGAGGAGCGTGATCTGAAGCCAATAAGCGGCGGGGTATAGGGAAAAGGGCGTGCCCAATGGAGGGCGGGGCCAGAAGACAATGGAGTGGAGGGTTCCCTGATAAATCTGGGAGGGTCGCGTAGAGCTGCTGGTCTTAGCCTTTGGAGTGGGGGAAGGGGTTGGCTCGCGTGCCGCGCTCCCACCTGCTCAGTCCTCTTCTTGCTGTACGCAGTTCCAGCTCCGCAAAGCCTGTCGCCGGCCGCCCAACCCGCGGGAGCCGACACGGATGACGCCCGAACTCGGGCCCGCGCACGCTCACAAGAAGACGCGGGGACATACGTCAGTCTCCGCGGCAGCTGGCGCCTTAAAGACCATGGTGGGTGGGACAAGGTGAAGCCAAGAGGGCGGTGTCCATCGACATTCTACGCTTTCGTACTACACCCACCTCCTTCATGAGTTTCTAGGTCTTCGATGCAACTGGACATTGGGAGTCAGGCGCGTGATACTAGCTTATTGCCTAGGCGTGGATATATTGGGGTATAGTGCCGGTGCTCCGGGATGCAGTCCGATGTCTGGATAGGCAGGGTGCTACACGTGTACCACGACTGCAGCCAGGATATCTTAGCCGTGTCACTGTGCATGGCCACCCTAAATTTCACGGCCGCTTTCATTTCACACACACCCCTTTCCCCAACACACAGAGATGCAGGCGTATGGAAAAGGCCAAGGCTTTATTCTGCAGGCAGATACGCATCAGGAGCAGGGGCCCGAGGTGAGGCAGGAGGTCAGCGAGGGCGTAGGTGCCGGCACGAGGCTGAACAGTGCGCGGCGGCCCGTGGAGGGCGAGGGTGGCGGGCCGGCCTGCAGGGAGCTGAGCGCAGCTTGGCGCTGTTCTCGGGACACGTCCCCGCGCAGGTCCAAGAGCGCAGAGACGTGGTCTTCACTGCAGGGACACCACCGATGTGTGTCAGTTTCCGCCCTTTCTCTCTGGGACTCCTCATCCCCCTCCACCCTCTATCTCCGCACCTCACGTCGGGAAACTGCTGTCGCAGGCCTGCCACCTCGAGGCCAAGCAGTGTGGAGTCGTGGAGGTTCAGCAGTTCCCTCAGGGAGAGCAGCACCGGTGAACAATGCACGCTCTCCTCCAGGCCCTGGGCATGTTGGAGTAGGGCTTCACTCCCTACTCCTTGGCTCCCACCCAACCACCGAGACTTTCGTCTGCCCGCCAAACGGAGGAAGCTCTCACCAAACCAAGGAAAAGCTCCTTAAGCTGGCCGGCATCGTGCTGCAGGCGCTCAGCCGCCTGCGTCCGCTCGCTGGCACTGCGGCACACTAGGCGGCCCTGCATCAGCGCATGTAGGTACAGCAACACCACGGTGCGCTCTGCTTCGGCCAGGAGCAGCTACAGGGAAGGTGATCAGATGGGTCTAGATCATCTTTCCCATCAGCAGTGATCCTCCCAGCCTCTCCCCTCCTCCAAACACACACCTGACCTGCGGGTTTCCGCACGCGCCAGAAGTCCCCGCAGAAACGCGACGTCTGCTCACACACACTGTCTAGCATCTCAGAACTCGACAGCCACCGGCGCGAGGGCAGAGACGCGAACAGTGGCTGGGGAAGGGATAGAGAGGAGATGAGGCTGGAGAAGTGATCCAGATGCAGCAACCCTCCACAGAGACCCCATATATACGCGGCATTCCACCTCCCACCTCCATCCCTCCAGCTTCACCTGGAGCTCCACCTGCAGGGCCTCCAACATCAGGTGACAGATCCTCCTCTGTAACTCCTCCAGCGCGGTTTCTACTGGAACCAAGACTCCTGAAGCTACCCCGTCGGGCTGCAGGACGGACAGTGAGGAGCTGAATCAACCAAAAAAATAGGACTTCAGGACCAAGGTCAAGGCCCGCACAGCCCTCTAGGGTTAAGTCACTCGGGCGCCACCTTGTGGCACAAGTATGTGGCGGGAGGGGACAAGAAGAGCGGCTCTATACTTGTGAAGGCCTCAGATACCAACTAGGCTAAGAGTGTGCGCCCAGGAAGCTAGAAAGGACACACACCCAGTGGCTTCTAATTCGCGATGTGACCTTGAGCAAGTCATTATTTCGGTTTCGGCTTCCTCATCAGAAAGGAAAGGGTGCTAGTTTCGGTCAGAAAGGAGTAAAAATCAACTTGTTTGTCTTCTCTGTCTCTACCACAAAGAACATAATACCCAAGGATAAGGGAAAATTTCCAGACATTACCTGGAACAGAGTAGGATCTTGACAAATATTTGTTGAAGGGATGAGTAATTGGCACCATGTGCCAGGCACTGTGGTAGCTACCTCACATCCATATCTCACCAATTCTCAAACCGTTCCATGATTACTCCCAAAATACTACTGAGAACAGTGAGATTGGGGTACTCAGACAAGGTCATACAACTAATAATAAGCAGAACTAAGAATGGTCCTCTTCTCCCCCCGACAATGTGGGCCCAAAGTTCCTAGTGGCCTAGTGTGTGCTGGGTCCATACATCATAGGAACTCAGTAGGGGGTGAATGAAGGTGATTCTTGGGGGCTTTTGGTACCTCAGTGCTGACTGGTGGTTGAAGGCAGCCAGTAGGTAGGGCACATAGTGAGGGGCCAGGGCATCCCCCTGGAGATGGTCTCGGGAGAAGCGAATCAGAGCATCATTAAAGCTGCAATGGGCAGAGGAAGCTCCTGGATTTGCTACTTCTATGGTGCCCCTACAACCCCAACCCAGGAACTCCTGCCCCACTTCCACATCCTTGTTTGACAGAGCCCTTTCCCACTGGTGTGTCCTATTCGCTCAGAGCCCCTTTGGGCTGCCCTGGAACAGGCTGGAGATTGTGAGTGGGTCCTTGCTTGGCAAACCTCCTCAGGAATGTGCCCAGTTCTGACAGTGCCATGCCATACACCCGCCGCTGCAGTGACTCACTGACCAAGCTGGTCACACGAATGTTCTCAGCCAGTATCTACATAGGCAGAAATGGACAGTCATCAGCAAAGTCCCTCCCTAGCCATTCCCACCTCTCCTTTTCATGTAGGAGCTGCCCACCTGCCTAGTTATTTTCCACCAACCTGTAGTACAATGGCTGGCATTGGTGAGTGGTAGAAGCCAGAGGGGTCTGTTTTAGGCTCCTGCTCCCGGCTCCACTCAGCAACCTCCCCATCCAGAGCCTTCTGTAGCCACTGGGCTACACTTGCCTAGGAGAAGAGGTGAGGGGAGACAGGATGTAAGAAGGCAAGCCAGAGACAGACATTTGACTGTACATATATGAAGGCCACAACCAATGGGCAGAGTATCTCTGTCCTGTACCTGGACTACTCACCTGGACTTTAGCCACAAATGTTGCCTCCAGCTGCTCAATGTTCTCCAAAGTCAAGAGGGGCTCCAGTTGAGACACATCCGCATCAGGCCCCAGTTCCAGGCTTCCCATCATTTCCTGTCTGCAGATGGTTGGCCGATCATCACACAGATCCCCCGACCTCTTAATCCTCCCACTTCTCACTGTTCCAAGGACACTGACCCCAGGTAGACTTGCAGTGCCCAGTGCAACAAGGCAAAGGTGTCAGCAGCTCCCAGCTCAGGCCCTTCAAGGAGTCGCTTCAGGGTACGGCGCAGGCCACTGTGCAGGGTGTGGGCCCAGAGCTGGACCACATTGTAGTGTGGTGGGCAGCAGGGGGCCACTAATGCTTCAGCTATAGCCAACTCAGCAGGCAGAGCCACTTGAAGAGCCTCCAGCCACCCTGCTAGGGCCCCTGGCTCAGGCAGTACAGTTGTCGAAAAGTAGACCCGCTCCAGGCCTGCCTGAAGTGCCCGCAGACATCGCTGCCGCCAGTCTCGGGGGGCTTGCCCCAAGGGGGTTGTGCGCCTGGCCTCCACCTCTGCCACACGAACAGCAGCCACTAGCAGGGCTGGATCTTCCCGTGCCAGTTGCCCTGCATTCCCTGCAGCAGCTTCTACAGCCTGGCCAAGTGCCTCAGCCAGAAGGCCTAGCCCTTGGAAGACTGGCAACTCCAGTCCCCCCAGAGGTCCCCAAGTCTCCTCTTGCAACTGCTCCAGCTCCCGCAGGCTCACATATGCCTCCAAGAGCCGCTGGGCATCAATCAAGGTCTGCGTGTGGGCCACTGCAGCTGGCACTAATGAGAGAGAAGAGGCCTCAGCCTTCCCACATATGCACTTGGCACAACAAGGAATACTGAGGCCCTGAGGCTGGGGATGATGTATAAAATATTTAATAACCTATACAGTAGAGCATTGGCCAATCTGAAAGGATCAAGGCAAAGACCTAGAGGTCTGGTGGGCCAGGTGTCAACCCTTGACCTTATGGAACATGAAGAAGTCAAGGATGCTGGAGGCAAGGCAGACGATACTGGGGGGACATGCTAGTGTCTGTTCACCCTCCCTGTTAGGGAAATATTTGCACACACTATATTTGTATGTGTAGGTATCCATATACATACGCAAATATATACATACATACATATCTTGTGTGTGTGCTGGAGATTGAAATACAGGCCCTGTGTATGCTAAACATTGCACATATGCTCTACCATATATATGCACACACATACATATATATCTATATATATTATATATATATGTACATATAGATATATATTTTTTGCAGTACTGGGTTTTGAACTGAGGGAATCATGCTTGCTAGGCAGGCACTCTAGTGTTTGAGCCACACCTCCAGCCCACCTTTTAATGTATTAACAACCAGTGTGTTCACAGTTGCATAATAGGATATCCATGCTAACTTCAACATCCCAGGCTTGAGAACCTCAGGATGAGCTGGTTTTGCAATCCGCTTCTTACGTTATTTGAACCTTGGATTACTCTCCAGGATGTCTTTGTGTATCCCTCCATGCAATCTCCCACCTAGTGCTCTAGGCTTTCGGTCAGTATGGATGTTTGTAGACTGACTGTTGGAAGCTGAGGTCTAGGGTCCCCACACACTCACCTGCCTGCAGCCTAGGCAGCAACTGAGACAGGACCTGCAGTTGCTTGTGCTGGGCAACTCGCTGCTGTAGGGGCTCTAGGGTCTTTGAGGCCTGTGCCAAGCTCTGGAGCAACTTATGGGCCTGACTTAGCGTCTTGTGGGTTTCCTGAACAGCCTCAAGGGCCCGGGCCAGCTGCCACACACCAGTCTGCACACCTTCCAGGTATGACTGCACCACTGACTACAGAGAAAGTTAGGCAGTGAGGCATGGCCCTGCAGCCACCCCAGCACTGCCACCCTCTGCCCCACGCCCACCTTGATGCGTGCTTCCAGGGAGCAGTTTCGCTGTACCTCGCGGCTCCGGTACTGGCCCAGCCTGGCCAGCTGCTCTGGCCGGTAGAAGATGCCCGAGGCCCATTTGAGTGCTGCACCCCTGGCCAACTGCTCTGCTCTCCCCTGCTCTGGCCATTCAGGCACTAGGCAGGAAGAGCCTGGACAGCCGATCAGTCAGAGCAGCGAGTCAGTCAGCCAGCTAGAAAACTTGGTGCCCTTCCAATTCCTCAGCCCCGTCCCCAGAACAGTGTGCTCCTCACTATCCTCCAGGTAGACCTGGCAGAGAAGACCCCATCCCACCATTCTCATCTTTTTTGCCATCATCCCTCCCCCAGGCCCAGCTATCAAGGCTCATACCAGGGGGAAGTGTGGGCTGGATTTCATCCTTGGCTGCAGACTCCATGGCTGACCTGAAGGAGCTGGAGATGAGGTGGAAGTGGGGGCAAGGGCCCGGGATAGAGCAGGTAGAGTGGATGCTCCTGTGGGCCGCTGCCTCTGTCTAGGCCGCTCTGAGAAGGAGGAGGAAGTTCTTGCCCAGCCCACTCAGGAAATGGAGAGGCTAGGGTGATGGGAGGCCTTGACCTGCTGGGCTCCTAGTTGTGCCCCTGCAGACGCCAAGGGTGGTGGGAGGGGAACAGACAGTTCCTGCTCTGAGATGCCCAGGACAGTTTGATACAGAACTTACCAGACTTGATGAGGCATCCAGTTCTCAATCCTCTGCAAAGAGCCTTGGCCTTGAGAACGGCCCTCTTCCCCAGCAGAGCTGGGCACGCCCTGCTCACAGGGCCTGGGTGACTCCAGCTGCTCAGGCACACAGTAGCACAATTCTTCTCCCCAAGGAAGCTTCTCTCCCACTTCCTAGCCTAGAAGCCCCTTCCTCTCCCCAAAGGCCCCTCCCTCCCCAAGGCAAAAAGGAAGGAAGCTGAGTCTCTGGCACTTTATTCCCAACAGGAAAGAGCATCTACATTGAGGTGGGGAGGGCTGGGCGCCACTTCCTGAGGGGTGGGGGCGGGGATGTACTCCCTGTGACCAGGTCTTGGCCAGCTCACCCAGAACTTCTAAGTGCTTAGGATAAAGTCATGAAGCACACTTGGCCTCAAGCTGAGATGAAGGGCAAAGTGTGCAAGTGTGAAGGAAACATGGCAGTATAAAAAGTGTGCCAGTGGGCCCCTTGGAGGAGGGTGTGTGACTCTGCAGAGGGAGACCACTAGCTGTTGTGACTAGGGAGCATGGTGGCTGATGTCAGTTTGTTCCTGAGAGTGATAGGGAGCCATGGAAAGTACTATAGGGTAGTAATAATAGATTAGATGCTTCTTGGTGAACCACCCCAAGTCCACCTTTCAGGACAGAGGCCCTCATTTCCCAGCTGCCAGGAGTGTAAGCTGCTGAGGTCTCAAAGCAGAGTCAATATTGGGGTGTATTAGGGTACCCTTGCCTGAGTATGAACACCTCGGAAGGGCTACCCCAACTTCAGAGCTGGTGGGTGGGCTGAGGCCCCTATTGTAACTGCATCTGCCCAATTCTGCTTGTCTTACTCCCTTACAGTGCTTATTCTTAATAGACCTGCTGCAGGCAAATTCCTGTCTTAGAGTCTGTTTTCCACAGAACCTGACCTAAAATAAACAACAATGAACAAATAATAAGTAAAGAAAAGCTGGGCACCGGTGGCTCACGCCTGTAATCCTAGCTACTCAGGAGGAAGAGATCAGGAGGATTGCGGTTCAAAGCCAACCCAGGCAAATAGTTCACGAGATCCTATCTTGAAAATACCTAACACACAAAAAAATGACTGGTGGAGTGGCTCAAGGTGTAGGCCCTGAGTTCAAGCCCCAGTACTGCAGTAAATAAGTAAATAAATACAATGTTAAAAGTACGATGACACTAACAAACACAATCTTCTTACATCCCACAACTGCTCTAAGGGCTTTACTTATATTCATACAGAGGTGAACACCTTTGCCTGAGACAGGTGGCAGCTGGGCACTGCAGTATGGAGATCAGAGAAAGATGACTGCTGAGACAGAAAGAGTGGCAAGCTAAATGTAGTTAATGCTTGCTGGTTTGGCAGAAAGTGAGGGACAGGAGTTGAGTGGGTCACCTCAATACAGTGGGGGTAGACTTCAGAAACCGGTTTGGGGAAACAGGTTTAGCTTATCAGGGACTGTGATCTTTCCCCAAGATGGGCCAGGGCAGAGTTGGGGTTTGGAGGCAAGTTGGCAAGGAAGATTCCGGTGGTTCCCTCTTCTCTACTGTAGGGACTGCTGTTTGACTTCCTCACATCACTCTCCAACATGTCTGGTCTCCAAGGAGTGGTTTTCGTCTTCTTCAGCAGGTGGACATTTGCTGATGGTCCCCAAAATTCTACGTCCAGGCCCACAGACAGGAATTGCGCCAGATCCCCGGGAGGAGGGGGCTGAGCGGAAGCGGAAGTAGCGACAATTGCCCCGGCGGCCCGGCAGCCAGGAACGGAAGCGGAAGTGGTGGCGGCGCCGGCCTGGCCTGGCCTGGCTGAGGGGAGGTGGCGGGAGGGCGGGCGTGATGGCGGAGGCCGGGCCGCAGGCGCCGCCGCCCCCGGGCACCCCAAGCCGACACGAGAAGAGCCTGGGACTTCTCACCACCAAGTTCGTGTCGCTTTTGCAGGAGGCCAAGGACGGCGTGCTTGACCTCAAGCTGGTGCGGCTCGGGCTTAGGGGCGACAGTGGGGGTTGATGGTCCAGGCCTGGGCCGGTAGGGGGAACCGCCAGGGCGGCCCGGCTAAGTCCTCCGAATGCCGGCCCCAAACGCGTGCATTCTCACAGGAGAGAGGCCAGGGGCTGTTTCATTCATTTGGCCGTGGCAATTGAGCGTCACTATGTGCCAGGCTGCAGGTGCGGGCCCTCGTGGCCCTCCCTGGCTGGCATTGGGGAAAGAGCATCAGAACATCAGTTCACGACTGTGACAGGTCTCTTCCCACCCTGTGGTCCTGAGCTGCTGGAGTGCCTGGAAAGCTCGTCATAGTTGGGACCCAGGTTGTCCCCTTGTTAGACCAAATCTCAAGGTAGCAGGGGTACACCTAAGAGTGGGGCCGAGCATTCTCCTCTGTTTCGTCTGGCAGGCAGCTGACACCCTAGCTGTACGCCAGAAGCGGCGGATTTACGACATTACCAATGTGCTGGAAGGTATTGGGCTGATCGAGAAAAAATCCAAGAACAGCATCCAGTGGAAGTGAGTGGGGATATCTAGGAGGGCAATAGGGTCTCTTCCCTGAGGTGTCAGGGGTGTAGGGTGGAGGGTGCAGGAGAGAGCAGAAGCCATGAAACTGGTAGTCCCGCCTCAGCTTCACTTCCCTGGTTTAGAGGTGTGGGGCCAGGCTGCAACACTCGGGAGATTGCTGACAAGCTGATTGAGCTCAAGGCAGAGATCGAGGAACTGCAGCAGAGAGAGCAAGAACTTGACCAGCACAAGGTGTGGGTGCAGCAGAGCATCCGGAATGTCACAGAGGATGTGCAAAACAGCTGATATCCTCCTGGCGGTCTCTGATCTGGGGGAGTGGGCAAGGGGCCTTCTTGTCTAACTGGGTTTGCTCTGTGGTACCCTGGGCTCCATCCCTCTTGGGAGGATGATCCTGTAGTCCCTGGCCAGATCCCAGCTTCATAATACTCTTCATAGCTTCTCCTTTACCATTCTTACCCATTGATCCCTCCCCTTGAGCATTCTAGGCCCCAGAACTTTCTCTGAGGACTTGTGTGTCAGACCTCCACTAAAATGTTGGGTCTCCTCTGTGGTCTGCCATCTGACACCATAGGCAGGGCATCAGCTGTTCTCCTTAACCCCCACACTTTGGCCTACGTGACTCATGAAGACATCTGCAGATGCTTTGCTGGTGAGCAGATCCTGGGTAGGGGGAGATAGGAGTGGGACTGGGCTGAGCCACAGCCCTGAGCATTGGGTTTAGTGCCCTCTTAAAAGGGTTCGTGGGTCCTGTCCAAAGAGAAACCAGGCAGGATAAGTCCTCAATTTGAGGGTCACTGGGACTCTGGAATCCAGCTGTACTGGGAAGGAGCAAGAACCCTGGTGTGGGTCCCTAGGTTTGCCTCCATCAACATTGTTCTCTGGGTTTGGCTTCTTGGGCATGATGGAGACACATGAGGAAAGGTAGAGTATGTATGTGTATGTTTGTGTGCACAGTCTTGAATGCTTGTATGGGAGGTGGTCAGTGGTACCCACTTCCAATCTATAGTTAGTTCAGTTGCATTGCAGATATAGGTGCTGTTCCCTCTCCATATTGTATCCCTAGACTGACCCTGGAAAAGGGACATTGGCTTGGTCGGAACATCTGACTAAGGTGTTCTGTTGCAAGGGATTGGCATCATTATGTAAAGAGTGAGGTACCCATGGCCAGAGATCTCTCCCCAAATGTGTTTTAACCCAGATTTCCTGGTTAGTGAGCCTAGGCTCTTGGGGAGAGAAGAGCTTTAGCTCTGCCCCTGCAATTATGGTGAGAGTGGAGGCCTACTGTCTAGTCCCTCAGAGACCATGATCTCCTTCCTTGCTCAAAGGAACAGGTACCTCCATTCCTGGCTCAGATTGAACCCATGGGCCCTGACCCGTTCTCCTTGTCATTCTAGGAGATACTCTCCTGGCCATCCGGGCCCCATCAGGCACCAGCCTGGAGGTGCCCATCCCAGAGGTGGGTGCTCAACCCAGGCAGGCAGTGTCAACTGAGGGCGGGTGCTTGCTGTGGAGCCTGATAAGTCCCGGGTGGGGCATGAGTGGGAAGCATGGGGTTTGGGGTTATCTAGGAGGGTGGCAGCTTGAATGGGAGAGGATAGTGGCCCTGACCCAGGGTCAGGCAGGAGCCATGTCTTCGTGCAATTCTACCTGTCTCTTCCCCTACCACCTACCTCCAGGGTCTTAATGGGCAGAAGAAGTACCAGATTCACCTGAAAAGTGTGAGTGGCCCTATTGAGGTGCTGCTGGTGAACAAGGAGGCATGGAGTTCACCACCTGTGGCTGTACCAGTGCCACCCCCTGAGGATCTGCTCCAGAGCCCACCTGCTGTTTCTACCCCTCCTCCTCTGCCCAAGCCTACCTTAGCACAGCCCCAGGAAGCCTCGCGTCCAAGCAGTCCCCAGCTGACCCCCACCCCCGTTCCTGGCAGCACCGAAGTCCCAGGGGTGGCTGGCCTGGCACCTGAGATTGCAGGTGAGACATGATGGGAAGCTAGGTGGAAGAGACTTTCAGAGTTGGCTTTTCCCTAGTCCTCACTAGCATCTCTTGCTTTGGCAGTGAATGTGCCCTTTTTTAACAGGGAAGCTCAGAGTGAAGGGACATTAATGGTGGCAGTTTCTCTCAGATATATCTCCTAGTGTCTCATGTGCCCTGGTTGCCTCACTGGGACCCATGTTGTCCTTGCATCTTCCTCCTACAGGGTTTGTGCCCCTATCTTCTTTAGTGAGTTGTTTCCAGGTTCTCTCTTCTGGGGTAACTGGCGGTACCTAATTCTCTTTGGGTCTGGGCACCAGGGCTGCGGTCATCCTAGCCATGGGGTCTAGCCGAGCCAAGTTCAATGACCTGCTTCTTGCCCCCATGTGACTGGGTTCGGGGGATGTGGTTGCAGTGAGTGGTGGCCCTGAGACTGAGAGCAAGGACAGTGGTGAGCTCACCTCACTTCCGCTGGGCCCGACAGCACTGGACACCCGGCCCCTGCAGTCTTCTGCCTTGTTGGACAGCAGTAGTAGTAGCAGCAGCAGCAGCAGCAGTAGCAGCAGTTCATCTGGACCCAACCCTTCTACCTCCTTTGAGCCCATTAAGGTGGACCCCACAGGTGGTGAGTATCTATCCTTGCCAAGTGGCAACAGGGAGAGTCCAGTCTCAGCCCAGTCCTTGATAGGAGACAGAATTGGGCTGGACCCTGGCCTCTCTGCCAGCCAGGTCAAGGTGTCTGGCTCCCAGGTCAGTGCTGATGCCCTTTTGCCCCTACCTAGGCTAAAGTGGAGCTCCCTGGCCCTCTCTTAAGCCCTGCCTCCCATCCTTTGAGCACCACTTACTTCACTAATTGAGGCTCACTAATTGACGCTTGCTCCTTTATGTCCCCTGTCTCCTCTCTCTGTCTGGACCCCTTGAAAAAGTAACCCTTACTCCACTCCATGTCTTGATCTTCTAGTTACCCTCAGGTGGCACCCAGCAGGACCCTGCTCCACCACTGTAGTAGGGCTATTCTTGATGAGGTACCTGCCCAGCAGGTGTCTATGGGGTTTGACTATGGTGCTCTCTGGCTCCCTGCTGATGCTCTTTCCACCTTTGGCTTTAATGATGCCAACTTCTTTTTTTATTATTTTTGCAGTGCTGCTGTTTGAACTCAGGGCCTACACCTTGAGCCACTCCACCAGCCCTATTTTTGTGATGGGGTTTTTTGAGATATGGTCTTGTGAACTATTTGCCCAGAGATCCTCCGATCTCTGGCTCCCTGGTACTTTAAACATTGGTGTTTCCTTGAGCTCTGTTCAATTCCACACTTAAGGAGGGTCCCAGCTCTGGAGAGATGAATCCCTGGACTGGCCTGCCTCCACCTAGTCTAAATCTTTTGCCTGATCTCCATACCTGTGCCTACCAGCCATCCTCTGCCTCTATGGGAGTTCAGTCCTCAATTGGACTCAATTTCCTCCTGAAATTTGCCTTCCACTGGCCCTGATCAGCCAGGTTTGACACCTGGTATCACTCCAGTTCTTTCTCCCTCTGCTGCCCATCCCCCACTGAGTGAGGTCTGTCTCACACATCTCCTTTCATCCCTCTTGAATCCTCAGCATTCAGGATGACTATTGACTGCTTGGATTCTAGATTCGTCAGCATCTTTTTCTTTACCCTTACTGATAATGATTTTTCTGAAATGCAAGCCTGAGTATGGTATTTCTCAGTTTTTAATTCTACCTTTATGGCTGAGGATGTAGCTCAGTAATAGAATATGTACTAAGCATGAGTGAGGCTCTAGGCTCAATTCACAGTGCACACAAAAAAGTACCTTTAATGACTCCTTAAACCCTACTGGGGGAAAAAAACAAAAAGTTCCTAAACCTGGCGTATGACACCCTCCACAGTCCCTCCAGTTTCATTTTCTTCTGCTTCCCATGTGTGTCTTCCCAGTCAGAGCTTTGTAGTAGGACAGTGTCCCTTGTCAAAGTGTCTTCTACCAGATGGCTCAGCCCATGGACTCAGCCTGGCACAGAGCAGACACTCTGCAAGGGTGGGAGTGCACTGGCATCTTCCATCAGGGAGAATGTGCATGCCCAGCACAGAAAGGGATGGGAATCTGTTGCCTTCTATACTACATCTGAGTTAGACAGGTTGTACCCATTACCTGCAGTGGGCCTTTGATACCCTGGGCTCAGCATTGAGGAATTTAAGTCAGCAGAGGAGACCTGCCTGGGGCAGGGTCTACATTTCCTCAGCTGTGTGGAGCCCTGGGGTGGGTGGTGTAGGATTGAGTAGGTTAAGGACTATAGCAAGACCAGGCTGGACTTCTCCCTTGAGCATGGCTTTCTTGTCTTTCAGTTCTGGAACTCCCCAAAGAACTGTCAGAAATCTTTGACCCTACACGAGGTAGGCTATGTTCTTCCCCTGGAGCTGGGGGTGAGGGACCCGGCTCATTCATTTGTGGTTGTACTTAGTATTTCAGGCAAAGGGTAAAACTGATGGGCTCTGGTGGGTGTGGCCAGAATGTAAGTGAGTTCTCTTCATTCCCAGAGTGCATGAGCTCAGAGCTGTTGGAGGAGTTGATGTCCTCAGAAGGTGGGTAGCCCAGGATGGTGCTGGGGAGGCTGTGGGGAGAGGCTGGGTGATTGCTGGGTGGGGCCTTGGCTCAGGGCCTCAGCCTATGTTCTCTGCAGTGTTTGCCCCTCTCCTCCGACTATCTCCACCACCTGGAGACCACGATTACATCTACAACCTGGACGAGAGCGAAGGTGTCTGTGATCTTTTTGATGTGCCTGTTCTCAACCTCTGACTGACAGGGACATGCCCCGTGGGGCCGGGACCCAGATTGAGCTGGGGGCGACAGGGGTACCTCCCCTCACTCATTCCTACACAGTTTGAGAGCCACAGACTCCTGGCTTCCCCAGCCTTCCCCCACTTCACAGTTCTGGCTACATGTCCCTTTCCTGTTCTGGCACTTGTCAGTGTGTGAGCTGAGCAGGAGAAAGGGCTCAGCCCCCTCCATGTGGAGCCAAAGTGTTTGCCTCTCCTTTTCTGGAGCCTTCCCCAGCCTAGGCTCAGCTGCCACCCAGTGGCACATATCTGTCATCACCCCCATAGGGCAGCTTGTCCAGCCCATTGCCCTGCTCCTGCCAGTCCCTCTCCCCTAGAAGGGAAGGGTGGGATGGAGCTGGGCACTTGCCAGCCCTACCTAGCTTCCTTCCCTACCCACTCATCCTACAGTTTCTGGACCTCTCAAGTGACCTCCTTACCAGGTCCTGAGCACTGGGAACCTGCAGGTGTTGTGTGTGGCGGGAGGTATTAAGAAGGAACTGAGTGAGGTCTCTAGGAATCTGGGTGGGTTGGTCCCTGAACATTGGCCCACCCTCCTGATGCCCCATAGTCCCCTTCATTTCCATTTATTCATTTACCCTCATTTAGAGCCATTTGCAGAGATTTAGAAAGATTTACAGTAACGAATGGATTCCTATATAAAGATTATTTTTATACTTTTTGCAGCAAAAGGAAATTGTAATATTTGTACAGTGTCCAAGTGAATAAAGACCATGCCTAAGGCTATCTCTGATGTGGTTCTTTGGGGCCCTTCCCTGGGACTATGCTGGCTTGAGGGTGGAACTGGGAGGGTCACCTTGCTGGAATAGGAGGTGTGGCAGCTGTAGGCAGCCTGCCTCCCTACCCCCACCTGCCACACCTTGGCGTGGGGCGGGGCAGGGCCGGCCCCTTCGGCGGGGCGGGCCAGAGCAGGCACCGTCCTACCCTCCTGCCCCCGGACTCCAACCCGGAACTAGGATTCCTTTGGGAAGGCCGCAGCGTCTGGCAGGGGGTGAGAACCTGGGCCGTGAGGTTCTTGCCACCGGGACCAAGTCACGGGCAGAGGGACATCCTCGTCGCCCCCAGAGGCCCCTGACCAGGTGTGCCCTTGGAGGGAGGTGGCACGGTCCGTGGAAAGTGTTGGCGCCTGCGGCAGGCTGGACCATGGCACCCCCGCGGAACGTGGTGAAGATTGCCGTCCAAATGCGTGACGCCATCCCGCAGCTCATCCAGCTCGACCAGGTCACTGGCCTGTCTGGCCTCCATCTGCCCCACCGCCCACCTCTGGGTGCCCATCCCAGCCCTCCCCCAGGTTGCCTTCCTACCCCGGCTCCTCCCCACTCCTGGCCCCGTGAGTGACAGCTCCACTTGCAGGCAAAGCCCCTGGCCACCGTGCTGAAGGAGGTGTGCGACGCGTGAGTGCGGCGAATCAGGAATCAGGCAAGGGGTGGGGGAGGGGCAGGCGGGAGGAGGCGCCCCTACCCGCCTGCCTGAGCTCCGTGTCCCACAGGTGGAGCCTGACGCACTCGGAGCGCTTTGCCCTGCAGTTTGCTGATGGGCACAGGAGATACATCACTGAGAATGTGAGTCCCCACTCCCACAAATCCACCCTCTAACCCATCTGCCCCTCATTTCCCATACTCATTCTATTGCCAACCGAATGTGAGCTTTCTTTTACTGATCCCCAAGTCTCCCTCACTGATGACCCAATTGACCATTCCTCAGAGTCCCTCCTTGACTTTGCTCTTTTTTCTGCTTTTTCCTCTAGAACCGCGCAGAGATCAAGAATGGCAGCATCCTGTGTCTCAGCACTGCCCCAGTAATGCCCCTCCTGCCTTGTCCACCCCCCCTGCCCTGTTCCCCAGCTGGGCCTGTTTTCTGCCTGGTGACCTCCACCCCAGGTCTGGAGGCCCCAGCCCAGCAGTGCCCCACCTAGTGGACACCCAGGTCCTCACACTTCAATCCTAACCTCTGTCCAGCCTCCTTATCTTCACTCTACTCCCACCCCTGCCAGGACCTGGAGGCTGAACAGCTGTTGGGTGGGCTACAGAGTGCCAGTCGTGAGGGGCGCCGGGAAGCCCTAAGGCAGCTCGTCCTACTGGCCTCAGACATGACCTTTGCCCAGGAGGTCATCAGCCGTGATGGGCTTCAAAGACTAGGCACCATTATTGAGGATGGGGACGAGTGAGCACTGGGCTGTGGTGGACTGGGAGGCATGGTGGGGCTTGGAGATCCTGTTCTGGTCCTGCTTAGCCCCAGATGTCTCCCCTAGCTTAGGGGAAGTGCTGGCCCTTGGGCTGCGGGTCTTCTTGGAGCTCATGGAGCATGGCATGGTGTCTTGGGAGACACTCAGCATCCCCTTTGTCAGAAAGGTAGGTGGGCTTTTTGAGGGGCATTTGGTGGGGGCAGTGAGATGGTGCCAGGATCTGATCTTTTGTGGTGGTGAGATGGTGACAACCCCCTACCCCTTTTCAGGTAGTGAGCTATGTGAACATGAACCTGATGGATGCCTCTGTGCAGCCCCTGGCCCTTGGCCTGCTAGAGAGTGTGACCTTGAGCAGCCCTGCCCTGGGACAGCTGGTCAAGAGCGAGGTGCCACTGGATAGGCTACTGGTGCACCTGCAGGTGTAAGCCTCCAGGGTGGGATACAGATGGGGGAGCACAGCCAGACCCCAGATATGCAACTGAGCCCACCCCTCCTCTTGCCATAGGATGAACCAGCAGCTGCAAACCAAGGCCATGGCACTGTTGACAGCCCTGCTGCAGGGGGCCAGTCCTGCTGACCGTAAGGTGAGTATTTATCCAGTGGCTGGAAGGGACAGCATCTGCTGAGAACACTGTTCTTGCCTGAGGCTAAATCATCAAGACTCCCTTCCTACCCACTGCAGCAAATGCTTGACTACCTATGGCAGAGGAACCTTCGCCAGTTCATCTACAAGGTAGGAAGGACTGGGCCAGGGAGGGTCCTCCCCAGTCCTCCTCTCCCAGTGAGTCTCATCCACAGGCTGGTGTCTGTCTTCCAGAACATCATCCACAGTGCGGCGCCACTGGGCGATGAGATGGCTCACCACTTATATGTGCTGCAGGCCCTTACGCTGGGGCTACTGGAGCCCCGCATGAGGACACCAATTGACCCCTACAGCCAGGTGCATGTCTTGGGGGAGGCACAGATTGAGCATGACTTGGAACTTGGCCTTGAATCTCAACACCTCTTCCCCTGTGACAATGATCCCAGGAGCAACGAGAACAGCTGCAGGCCCTGCGTCAGGCTGCCTTTGAGCCAGAGGGGGACTCCCTGGGCACTGGGCTAAGTGCAGACCGCCGCCGTTCCCTCTGTGCCCGGGAGTTCCGCAAACTGGGCTTCTCTGTGAGTGACCTCTACCCAAGTCCCCACAGAAAGCCTCCAGCTTGTCTGTGGTTGTTTCAGGGCTGTTGCCCTTCCTGAGTTACCTATACTTACACCCCAGAACAGCAACCCAGCTCAGGACTTGGAGCGCGTGCCCCCTGGCCTGCTGGCCCTGGACAACATGCTTTACTTCTCCAGACATGCGCCCAGCGCATACAGCCGGGTCAGTGACAGGAGGGATAGCAGCAGCCCCACCTCAGCAGGATCCCCATGGGCTTAGCTGAGACTCTGCCCCTATTCTCTGCTCCCATCACCCTAGTTCGTGTTGGAGAACAGCAGCCGGGAAGACAAGCATGAGTGTCCCTTTGCTCGGAGCAGCATCCAGCTGACGGTGCTGCTGTGCGAGCTGCTCCGTGTCGGGGAGCCTTGTAAGTGGCACTGGGTCCAGCATGTCCGGGGACAGGGGACGGAAGGGCAGAGAGGGCCAGGGGCTGCACATACTTTCTCCCTGAGCTCCTCCTGCCCCCCCGCTCCAGGCTCCGAGACGGCCCAGGACTTCTCACCCATGTTCTTCAGCCAAGACCAGAGCTTCCATGAGCTCTTCTGTGTGGCCATCCAGCTGCTGAATAAAACCTGGAAGGAGATGCGGGCGACACAGGAAGATTTTGACAAGGTGGGCAATATGGGAGCTGAGAGGCCTGGGCAGAGTTCTGTTCTAGGAAGGGGCCCAGAGGTCAGGCCCTGAGCTGAGCTTGTGGTGGTCCCAGGTCATGCAGGTGGTACGGGAACAACTGGCCCGCACACTGGCCCTGAAGCCCACATCCCTGGAGCTCTTCCGGACCAAGGTGAATGCTCTCACCTATGGGGAGGTACTACGGCTGCGGCAGACAGAGAGGCTACACCAGGAGGGCACACTGGCCCCTCCTATACTGTGAGTTGGCAGGGATGGGTCCCCAGTCCCAGATTCCACTTTCTCAGATGTCCTGTGGGCTGTGCCTCTAGTCAGCCCTGGTCACTGACTCACACCCCTCATCCAGGGAACTGCGGGAGAAACTGAAGCCAGAACTTTTGGACCTGATCCGCCAGCAGCGTTTGCTCCGCCTCTGCGAGGGAATGCTCTTCCGCAAGATCAGTAGCCGGAGGCGCCAGGGTCTCTGAGTGGCCAAGGGAGGATAGACAGTGGCTGGATTTGGGGTCAGAGCCCTTCTCCTCACTCCTTTTTTCTTCCCCTTTCTCCATACAGACAAGTTGTGGTTCTGCTGCCTATCCCCCAACCACAAGGTGCTGCAGTATGGCGATGTGGAAGAAGGAGCCAGCCAGCCCACCCCAGAGAGCCTGCCGGAACAGCGTAAGGGCAGGGCCAGGGGTCCTACTCCTCCTCCCCCCGGTGCCTGATGCCTTTGGGGCTGCCTGGACCCTCCGTGATCAGCCCAGTCTTCTTCCTCCAGTTCCTGTGGCTGACATCAGGGCATTACTGACTGGCAAAGACTGTCCCCATGTTCGGGAGAAGGGCTCTGGGAAGCAGAACAAGGTGAGTGCAGTGGGACCAGCACGGTTTCCTTCCTGTTCCTGTCTGCCTGTTCCCTGCTCAGTCTCCCTGCACCTTGTTTCCCTAGGACCTCTGTGAGTTGGCTTTCTCTATCAGTTATGATCATGGGGAAGAAGAAGCATACCTCAACTTCATTGCCCCCTCCAGACGGGATGTAAGTATCTGGGCCAGACTGAGTTGGGCAAATGGGCAGAGGGAGCAGATGGGCAGGCCCTCATGGAGCTGGTCCTGTCTATGCCCAGTATTACCTGTGGACAGATGGGCTGAGCGCCTTGTTGGGCAGCCCCATGAGCAGTGAGCAGACCCGGCTAGACCTGGAACAGCTGCTGACCATGGAGACGAAGCTGCGGTTGTTGGAGCTGGAGAATGTGCCCATCCCTGAGAGGCCACCACCTGTACCTCCACCCCCCACCAACTTCAACTTCTGCTATGACTGCAGCATCGCTGAACCTTGACAGTGGGGTTGGCCAAGGGCCACAGCTGCTGTAGCTGCAGCAGCCACAAAGGAGGATGGAGGAGCACAGGCCCCATAATCAGCAGAGGCTGCAGTAGAAATAAAGTGTGTGTAAAGCCAGCTCTGAATCGTGTGGACCAAGCCTGTGACAGACATGGACAGTAATCCCTTTCTGTCTTCAGATTTAGCTAGTGAATGAGATGAATCATCAGGCAAGACCACAAACTTGGGTGGCTGCATTTTGGGGGACTGATGCTCTGAGGGGTAGGGACAAGTGGGGACTGTTGCACTTCTTCAAGATGAGTCCTAAGCCCCCCTCAGTGCTGGACCTGCAAATGAATGGCCTGTCATCTGGGAGCACCAGCCAAGGAAGACTAGAGTGTCAACCAGCCGAGGGAGAAGTAGAAGGGCAGGAAACAATACCACAAATGGATGCCTTTCTGGGTAGCATTATCAGGGGCCTAGTCAGGGAGCCATGCTTCTAGCAGGCTGCAGACCGTCTGACCTCAGTCCTCCGTTATACCCTACCTCCTGTCCTCTGTAGGACTTGGAGACTGCTGGTAAGAATCACGAAGGGAGAGATGTGTAGTGGGGTCTGCTGAAGGGTAAGCTCCCAGTTCCAAATACTACCAGATATTACCAGGCTGATGGTAGTATCTGGGCAGATCTGGGCAAGAAGGAATTCTGTGCAGGAAGCCCTACATTCTATTTAAACCTAACTCAGGAGTGTGGATGAGGTGGGGGCCACAGACAGGCCAGAGCCCCTGTAGGCTGAAGCAGTGAGAAATGCTTGGAGGTCAGGTTTGAAGGCAAAGAACACAGAAACCCAGGGGACCCACAGAGAAGACTGAATACTACCACTACACTGACTTCTTTCTCCATGCCACTCACTACTTCTCTTTCTCAGTGCCTCCTCAAATACAGTGTTTAACAGTGTTGCACATCAAAATTTGACCTTGAAAACAGATGAAATGGTGCCTCCTTTGGAGAATGTGCTTGGGGAGTATTTGCTCCTTACCCCTACCTACACTTCTGAGCTTCAGACATCTACTGCGCACACACCTGGGCTCAGAGACTCCCTGCCACACTTGTAACAGTCTGTTACTGAGTTCAAGGTAGAGATCCCAGATGCAGTTAGTCTGCCAATACTGCCAATTATTACTTCTCAGTGTCTCTAGTCCCTTGTTCATGCCAACATCTTGGTGGCATTTTGCCACCATCATCTCCTAAATTCTGGCTTCTCATCCTGCTCCTCCAATCATCTCAATAACTGCTCCTCCAACTGCTTTCTCAAATCATAAACTGGATGTGATTACACATTCGCACACACATCCTATATTCTTCAGTGTCTGCCTGTTGTCCATGATTACCATGATTGACACTGAGTTTAGCTGGATGAGCTGCAGACATGTAGTTTAGTACTTCCAATGGAGTCCCTGTAGCCTATAGGCTTCTGGGTGCATGGTCCAACTGGCATCCTCCCTGCACTCAATCAGGGCCTACATGTATCCCCCCAGCACCAGCTCTGGACTACCAAGTGTTCCCCCACAGTCCCCTCTTAGATTTCCCCACTTCTGCCCATTTTTCACTGTCTTGGTTCCTTCCCTGACTCAAGTTCATTGCTGCCCTAGGCATCTGGTCCCACATGCTTATTTCTCTGTTCATACATATCTTGCACACTAGACTGTCTTGCCTGTTGACTTATTTGCCTCTGGCCTGGGAACTGGGACATCTTTGGCACCTCTGAATCCCCATATGAAGCACAGTGCCTGTAGGCACTCAGAGAACACTGGCTAGCTGCTTCTAGAACTGATGGACAGATGTATGGACAAAGTGTGGGGTCAGCTGCGCAGTTTCTCAGAGCTGCCATTGAGAAGTCACTAGCATTGTTTAGAGGGTTGAACTAAATGACCTTTAATGACCCTCATCCCAGAGATGCTGTCCTGTTTCTCCTCCCACCTTTTTATTCCTCCTCTCAAGATAGCCACATTGTTGAATTAGACATCATTAATCAGTTGTTCCTGGGGACTGGCTGGGCCCAGTGCCTTTGCAGCAGGGCATACCCAGGGGGATTGTGTTGGGAAAGGCCTTCAGGCCTTGAAGTCTACTATGTGGGGAAGAAGTGAGGACCTGGTTGAGACAGGCCAGTGTGAATCAGCCCTGAGGCTAGTGTGGGGACACCTTAGGGGCTTTGGGTCAACTGAGGTGGGGAGGGAAAGGATCTTTTAGTCTGAGAACTTCAGAAGATGAAAGATCTGGAATTTTTAATCTTATTTGGGTTTACAGCAAAGTTGGTGGCTTGGCTTCTAATGCTCAGAGCTTATGAGGCTGGGGGAGCCCCTCTAGGGAATGGGTGAGACATAGGCCTTCGGTCTGAGACATGGATAGGCAGGGGGCACGGTCTGCTCCTCACCAGCACGAGGCCCAGCCTGACCGTGGGCCTGGCCTCCCAACCAGGACCTGAGGCAGCAACAAGTAGCTGAAAAGAGGTTGCTGTCCAGCTGTGGGGAAACTGGGGCAGGAAGTTCCCTGCTCTGGATTGGTCCCATCCTGAGTCCTAGACAAGGGTTCTGCAAGAGGAGGCAAAAAGGTACTATAGCAAACTCCAGGTTCAGAGGCCTGGGCTAGAGCTAAGGGGGTGAAGTAGGCCAAGGTGCAGGGCTGTTTACTGACCTGGCCTCAGAGTGTTAGGGTCAGGTCAGCCCCTCCCACAAAGCGGGACTGGATGCAGGTCACCTGAGGCAGCTGGGCTTGAAATTGCCTGACAGCCGCCATGTTGATACCAGGACACATGGCCACATCCAACACCCGGAGCTGCTTGCACACCTGCCTAATGGTCTCCAGTGTTCTGCAGGGAGACCACTAGGTGAGCACCTGACCCAGAGTGGGGCCCCAACCCAGCCCCTGCACTGTGGCTCCATCTGCTCAGCATCATCAGATACACTTACTGCTCTGTGAGCTGACTGCAGCTGGACAGGTTGAGGTGCTGCAGCCTTGGCCAGGACCTGGCTGCCTGGGCCCAGCCCTCATCACTGAGATGGCTACAGTGACTCAGCGCCAAGCACTCCAGGCTGGGGCAGCCTCTGGCCACAGCCACCAAGCCCATGTCTGTGAGTGCTGGCAACAGGCTTAGTGACAACTGTCTCAGCTGGGGAAACTGGAGCACCTGCAAGGATAGGGGTTGAGTATAGCACTAGAATCCAGAGCTTGGGCCCCTTCTAGGTTCCCTGCCTGCAGTCAGAAGCCAGTAAGAAAGGGACTTTAAGCAAAAAGTAGGTTGGTCCAGACCCTGGCTCCAGCCCCAAGATCTTTAGTCTATCCATACCTTGGCCAAACTCGCATCAGTCAGCTTACTGCAGGCTGTGAGGTCCAACTCCTGGAGGGCCTGCAGCACGAGCAGTGAGGGGCCTTGTGACTTGGGAGAGGGATCCTCGGCATCTGAGACCTGATACTCCAGCTCTGGGTGTAGCTGTGGGAAGAAACCCCTGCTTCTCAGGCTCTTTCTGAGTTTGCCCTTAAATGTTCTTATAGACTCAGGAACAGCAGGACAGTTGAGCTGCCCTCCCTGACCTTGACATCCCGCACCTGGGAACCCAGCGTAGACTCCTCATTTGGTTCCTCCAGCCCCAGAAGCCCCCAGTCACAGAGCTCCTTGCACCAAGCCAGGCGCAGGACTGAGAGGTGGGTGAGGTAGGTGCAAATGGCCTGTATTGTTCTGTTGGTGAGGGCCGCACAGGAGGACAAGTCTAGCACCCTGAGGCTTGGGCCCAACGCTGGGATCACAGAGAGCACTGAAGCATCCTAGAAAGGAGGTATGGAGGAGAGAATGGAGAAGCAGCTTATGACTGTGTCTCCAGACTTGGCAGAGGTCACCAGCAAGGGTGTGCACAAAGTTCCTGCCCCAAGGCAACAGAGGGCTGCCAGAGGGCCCAAGGAGAGACACTACATGGTCTTGGTGCTGGCTGTGAACATTTAGAGTGGAGAGTGGACAAGGTGGATTTAGGGATGGGAGATCTGAAGGATAAAGACCAAGACTAAGGATGGTGCAGGAAGAAATTTACAAGATGGCTGCCCTGCCTGTGCTTCCAACCCCTGCAGAAGGGATGGGCTGAGGCATCCCTCTAACCACAGCCCATTGGAGCAGGTGAGGACAGCTGATCTAGCAGAGCCAATCAAATGTGCTCCCTCTAGAATGTGAACCACTGGTGCAGTGGGATGGTAGGGCTGCCACTGCAGGGAGAAGTAGGGTGTGAGCAGCACGAGCTGATGGCCAAGCAGAGGACACTGGTTTGTAGAAAGATGCACAGGGAGCTTTGGGGGCACAGGAAAGTGAGGCCTGGGAGAGCAGCTAAGATGCTGGTGGCCACGGGAAGAAGTAGTGGTGGGCAAGGGAAAGGGTGCTTGTAGCCAAACAAGGTTGAGAGGCTTTAGGTTGGTAATGCCCTCATCACAGTAATAGGTTGAAGGAATAATTCACCATGGAAGAACTGACTGACTTTCTCAGACATGGATGCTACCCACAGGGACAGGGCCAAGCCATATGCAAGGCCCAGCTTTAGCCAAGAAGTGGCTCTGCTGCTCCCAACTTGACATTCCCTCCAAGGCCCTGCTCTTCCACTGAAGAACATCCTCTTCAGTGACCCCTCCCCACCATTCACTTCCATCACTGCCTTTCTCTAGCCTTCCTGCCTCCAGAATATTCCCGTGAGGTGTTGGAACACCTCATGGGCCAGGCCACACTTGGTGTCTTGGACCTTCCTCTGCCTGAGCCAGAGTGGGGATTTTGGGGAGGTATGCCAGCAGCATCACTTGTCTGGGCAAATGTCCTCTTCCAGACAGTGACCCAACTTTAGTTCTAACCACTATGCCTGGGACACAAATACTGGGTAGTCCTTCCCTGGGGCCACAGGCCCAGCTCCCCCAGCCACCCTGAAGAGGAAGGGAGGAGTGGTGTGCTCACCTTCAGTGAAGAGCAGTAGGCCAGCCTGAGGGTGGTCAGTGGGGGTGGAGCTCTGTGCCCAGAACTCAGGGCCTGGGCCAGTTCCCGCCCGCTCACCAAGCAGCACTCAGCCATGTCCAGACTCTGCAATTCCTGCAGGGCCCCTAGGGCTGTACATCCTGCATCTGTCAACCGCTGCAGCTTTCCCAGGCTCAGACGCCGCAAGTGCTGCAGGCCCCGGCTCACAGCCAAGAGCGCCCCATCAGTCAGATCTGAGCAGCCACTGAGGTCCAGGGAGGTAAGGCCTGGTTGTTGGCAGCACAAGGTGGCCACAGCCTCTGTGGAGAGGTCCCGGCAGCTATGCAGGCTCAGCTCCCGCAGCTGCAGCCCAGCCACCTGGCCCAGGGCCTTCAGGGCCTCTGGTGGCAATCCAGTGCCACTTAGGTCCAAGGCGCGCAACCTGCCAGCATGCTCCTTCACAAATTGAAGCAGGTTGCGGAAGGATAGTTGGAAGGGAGAGGAGACCTGGGCGCCGGCAGAGCCCCGGGTTGGGTCTCGCTCAAAGGTGAGGTGGCAGTAGGCCAAGGAGAGGCGCTCCAGGCTGGGTACACAGCTGCTGAGCTGGTTGAAGCTGTGGTCAGTCAGGTCCCGCAAGTCAGCCAAGATGAGCTCACAGAGGCCACTTAATGCCTGCCGGACACGCTGTGCTGTCTCAGGCTGAGCCAGAAGCATACCTGATGTGAAGAGGCTGTTGCAGCCACTAAGGTCAAGAGTGCGCAGGGCTGGGCATCCCAGGATCAGGGCCACAAAAGAGGCCTCTGAGAGACTGCCCCCACTCAGACACAAGCCCTGCAGGTGTGGGCCCAGGTGGTAGGCAACAGACTGCAGCACCTGATGTGAGGCTGGTGAGCCATCCAGGTTGGTCAGGCCAATGCAGGAGATGCCCCGAAGGCCCAAGCTCTTGATGGCTGAGAGGGAGGCTGAGGACACAGGGATGTTGTACTTCACATTTGTCTAAAAGGCAACAGCAGGCCTGGGGTTACCTCTCTGGTTTGAGGTTGAGGGCAGGTGAGAAAGGCTTCTTCTACAATAAGGACTGTCCATGTGTGTGGTGTCATGTATGGTTGAGAAGAGTGTGAGTAGTAAATGGGAGAGTGGAAGTCAAATCATGCTGGGGTTTGAAGGGAGCTGACTATTAGGGGCAGGCAGGAAGGCTGGTGAAGGACAGGACCTAGGGAGGGGCGGGGACAGAGTGGCAAGTTGGTAAGCTGAGCACAGGAGAGCTGAGATGTGACCTGGAAGAAGCCCGGTGAAGCCCCCACAGGGTGAGAGGATAACATAACCTGAATCCCAACCTTTCAGACTCTTAGGAGGTCTTGAGATCCATGAACTCAACCTCCTGCTCCAAGAATGTGACATTAGCTGAGTAGCCAGGCTCCCCTACTTTCTAAGGAGGATATAAACAGCCCTAAGAACAGTGGATGACAGGAAGAAGTGAAGTAGGTGTCATCACTCACCACAACTCTCTGTGGCCCAGGTGCCAGAGGTCTGTGGCAGGCAGTGAGGCCTAGGGGGGCCCTGGTGGCCTTGCACACATGAATGTTTGAAAAAAATGCTTTTGTGTGTAAGTGAAAGGGCACATGTGTGTGTATGTGTGTGTGTGTGTGTGTGTGTGTGTGTGTGAACTAACACATGTGAGACTGCCTAGGCTCTGGAGAATTCCTGGAAGGGACATCTATCTATCTAGATAAGAGAAGCATCCCACTTCTGTGGGCAGGATCTAACAGAAAGAATCTCAGAGGTGCCAAGGAAGTGGAGCTGGCCCTGCTCAGGGCTCCTCCCCTGGCAGTGGGGTAGCTGGAGTAGGGTATAATCCAGAAGGCAAGATCAGGGCTAAGCTGTGCAAGCATGTAGGAGCCCCCAGCTAAGGGACATATTTTATAGTAGACTCTTGAATAATCTTGTACCAGATAGAGCCAAAGGAAAGTCTGTATAATTTGTGTGGAATAGACCTATAAGGGAGGAAAAAGATGGATTAGTTTCTAAAATCCTAACTCCTGGGTTAGGGATGTAGTTCAGTGATAGCACACTTGCCTAGCATGTGTGAGGCAGGTCTGATGCTGAATTGGGATTCCCAGAACTGCAAAATAAATTTTAAAAAAAGTCCTAGCCCTGTTTCCCTATTTCTCACCCAGGTCTCAAGCACGTGGTAGTCAAAAAAGGGTCTTTTGTGGGGTTTTTTGGTGGGACTGTTTTTGGTTTTTATGACACTGTGTTTGAAATCAGGGCCTCATAAGCAAGCACTCTTACAGCTTGAACCATTCCACCAGCCCTTTTATTGTGATGGTTTTTTTTGAGATAGGGTCTTGTGAACTATTTGCCCGGGGCTAGCTTTGAACCACCAACCTCCTGATCTCTGCCTCCTGAGTGGCTAGGATTACAGATGTGAGGCACTAGCGCTTGGCTGGGACTGGGGTTTGAATTCAGAGCCTCATACTTGCAAAGCATACACTCTACTGCTTGAGTCACACCTCTGGTTATTTTGGAGATGGGGGAGTCTCATGAACTATTTGCCCAGGCTGACTACAAACTGCGATCTTCCTGATCTCAGCCTCCCAGTAGCTAGGATTATAGTCGTGAGCCACTGGCACCTGGCTCAAAAAGTCTCTTGTTTTAGCATCATCATGGTTCTGATGCAGAAAAGCAAGCTTCCCAAAACACCCACCTTTTTAATGACTGCAAAAACAAGCCATTGTTCCCTATTTGTACCACATGGAACAGCACCAAAGGGGAATGAGAAAGGTAGAAGTGACACACAGGATGCACTCCTGCAAAATCTTATCAACACAACTCTTTCAGGAAGCATGGGTATGGGGAAACTAGTCTGGCCACCACGCGTGTATAAGAGATAAGGACAAGCTCCTGGTCTCTCCACAGGAATCAGGGGTTGGTCAAGTTCTCTTTCCAGACCCCACCTCTAGATTGTGGTCTTTCCTGGGAGAGGAGGGCTCACTGCAGATCTCCTCATGATGGGGCAGTGAAACACCCAAGGGCCTGGGTCCCTCTCTCAATTTAAGGAGAGCTGGGGAAGATCCTGGTGTGTGAGGCGAGGGAGGGAGATAAAAAGGTTAGAGAGGAAAAGGAAAGGAAAACCAAAGCATGTCTCCAGCCATTACCAAGTCCTACATGACAGATGAGTCAGTCTGATGTTGAATAAACTAGGGCTGGGGGAGCTGGGAGCAGGTTGGTTGCCCAGGCAGCACCCGCCCCCACAACTCACTAATGTGGTTCAGGATCCAAAGAACCCCACAGTCTCCAGCTCTACCTGCAGTTGCAGTGCTCAGCCTTTTTCTCTTCCTGGGAGCCTGAACAGCAGGGAATGTTCTCCTTTCTCCCGCTACCTCCCTGTAACAAGGTGGACGAACACCCAAGGGAGAGCACTGAGTCAGTCTAGGGCTGGCAGATGACATCAAAAAGCCACTGGACAAACAAGGCAGGGCCTGGCCTGCAAAACTTCCCCAGCTACAGGGTTGGGGGGAGGAGATGTGAGACCATCTCTAGCCCTCACTATTTGGGGGTAGGGTAGAGGCAGCTTCCTGCAGTCACTTAGTGGTCTGTCCTATTCCTGAGGTCAGCTGGCCTTAACTGCAGGAGCCTAGGAACAGCCTTTTAGGAACATTTATCTCTGTGGGGGACAGAGAAGCAGGCAGAAGCAGGGCTCCTGGGTTCTGGACTTTGTCCTTCCTGGGCCTTAGGAAGCTGCTTCTAGAGGGCAGAGGGAAGACTGCAAGGCTACCTGCTCCAGCTTCAGTCCCCCCATACAGAAAAACCAAGCACCCCCCTGGTCTCTTCCTTTCCTCATGCTGGCATCTTTTTTTTTTGGTGGCACTAGGGTTTGAACTCAGGGCCTCACACTTGCTAGGCAGGTGCTCTTACCACTTGAGCCATTCCACCAGCTCCCAATGGTGGCATCTTACGAGAAATTGCAAAGTCATTTGGGAAACACCCAAATGCCCACTTCTAAATGTGACATAGGATAGAGCATGGCTCAAGGGCAAGTGCAACCAGCACAAGGCTATGAGTCTAAATGCCAGCACTGCCAATCAATCAATCAATAAAATGACATATATGTGTCCTTGACTGTGAGAGGCCTGGGTTTTGGTGAAGCCCACCCTGAGACTGCAGGCTTGTATACAGGCTTGGAAAGTCACCACCTGATGGAGAAAAGGCCTCCCTCCGTTTGGTACAAGGTAAGGCACTTGTTTCCTTCCAGAAGGCTGTGAGGGAATGCAGGCCTGGTGCCCAGGAGCATTGGTCTCTGGACAGGAGTTAAACTCCTAGGGCAGAAGAAGGCAGGAGAGGGTAGAAGCTGAGTTGTCTTCTGCTCTTTCTCCACAGCGACCAACCCAACGATGGGCAAACCAGGGCTCCCCAGAGCACTGGGCAGAGCCAAGGTGTGTGTGTGGGCGCTGCCTCTGCCTGTGTCCTTATTTGACACAAACCGGGATTAAGTAAACAGTGCAGGCAGGCTGGGGGAATAAGAAGTCACCAAGTCCAGCATCCTAGCCTGGCCTCATAAGATACAGGCCTAGGTTAGCCTTGGTAGGCCAATATCTTCCACAGCATGAATGGCTGGGGGCACTGCCTCCTCCTCCACCTGCCCACATCTGGGTCCTGGGAGATGGTTCCTGCCAATGGGACTCTGCAGATTGCTTTCCAGGAGGGCTGGCAGAGTGCCTCAAGTGGTAGTGTCTGCCCAGCAAGCATGATGCCCTGAGTTCAAACCCCAATGCCACCAGAGAGAGAGAGAGAGGAGAGAAGATTGCTATCCAGGATATGGTGATTGTGAGGTATGGGCAGCACCCTAGATAACCAGGAGCCTATGGCCTGGCTTTGCAGAAATACCAAACAGGTCTTGCTCACACTATCTAGAGCAACTTGTACTCTGAGAATCCTAGTTTCTGAGTTTTTGTTGTTGTTGTTGTTTTTGTGGGACAGAACTGGGGTTTGAACTCAGGGCTTCACATTTGCTGGGCAGGTGTTCTACCACTTGAGCCACTCCACCAGCTGTTTTTGCCTTTCTACTTCTTCCTCAGAGGCTCAGAGGCCATAACAAGAGTTTTTAAACACATCAAGCTCCCTTCATCCTGCAGCCACTCTTCCATCTTCCTTTTTTCTCTGGCACACCTACATCTGCTGTCTGGCCATTCAATTCGCCTTTGTCTCACCCACTTATCCTTCCACCACTGCCCCTCAAAATCATTCTATCCTGTCAACAGATCTCCTTCAGCAAGGTCACCAGTCTCTGTCATGCCACTTGCTAGGGATGGTCAGTAGCTATTCCTCTTTTGTTTTTTTCATTACTTTTGATGCTACCTCCCACTGGGGGTTTTGAAACTGTCCTCTTGGCTTTCTTCCTACCTAACAGCCTGTTCCTCCTTGGTCTCTTTTGGGGTTACCAAAGTCCATAAATGACTGGGTTCCCCATGATTTCCTCTACCTGAACACACATACAGACACACAGGCACACATGCACAATCTTTATCCTCTTCCATGTGCCCCCTAGCACATGGGTCAATCCTTCCAACTATTTTCTTTTGATCCACATTATTTTCCTGAACACTAGACCCCAGCTGCCAATTGCTTCCTGGACCTCTCTCCATATAACCCCAATACAACATGCCCCAATCTGAATTCACCATTTATCACTAACTGTGCTTCTTCTCCTAAACTCTCACCACCCTCCACTGAAAGTCACCCTTACTTCCCATACTACATTGACCCAAGTCCCTTCTCTCCATTTCCTTGATATATTGAAATATGTCCCTCTTCTCTATCTCACTGCTTCTGCCTTAGTTCAGATCTCCTGTCAGGAATATGACAAAGCAACTTCCTTCTCATCAGGAAATCTGATCGTGCTCTCCAGGCCCTCTGACAGGTCTCTGATCACAGAAGAAAGGTTAAGCTTGCTGGCCAGCATTCAAGTGCTTCTATGTTAGACCACAGCCTACTTCTTCAGCCTACCTCTTCCCAGCTCACTCTCTCCTTCTTCCTCCCCAGCTCAGCTCTGGGAATTTCCACTTCTTTTTTTCCTCCTTTTATTTTATGGTTTTTACATTTACTCACATGTGTATACATTGTTTGTGTTGCCCTCTTCTAGGAATTCCCACTTTTGATCAGTGTCTCATGCTGCTCTGCCTCCATTCAGCTGCTTTTTCTGTTGTTTTGGCATTCCCCAACCCTCATCTACCGCTATTTGTCTATGTAGCAAATATTTATTCCTCTCTTGAGTCTCAGGCTAAGCATCTCCTTCATGGAGTCTTTTCTGAAAAAGACATGTGCACCCCTAGTGTGCCTACACAGATTCTATTTATTTATTTATTTTGGTAATACTGGGGGTTTGAACTCAGAGCCTCACACTTTCTAGGCAGGCATTCTAACCACTTGAGCCATTATACCAATCTCTGAAATTCCTTATTTTGTGGTGGGGGGTGGCACTGGGGTTTGAACTCAGGACCTCATGCTTGCCAGGAAGGTGCTCTTACATCTTGAGCCACTCTGCCAGCCCTCCTGCACAGATTCTAAATGCAACACCCTAAACTATTTTTGCTTGTGCTTGTCTCTCATGACAAACTCCCAAATTTTTCATCTTCCTCACTTCTGCCTCACCAGAGCCCAGCACAGTGCTTGGCACAGACACAAACATCTGAGTAAGTCTTTGGTAATTTTTCATCTTCCTTCTGCCTTGTGACTGAGGTCCTGGCCTCTACCTCTCTTCTCATTCTCCTGACATTGGTCTCCAAGTTCACTACGCAAAGTGGCTCCTGAGGAAGGAGATGCCTCTGAGGAACTTCCTCACAAACAGTTCCATGCCTCCCCACCCCCACCCGTTTCCTCAGGAAGAGGTAGCATTGTCGTTATTCTATGCAAAATCATGTCTTCTGCACTGAAGCCTGTCTCTGCCACCACCTCAGGTGGTGTCTACCATTCTTGACCTCACTCCTCCCTACATTCATCCCTCCTCTAGTGACTCTCTCCCTTAAGCATTTAAAACAGTTGAGATTTTTTCCTAATCAAATTTCTTTGTAAAGTCCTCCTCAACCTATCATTTCTGCCCTATTTATTTCCTTTCTTTCATGTGGAAAATTATTACAAATGAAGTCACTCTACACTTCCTCTCTTCTCTCGTACATCCTGAACTAGTCTGACCTTTTCCTCCCAGATGCCAAGTATTGATGAAGCTATTGGTGACCTCCTTGGATAGCATTACAGGCATTTTATGTTCTTAATTTTGCTAGACTCTTTATGGGATTTGACACTGATAATCTTCATTTGATCTGTTAAATGCTTTCTTTCCTTGGACTCTGTGCACTCCTGTCCCTGAGACATCCTTACCTCCTCTGTAGATGTATTCTCCTTTCTGTGTTTATGTACCTTGGGGCATTCTCTGTGGCCTGCTGTTCTGGCTGTTCATGCTCTCCCTGGGGGGAAATTACTCAGATCCATGCCTTCACTTCCATCCATTCCTTTTTTTTTTTTTCCTTCCAGTGTTGTGAATCAAACCCAGAGCCTCACACATGCTACTACCACTGAATTACACCCCCAGCCCAGCTCCATTCTTTTTTTTTTTTTTTTTGGTAGTACTGGGGTTTGAAGTCAGGGCTTCATGTTGCATCAGTACTGGGGCTTAACTCAGGACTTTCACCTAAAGCCACTCCCCCAGTCCTATTTTTGTAAAGGGTTTTTCTAGATAGGGTCTATTTGGCCAGGCTGGTTTTGAACCACGATCCTCCTGATCTCTGCCTCCTGAGTAGCTAGGATTACAGGTATAAGCCATTGGTGCCAGGACTTCATTCATTCTTTAGTGATACCCAAGTCAATATTTATCACCTAGACCTTTCTGTTGAATCCTCACCCAGAAATTCAACCACCAACTGGATCTCACACTTCAATTTTTAACAAGTCTAAAATCAAATTCCTTTAAACACTGAGATCAAAGACACTGGATAGATAATCTCACAACACATCCTACTTATATCCACTTATTTCATGTCTCAGGAGGATTCCAATCCTACAGAGAAAGGGAAGATTAGATATAAATGATGTTGGGCTATTTGAAAACTAATCAGCTTAGCTTCTTATAACATAAATCAAAGTAAATTTCACAAACAAAAATAATTTTCACCAATAAAAAATTCAAACCATAAAACAGAATAATTTTGCTGTGAACCTATTCAAAAAATAAGGCCTATTTAAAAAAAAGAAACAAATGAGTGTGTATTTATCAAATCTCTGAAGAAGCAAGGAATCTTTAATCTTTCATCCAAAAATGGACAAAATAAAAAAGGAAGAGGGATATTCAGAATCAACAACATAGAAATTTAATTTGTGTCTCAAAAATAAAAACATCTACCTACAATTCAAATTAAAAGACAACAGGAATAGAAGGGGACCAGGAACTAGAGAAAAGGTTAGATCAAGAACAATTAAAAAAAAAAGACAACAGGAATATAATTCAATAAATATGTATAAAGAATTAATCTCTTTAATGTATAAAAACTTCATGCAAATGGGTAAGGAAGATACTAAGACTCTACTACTCTACTAGTTAAATAAATTATGAACAAAAATAAACAAGAGGAAAATACAATAGTCAGCTATAAGGAAAAACTATTCTGCTTCACTAATAATCAAGGAAATCAAAATTAAAACAAGAACTATCATTGCTTGCCTTTCAAACTAACACAGATGTTTGTATTTATCTATTGGCTGGGCTGTCTCCCATACTCAGCCTCCCTCTTTCAGTTCACTCTGCACTGCGGAGTTCTAAGACACAAATTTCACACTGTCACTAGCCTGCTCAACATTCCTTAAAGGCTCCCCAGTAGTAATCAGGAGAAAGCCCAAGCTCTGCGGCCTAGTACATCTGGCAGCTTGCAGTCTGACCTGGTTCTAGTCTCATCTCTCACCGCTTCTCCCATGCATATTTCAGTTCCAGTGATGAGGAACTTGTGTGGACATTTCCAGAACTACTCCACACTCTGATGCCTCCGCCTGTGATGTTACTAGATCTAGAAGACCAACCTTCACCCCCATGCTCAGAAGGCTTTCCCTGATACTGCTGGTTGATCTCCTCTGGATATCCTTATTCATGTCCCTGCTGCACCCTTTTATTCCAGTGTCACAGCATTGAGAGCACATGGTATCAAGATCATTTACATTACTTGTTTTTCTCCTTCACGGAACTATGAGCTCCTTAGAGAACTACATCTTATCATCTCAATAACCCCAGTCCAGAGCCCAGTATGTATGAACGGATGAGTATATGTGAATGTATAGATGGAGGGATAATGGATAAACAGGGCCATGAGCAAGCTGAAGTGAGAGACAACTGAGAATGGGCCAAGTAGGGTGGGTACCTTACCTCCCGAAGGGCATTCTGGGCTGCACAGTACCAAGCCCGACTCACAAGGGAGGCCTCTTTCTGATCTGACAGAGGCAGGAAGCTCAGAATATACGTGAGCATCTGAAGGAAAAAGACAGGGCATTTGGGGGCATTAGAGCTGGGAGGCCTTTGGCACCTACTCCAGCTAATGTCATTATGGGTTTGAGGGCACGAGAGCACTGCTTCTAGTCTATCTTAGATTCAAAGCTTCACAGAGTATTCTCTGTGAGGCCCTCTCCAGCCTCCAGACATCTTTACCATGAATGAACCTTTCCTGAGCCCCATCCAGGTGAGGATTGTACCAACTGGTAAGGATCAAACTTCCTACCCAGTTTAGTAGAAATAACCTGAGGCATAGTGACCAGAAAAACCTACTTCAATCCCTATTCTGCCAACTTACCTTTCTGAGCTTAATCTGTGAAACAGCAATTGTTGTGAGATTTAAAGTGGTTGCTATGAGAACTAAGTTACACATCAGTGTCTTTCACATATCTAGAACACAGCAAGTCAAGTGTTCTTCCTCCTGCCCTCACAGATTCAGCTCTAACACCCCTACTCTTTTCTCATCTTCTCCACTGCCAGCTTGCTTTTTCAGCTAGCTATTAAGCTATGACCCAACAAGACTGGAGGCTCAGGCTCTCCCTCTACCTATGCTGTATGAGGCTGGAAGTAAAGTTGAAGGTCTACAGGGGACTAGAAAAGGCGTTGCTTGTGAGGTCAGGAACAATTTGATCTTCACTCTTCTAGAATCTTCCCTCCTTGAGTCCTATAACACTGTTTACTAGGCCTTCACCCAGCACTTTTAATTTCCCTGTTTCTGTATTCTTCTGTGGCTCCTAGGTTCAGTCCTGGGTCTTTTGATCTTCTGTTTACCTATACAGGAATAATCAACAATTCAGTAGCCTCATATTGTTAAATTATCCAACTGCTAGCCTAGTATTGCCAATTGTCCACTAGGTCCTCTAGTCACCTTAATCTCAATCAAAATTCATATTCTGCCATCAGTCTATCTTTCCCCTTCAATGCCAACAGTACAACCCATCTAAAGGTTCAGGTAATACTTCGAACTCATGTTCTTCTGTCCCTTATTCCTGAGTGCAGGTATAAAACAGAGACTTCAGGTCAGTCTAACCCAGACTCATTTAAGTTCCAGCTCCATCAATCACTTTCTAGCTGTGTGAATTCAGGCAAGGTAGTTAACCTCTCTGAGCTTGTTTCTATAGGTATGAAACAGGCATATTTTAAAAAATCTAGATCAAGTCTTATAGGGAATAGATGGCCCATAAACAGTTGCTAGATTGGTGTTGCTAATACCTTTGAAATTCTACTACCTTAATAACTCAGATCTTTACCACCCCAGACCAGGATTCCTTCCACGACCTATTTGCTTCCAAGTTTATCCTCCTTAATCCATTCTGCATAATTGCAAGGTTAGTTTCCCTAAAAAGCTGTTTCCAGTTTCAGCATAGCATAGGTTTTCCTTGTACTCTCAGAATCAAATTTCCACTCCCAGGTTAGCACTGCTAGGACTCCATGCCTGTTTGGGCCCAGTGGTCTCAGAGCTTCCCCAATCCATCTTCCCTGACATCCAACAAACACAGCATGTCTATTTCCTTTTGCTTACATAGGCATCTTTCTGGATGTCCTTCCTTAAGTTTGACTTCACCAGCACACTCTGGTCTCTCCTTCCCTTCTCAGGTGCTGAGCACATAGGAAATACTCAGCCAATGCTTACTGGGTTAAAGTAAGGATGGACAGTCCTCTATCTCTATTTTCACTAAAGGTTTTTCCAGGGAAGGGGTGGTGAGACAGCAGATTATTGAGATGAGAAAGACTGCACCAGGGAGGGGAGACAAGAGGAACAGAGTACTCATGGGATATGGGACTGACCAAGCCCCCATCCCTAGGGGAAGGCAGGAAAGAACATCTGAGCTAATATAATGGTCATCCTGTCTTTTGGGCTGAACAGTCAATCACAGGAGCAAAGAAAAAGAGGAACAAACCTGTCATCCTTGGGTGGGGGAGAGGGCATGGTTCACTGAGAAGGGGGTGGCCTTTCTAGAGGGAATACAGGAGGCAGTGATGAGGATAAGGTGGCCGTCCCATGAGCCCTATCCCAAGGGGGTACTAGAGATACAATTGGTCACCCATGGGATCTATGGGGATGGATGGATATTCTCTAGGGTCAAGAGGGGGGATACCATTGCAGCAGACTCATTGAAGTGGGAGCAGGCCTGTTTGTATTAAGGAGAAGAAGCATTCCAGGAGTGATGGGGAAAGAGTGTTGTCTCCTTGGGCAGCAGGAGAGGGCTGCCAACCCTCAGGGCAAAAGGAGGGGAGGCCATTCCCAGAAATCACTGGGGCAAAACCCATTATCTCTGGGCCCCATGTGGGCACAGAGGTCTGGTTCTCTGGCTAAGGAGAAGGAGCAAACATCCCATGGGGGAAAGAGGTAGGGGTGGCCATCACTAGATGCTGGGGAGCAAGCTTGGCCTCATTAAAGGACCTCAGAAACCATCCCCAGTGTTGATAGGAACGGACAGTCTGTTTCTCCCTGTCAGGGAGCGAGAGGGTGGTGGAAATGGACCAATCATCCCAAGGGGCCAATGGGGATAAGATTGGTTACCCTTCAAGGATGATGGGATGGAGCAGACATCTTCCAGAACAGAGGGGGAGAGGACGGCCATCTCAAGGGAAGGGGATAGGCAGAGAGGGTCTATCCTCGCTGAGGTGACAGATTTGCTGTCTCCTGGTTCCATTGGGGAAGAAGAGAATGGTCTCCCAAGCTAAGGGAACGAAGTGGCCCCAAAGCAGGGCCGTTACCCAGAGCTTGCAGGTCCTGGGATCTGCCGGGCGGGTAGTTTCCGCCAGGCGGTAAGTGCCGGGCGTGCAGTCTGACAGCCCCTCCCCAAAGCTCCGGACCCCGAGGGCGGAGCAAGTCCGGAGCTAGGCCTGGGGACCGCTTCCTCTCACCTCCAGGGGCAGCAACTCCGCCATCGCATCTCAGCCGCCTCCGCCCCCGCGCAAGGCTTTCTGGGAAGTGTAGTCCCGCAGAGTACGGGGAGGGGCTTGAGAAGGAAGTGGATTCCACTTCCGGCCAAGATTCTGACGTCTTTGGTCTGCACCGGAAGTGTATGGGCTGCCGATGTGGTACTTACAGACTGCTGTTTCAGTTGCTCGCTCTTGTTTTCCCTGCTCCGTGTTTGCTTCGCACCATGGCGGTAAGAAAGGCTCGTAGGGAGGGGTCTGCGCCGGCAAAGTGCTCCCGGGGTTAGGAGTGAAAAGAAAAGAGGAAGGACATAAGGAATGCAGGGTGGGCCAGAGGGAGGCGCCATCCAATGGCCGGACTGTAATAGAGCGAACAGGGTGTGAGGGTGTGGGGGGAAGGAGATGGCCGCGCAGGACAGTACCAGAACTCGTGCCGGAACTAGAGCGTCACTTCTAGATCGCACTATTCCAGCAGAGGCCGGAAAGGGGTGCTATTCAACCCCAAAGCTAGACCTTACCTGGAGAGCAAGACAAGGTGTTAGCCTAGGATGTTCCAGGGTGAGCAAGAGGCTGGAGATGCTATAAAGATGGATGTCAGGCCAGGCGCTGGTGGCTCACGCCTGTAATCTTACTCAGGAGGCAGAGATTAGGAGGATTGCTGTTCGTAGTTAGCCCGGGCAAGTAGTTACGTCAGACCCGATCTCGAAAAAAACCCATCACAAAAAAGGTCTGGTGGAGGGGCTCAAGGTGTACGCCCAGAGCTCAAACTCCAGTACCGAAAAAAAGAAAAAAAAAATGGATGTCAGTTCTATACAGGCTTGGAGAAGGGTGGAGATCCCAGGAACTGTTAGGTTTGAGCACAACGAAGACCTCGCTGAGGTGTAGGTGGAATTCCGGTAGCTCACCAGGCTGGTGTAGGAAGTGAGGACCGTGGCTAAGAAGAGGTCTGACAGCATCTCATCATTACTCTGCAGCCCAAGGGCAAAGTGGGCACGAGAGGGAAGAAGCAGATATTTGAAGAGAACAGAGAGACCCTGAAGTTCTACTTGCGGATCATATTGGGGGCCAATGTAAGTGCCTGCTTCCTTTCTTCTATCCCCATAGGTAGATAGCCCTGTAGACCTCAACCCTGTTTGGTGAGGAGTGGTGAGTGCCATCCAATGGCCAGACTATACTATAGAGTAAGCACGGTGTGTTAGTGGGAGTGTAATTCCTGCCTGCTACAGGACTAGCTTCTGGGAACCTTGAAAGAGGAAAAGGGCTCTTGGATTAGCTAGGAAAACTATTTTGCTGCCTTTGTAGGGAGCTTAGACACCCCCACCCCACCGGCTTTACAGCCAGGGTTCCAGAAGAGATCATTCAAAAAGTAAATGAGAGGCCGGGTGCTGATAGCTTATGCCTGTAATCTTAGCTACTCAAGAGGCAGAGATCAGGAGGATGGGGTTCGAAGCCAGGCCCGGCAAATACTTTGCAAGACCCTATCTTGAAAAACCCATCACAAAAAAGGGCTGATGGACTGGCTCAAGGAGTAGGCCCTGAATTCAAACCCTGGTACTGCAAAAAAAAAAAAAAAAAAAAAAAATGCTTTTGCTGGGTTTAATCCCCAGCGCCATAAAAAAAGTTAAGAAAACAATAAAGGATCTAGGCACAGAGGAAGTGCTAACTAATAAATGCAAAACTTAAACAAAAAAGAAGTAAGCAAGTCCTAGCTGTATTTGACCGCCATCCCTACCCCAGATACACAGGGCTACTTTCTTGGGGTGACTTGGGTATCAGAGTCTAATCTGATTATTCAGACTCAGCAAGCCTTCGTAGAGTTGGGCCCTTCCCCCAACCCTAAGAACCACCTGGTTCCCCCCCACTCCAACCTGGCCCAGTTCTTGGTCAGAGATAAGGGAAGCCCATAGTTTGGGGTAGCTTTCAATACCATCCTGATTCTGTGTTTGCTTGCAGGCCATTTATTGCCTTGTAACCTTGGTCTTCTTCTACTCATCTGCCTCATTTTGGGCCTGGGTAAGTAAGTATTCCCATCCTGGAAAGTGGCTAAACGTATAGAATCAGTGTCTGGTCTTTGATACCTCCATTCTTGCTCTGCAGATGGCCCTGGGCTTTAGTTTGGCAGTATATGGGGCCAGTTACCACTCTATGAGTTCGATGGCTCGGGCAGCCTTCTCTGAGGATGGTGCCTTGATGGATGGTGGCATGGACCTCAACATGGAGCAGGGCATGGCAGAGTGAGTGTCCCCCACCGCCAGCCAGGTGAGCGGCCCCAGGGCTGGGGTGCTGGGGCCTTAGTGCCCAAGACCCACAGCTACTCGCAACTTGAAGAGTGTGGAAGGGAACCAAATTGGGACCCTTCTACTGTTTTGGCAGCCTTCCTTCTGTCCACAGGCACCTTAAGGATGTGATCCTACTGACAGCCATTGTGCAGGTGCTGAGCTGCTTCTCCCTGTATATGTGGTCCTTCTGGCTTCTGGTGCGTGGACTGAGGGGTGCCTAAGAAAGGGTATTTAGCCCTCCCATCTTCATTTTTTGCACCTGGCTTCAAGTTACCTTTCTCTCCTAGGCTCCTGGCCGGGCCCTTTACCTCCTGTGGGTAAATGTGCTGGGCCCCTGGTTCACGGCAGACAGTGGAACCCCAGCACCAGAGCACAATGAGAAACGGCAGCGCCGACAGGAGCGGAGGCAGATGAAGCGGTTGTAGCCATTGACTTTATAGCCACAGGCTGTTGGGCACTGGTTGGCTCTCTCAGGATGCATGGCCCCATGCCTGGTGCAATGAGGGTCTAGTCCAGGGGCCAAAAGCAGCCTGAGGTATAGAATTGTTTAATAAATGGCTTAGAATGTGGATCATGGCTGTGTGGGTGCTAATGAATGACAGGGCAGGAAGAACTAGTCTGATAGTATTCCTTCCTCTTACAGAACCAGCCTGGTGAGAACCCTGAAAAAAGAAAAACACTTTGGGGTTAATTACGAAAACTTTATTTTGCTCCTTCTTGAGTATGGAGCTCACACACACACACACACACATGTACATGTACACACACACACACACATACACACACACATGTACATGTGTACACACACACACACACACACACACACCCTAATACTGTAAGGCACTGGCTGTGGGCCCAGGGTCTGGGACCAGAATTCTGCTCTCTGGGCCTTCTTCACTTTAATCTCTTGCACTGCAGGCTGGGGTCCAGACAGATGTCTCGGAGGCAGCACCTTCACACCTCCAGGCCAGGAGCCTTGCTCAGTCCCAGTGCCTGCACCAGGTCATCTCCAAGCCCACTCTTCAGTGTTCGTCTCACTGCAGGACAGAACAGGGTTGGAGGGGGTTGATGGGGTTAAGGTGGGCAATTGGGCTTTGGGAGGGGTACTCACAAGACTTGCGGTTGCCACGGGAACGCTTCCTTTCCCTAGCAGCTGAGGCTCGAGGACTGCTCTTGGTCACTGACTGTACCAGCAGGTCCATGATCTCATCTGATGTGTCACTGGGTGAACTGGAGCCTGGGGGCTCCTCAGGGGGTGCAGTGGAGAGCCCCACTTCTGTGTGTGTGATTGGAGAGCTGCTCTGAACCATACCTGAGGAAGACCAAATGAGGTCAAGCGCCAAGGTGGCCTCAAAACCCATTCCCTCAGCAGATACAGGTCCTACCTCTGCTGCGGCGGCCATGTGTAGTATCCTCAGGCCTGCTGGTCAGCAGACTCCTCATACTGGCATGACTTTCTGCATCACCCCGGCCTGGCCCGCTGCCCACAGCCATTGGGACAGATGGCTTGCTGGGGACTTCCCCAGCTACGCCTGAGAACTTCTCTGTCTGGAGAGGGGAGAAGGGTGAGCTGGAAGCAGGGGACAGGAGCCACAGGAGTGGCAATCAAGACCTGGAAGGACATCTACCTCTGTGATCATGCGTCCTCGGGTCTTGTTGCGTTCACGGTATGTGGCCCGCTTCTGCTGCTGCTGTAATACCCGTTCCCGGCAAGTCCGATACTCGAGCGCAAACTCTCTCAGTATGTGGCAGAACTGCATGATGCGCACTTCCCGGGCTGCCTGTGCCGTGTAGCCCAGGTAGAGCAGGAAGGCAAAGAACCTAAGCAGGTTGGAGTGGGAAGGATGGTGAGTCCTTCTAGGTGACTGAGGGACAGTGGTGGCAGTCCTGCTCTCCCCGGCCCATGTCCCTACCTGTTGCAGACTCTGCGGTGCACTACCTTCAGCATAGCAACACGGCGGGCACACTGGGTCCGGAAGTGGATCAGGCGGTTACGCAGAGCTGGAGCTAGCTCATGCTTGGCCAAACTCTGCAGGCTTTCCTCAGCTGCATGGGTCCGGCATTCCAGCTGCCCCAGGTTCTCGGTCAGCTGCTCAAAGTCCACCTAGAAAGGCAAGTAGTGTATGTGCTGTCCTCCCATATATGAGACACTGCCTGAGGCTGCCCCTGTGACAAGCTGGCCAGCCTGAGAGCCAGCCTAGGGACACAGCTGAGATTTAGCTGCTGCTCTCCAGAAGCTCACAGCATGGGTGGGATGCTAAGGCAGAAGTCCAGCCTAGGCTATGTAGACTTTGTCTCAAAGAAAACAAACAAAAAGCCAGTTTAATGCAAGATACAAGTCCATTCTAATAGAGAACAAAAAAGTTTTCATTGGAGGAAGGGGCAAGCTAAATAGAAAGACTTGAGTAGTGTGCCAGCCCAAGAAAGGAAAGAGTGCTTCCAGCAGAGGACACACACAGTTCATATACCTGTAGCCTGAGCAAGCCCTGGTACAGCAGCCCAAATGAGAAGAGAGAAGAGCCAGGTCAGGAAGCAGTGCTCCCTTATGCTCTGGTTAGTCTTGGTGGAATCTTTGACTGGTGCTAACCTTGGCACAGCGGGTCAGGGCAGGAATTTCTGAGTAGAGGTCGGAGGAGTCAGGCTGGGTCTGGAGCACCAGGAAGCAGAGATGGTATAGCAGTGACTGGCGGCGCACTGTGTCCTTCACCTCTGACACCTTCTCCAGGTAGCTCAGCTCAAAGCCACTGCTCTGAAAGGACACCATCTGAGCCTGGGTCTGGCTGGCTCCAGAGCCCTGACCCCCCTGAGTCCCCATGTGCTTTCATCCACCTGGGAGCCATTGAGGAAGTTGCCCACAGCCAGCAGGGTAGCCAGGATGCAGCGGAAAGTGGCATTCTGCACCAGCTGTTCCATGCCCACTTTCAGGTCAAACAGTGGCTCTGCAATTTCCTGGTGTGGGAAGACCAGGGTCCCTCAGACTGTATGGTTATCACTCACATATCCCCACCATCTGTCCCACTCCATGACTTAGATACCCGCTCCATGCTGTCATAGTCCAGTTTGAAAGCCCAGAGTTGTAGGCGGGCTGCCAGGCCCCCAATGGAGGCGAGCGTCATCAGGAAATTCTCAGCTGGGCCCAGGGGTACGTCAGGGTTGGCCAGCTGGGCTTCCTCTATCTTCTGCCGCTCTTCCTCCGTGGGCATCATGGTCAGTAGCTTCTGAGGATTCAGCCACCACCCCACATTGCTTGTAAGTACTAGCCTGAGGCCTCCCTAGGTCATTAGGGGGATGCCCCCAGGGCCTGGGGAAAGCCCTGTAGAAACGCCAGGACTATGCCCACCACGGGAGGGGCTGGAAGTGCCCACTGACCAAACGGTCAGATGTCCTAACTCCTTCCCACACCCATTGGGTATCCTCACCTCAATGCCATCCTTGCTGACAGCAAACTCATCAAAGTTGAGCAGGGCAGCCTTAATGACATGCACCGGTGGCAAAGTGGTTAGGCCAATATTAATGGCATTGCTGCGCTTGGGATCCAGCACTGTGGTCATTGTCCGGCGGCCCTCACCAGCTTTCTGTTAGGTTGGAGGAAGGGAAGAGTAACATCAGGAAAGAGACTAGCTGGATGAACAATCTAAGAGGGCCTTTCCTAAATGGTCTTAATGATCCCACAACTGGGGACATGGGACATGTAGGGTATTGAGATGAGCTAAAACTCTACTGAAAGCTCTGCTGATCCCTTGTTGAGAGCCTCAGACAAGTCCTCCTTCCTTTCTCTCAGTTTCCCCATATGGGAAATGAAGAACTAGCTCCAACAGCTCAATCCTTTTGAGTGTGATTGTATTTCCTTTCATCTCTGTTGGTTTACCTTGGAAGGCAGCACATCCTTGGCTCGGGACTCAAACAGGTGTTCCAGCCGGGCTGTGTCTACCGAGACAGGCTCCAGAGAGGCCCACAGGGTGGGGCAGGGCCCAAAGTGGCTTCCAGAGCCCCCTTGTCCCCCAACCAGCTTTAGCTCCCGCCAGAAGAGTTTTACTGTCTTCCTCTTGGTGGGTAATGCCGGGCCATCAGGTGCTGAGGGAGGAAGAGGAGCAGCCAGGGGTGGAGGTGGTGGGAAGGGACCTGTGATGGGTGGGGGAGGTGGGGGTGGAGGAGGTGGGGGGCCTCCAGAGAGCAGGGGCAGTGGGGGTGAGGAAGGTAGAACCCCTTTTCCAGCCTCCATGCTTAATATATCTTGGTCTTCATCCTCCCCTAGATCTGAGAAGTCCAGGTCCCCAATGCAGAGCTTCAGTACACGGGTAGGAAGCTCCTGGATGGGTTCAGCCTTGGGGCTTGTTGGTATTGGTGGCTCCTTGGGCTCTGGCTCAAGGCTTCGCTGGGCCTGGAGCAGAATTTGAGGGACAGGGCTCAGGGGTGTTCTGGGTACGGAGGTTGGCTCTGGGGAGTCCCACATTTCCCGGGTGCCTGAAAGAGAAGCAGCTGTCGGCTTCATGCCCTCTACGGGACAAGAACAACAGGGTGGATTATGCTTTCTATCTACTCACCTGAGGACCCATCAGTCTCATTCATCATGGCCCCAGATAGTGCCTCTGCCCGGCCCTGGGCTAGTGCTGCCTGCTTCTCTGTTTCTGCTGCTGCCACATTCTCCAGGAACCGGGCTCTATGGGGAGGTTACTTAACAGTGAGTGTCTGATATAAATCCAGCTCAGGGTGGTGCACGTGCTTTGCTGAGCTCATGGACACCGCCCCCAATTGCAGGCACACACAGGCACAGTTCATGCACTGAGTAGACCCTGCCTCCCAAGGCCAGCCCTTCACATCTGGGGAGTTACTACCAACCCAACATTCCTAGGCCAAAGTACAGGGAAATGTACTCAGTATCTGGTTTTCCACTGTTCATGTGCACCGTCCTGATGGCCCTTAGAGCAGTGGAAGAGGATAGCTGTCCCAATGGGCACATAAGGCTCCCCCTCCCTTAGCATGCCTGGCAGCTTCTGGGAGGGATGGCGTATATCTAGAAAAGGCCCTGGTACACAGCAGGCACTCAAGTTTACACTGAAATAATAAATGTGACCCAGTTACTCTTTTCTGGATCCTGTAGCCTCTGTCAGTTCTCAGTCCTTGCCTTTCCTTCAGCCTTAGGTTGCTCCACCACCCACATACCATGCAGCACCCTAGATCCCTTCCCTGCCCTATTCCCAAGCTGGATGTCCACATTCCCATCTCTGCTCTAAGCTGTTAAGGTGATCTGCTTCCCAGTGCTTAGGCCTTGGGTTACTAAGGAAGCAGTAGTCCAAGGAGAGGGGAGTCTGAGAGTCCTCCAGCTATAGCTGCATGGGGCATATGGAACCCCTGTTGGAGAAGCAATGCTGAAGCCCTGAGCACAAGGCAGGCCTGGCAGGTTGGCATCTGTACTTACTTTAGCCTGGCCTGCCCGGTAGGGGACTGGGGGACAGGTGGGCTCTCAGGGGCCCTGGGTGTGGGGATGAGAGGAAGAGATGGTAACTGTGGTGCCAGTTCCACTCCAAGATCCACTTGCTTGAACCCCAACCACAGCGGGGAGAGGAGAGGTGAAGTGGCAGAACAAGGGGAAACTGAAGGGGAGAAGATAGACTGACATGAAACCAGACAGAAAAGAAACAGGGAGACAGATGACAAGAGGCAGAGACAGGTGAAACATTGGAAAGAGATCAAGAGAAGCTGGAGGAGGAGGAGGTCATCAGAGCCAAACTTCACCCCCAGCAGTCACTTACCAAACAGGAGCAGTTTGGTGAAGTCTGGAAAGAGAGAAAGCAGGCGTTTGGGCAGAGGAGGCTGAGAGCCCATGGAGGGGCGCAAAGTGGAGGGACAGCTGGAGAGAGGACTCCAGGGGCTGCCTCTATCTCCCTACTTACTTGTAGATGCTCCTCTCACAGGAGCTGTCAGCTGAGGGCACCACAGAAATGGTAGGAAAGAGGTTCACAGAGGTGAGTAGAACAGAGGCAGGGCCCACAGGGCTGGAGGCCGAGCTTGTCAATGGGACAGGACCAGAGGAGGAAGTTGGGCCTGTGGAGCTGGAGGTAGGGCTTGTCAGACCACAGCCCACCTGGCAGATTCACCCCATACATTTATCCAGGCATGTACCCTGCACCTGGCAAATTTACTCTGCATCTACCCAGGCATATACTTACCCAAGTTCTGGGGCACGCACAGGGCAGCCCCCACCTTCCAGTGATCGGCGGCTCTTTTTCCCCTCCTCAGAGGAGGGCTTTCGTCGCTCCCTCCGCCCACCTGCAGCTGCAGCAGCTGCAGCTTCCTCCATGTCCCCATCCTCCAACCGCAGGGCACTCTAACAGGAGGTGTCCAGGATGTGAGCAGTTGAGGCCCAGTAGGTGGGGTAGGTGCTGGGGAAATGCAGCACTCTCTCCCATCCTCCAGCTCCTGACCCACCTCATAGAGCATAAGCTGTGTGCGCAAGTCAACATCAGTACCCGGGGTGCCCAAGTGGCGCTGGACCAGGGCCTCCATGCCCTGTTGCTCCAGTGCATCTGTCACGTCGTAGAACGAGTCCTGGTCAGGGAGTGCCGCCAGCGTCTGAATGGTGGGGATAAGAAGCCAAGGTTGAGGCTGGTGGAAGCCCCAGGGACCCAGAGTTGGCATCTGATTACAGCTCACACCTTGTTGATGAGGGTGACAGCATACACCAGCAATTCTGGGTCAGCACCATTCTTCTCTTCCAGGATAGACACCAGATTGGCCCAGGGAAGCGCCCCTGTCACACAGAAAGGAAGGCAGTCATGAGGGGGCAGGTAGGAGAGGACTCTGGTGGGGGTGGGAAAGATATGCAGATGCTGACCTGTGGTGCTGGCCACACCATTGACTGCCTGGATGAACAGCGGTGCATTGTTCTCAGAATATTCCACAAATACCAGCAGTAGCTTCAGGGCCGTCTTCACCACCAAGCGGGACTGAGGGGAAAAGTCACCACATGCAAGAGGCCTTGGGTCAGACCATACTCACCCCTCCAAGGAGGGAGAAGGGCTCCTGAGGCTGGACCAGGCAAGGAATCTGTGTAGGACTTTGGCTCTAGGCCCAGATCTGGATTCTAGGCTTAGAGGGGTCTCAGATTTACTCCATTTCAGCTTGCTTTGCAGAAGAGGAAATGAGGCACAGAAGGAAGAAATGGGAAAGGGTACATGGCTGGGTAGAGGGGCACTTACCAGGCTGGCACACAGTGTATACAGCCACTGCACCGTCTCACTATGGGCCACCACCCCCAGCATACCGTCCACAAAAAGCATCAGCTGGCCCAGTGCTGGGGACACAGGAATGGGAAGAAGTCAGCAGGAGACTATGGGGGCAAAAGTCACAGGGGAGGAGTGAGGCTGACCTCGAAGGATGTAGCTCTGGTAGTTGTGGTCAGCAGCAGCACCCACACGGATCAGGCAACTTAGCCCTTCTGAGTGCACGAATTCAGGCACCAGGTCCTTATCTTCCTGGAGGCACCATAGGGGAGTTTAGGGAGGCTCAGGCTGACACCCACCCTCAGACCACCTGTGGACCTCACCTGGAAGATCTGCTTCAGTGAGAAGAGGGAGCGACGGAGCTCAGGGCCACTGGAGCCATATAATTTTTCTGCAAGAGGTGAGTGGGCATGAAACCCCCAAGGGGATAAAGACAGTCTTCCTCTGCTAGCACACAACAACCTCCTGCCTCAAAGAAGATTCTAGTATTCTCAAACTTCCTTCTCCATTCCTTGACTTGGCACACCTGCTACCACCACCTCTGCAGTCTATATAAGTTTTTTTTGTTGTTGTTTTTGTTTTTGTTTTTTGGCAGGACTGGGGTTTGAACTCAGTACCTCATGCTTGTTAGGCAGGCACTCTATGGCTTGAGCCACTCCACCAGCCTACCACTGCAGTCTAGCTGTGGCATCAGCCCTGACTATGGAAAGAGAGGTCCGGGGAGAGAGTAGGGGATACATTCAGTCTCCAATCTACTCTGTCCAGCCTAGGCCTGAAAGAAACTGGGCCACCTAGGCTGTGGGTGTATGTGTGTGTGGGGTGGGGTGGGGAGATAGTAGAGGCTGCTAGACAATGAAGCCCTCACATACTCACCTAAAATAGCACTGACCCTCACAGAGAGCTGGGTCCGCAGGATCAGCGTGGGCTTCCGTCCTTTGCTGGAATCAAGCGGCCTGGTCAGCAGCTCCTAGCTCATTCCTCAGGTCCCACCCCACAAGTCAACCAAGGCCCAGCTTTTTCCTTCCCAACTGCTATTCCAAGGGCTCAGAGGTTGTCCAGACAGGAGGGTTTGTGCAAACATAAGTATCTCAGGTATGTGAGAGAGCCCCACTTCCATCCTGGGCAGCAGGTAACACTGGCCAGGCTTTGGGATTCCCCTGGCAGTTCCCTGGGGCAGCAGGAGGTAAACCACAGTCCAGGCTACTGATCGAGTATCTCAGCTGCTGACATCTGAGCTAGTCTCTGCTGGGGGCTTGAACAACACTCATGGAGCTTAAGGGGGAGGGGAATGGCTCTCTGGCCCCATCAGCTCTCACCTGATCTCTTCATAGAAGCCCTCTAGCATTTCCCGCTGCTCTTCTAGGGACAGCTCAGGATCCAGGTAGTATCCAGAGGGAGACACTTGCAGGGCACAGTACTCCAGCTGGGGGCAAAGAACAGTTGTTAGGGCTGGTGCTATAGTATGGATGTTGTATGTCCCCTAAGGGTCCTAGTATTAAAGGCTTGGTTCCCTGGGTGGCGCTACTGGAAAGTGGTAGAACATTTGTGAGGTGCACTTGAAGTAGATTAGGGGACTTCAGCCAGTCCAGTTTTTCTCTTTGCTTCCTGGCTTAAGAGATTTAATATACTCCTGCCACGATGGACACCCTCAACAAAAGCTGGAATAGGGGCACACGATTCTGGACTCAATTTTTAAATTTTTTTATAAGTTAACTGCCTCCGGTATTTCATTACAGTAACTCAAAGCTGACAACATAGCTGGGGAAGAGGTGAAAGGTTATATATGAAAACCATATATGGCAGAGGATCTGTCTATTCCTTCAGCAATTGTTTCTCAAGCACCTACTATGTGCAGAGCTCATCTATCTCAGATGAAGGCTTTCTTGCTCTCTGTCCTTGCCATCTCCTCTCCTGTCTAAAATTCACCTATTGTGTAGGTTTCAGATTAGGTAACACTTTTGCAAACACTTCCTGAACTGTCTAGCCAATGCTGTGCAATCCAATCAACTCCACCCTGTACGTTTTGATCTCTCCTGAGGCTTTCCACACAGCATTATAACATTCTCTATACTATCTTCTTCCTCAATAACTGTTTTTTCTCTCATTCCCTGCTATATCTGCAAAGCCTAGCATACCACCTGACACATAGTAGGTGGTCACCAAACATTTGTCAATGAACACAAATGATTTGGAAGGGGCATGAAGTGAAGATGAGAGGAAGTAGCTGCCTTCGAGGAAATTTCACAGGAGGAAGCTCACATCCGTGTGGAGTGATAAGCTGCAGCACAAAGCATTAAATGCCAAAGTGTTAGGTGTGCAGGGAGAGCCAGGAGCATATATGTATGTATCCCTGTAAGATGATGAGTAGCAGGCCTCAGGGGCTTTGTCCTTTCCCCAAGGGAGCTAGTTACAATGGTCCTAGCTGGACCTCAGATTTTTTGGGTCTGACCCAGTCAGTCTATAGTAGGACCACTGAAACCTGCATGTGTAACAGGAAGGCATGTGTTCCATTTATGTGTATACTTCCCAAGCCTGGCTCCTTTCCATCACCACCAGACATGGCACTTGGCCTCTTCAGAAGTGCTCATAGAAAGGCCTAAATGAGAAGACTTTGGAGACTGAGGGCAGTACTGTGCCTCTTCCAGATACCTCCCCTATAGCACAGTGCTGAGCCAAGTCCCCTCTCTTTGAGTGAGTTTGGCCCTTGAGGTGCCAAACTTAAGAAGAGCCCACCTCTGGGGAGGCAGGGGGGTCTCTGGTCTCCATCTCACTGGGCAAGCCAACTCCAACATTTGTCCTACTGTTTGGTCAGCCCTGCCCTGCTCCGGACCCCACCCAAGGGCTTCTAGCTGCGCTTGGTCCCTGAGGGTAAGCTCATGCCCCTGCCTCTGTTTAGCATCCTACTCCTGCCTCAGAGTCTGACCTGGCTTCTTCCTGGCAGTTCAATTGTGGGGCCTTGGGTGACTCCCCCCTCTTGCCTGGGACATAGGACAAACACTCCAGCCTATTCTCTGTCCCACTTCCTGCCTGGCTGCCTGCCCTCCCCTGGGCGCCTTGGGCGGGCCTGGCCTCTCTCCCCTCCCATGGAGCACAGTCATCTTCTCCAGGCCTGAAAGCAGGCAGCAGGGCCCTAGGACTGAGGTATCTCACCCAGGGCTAGCTTAGCTGAGGGCAGTTTCATATTCCTCCTGATCCCTCTTCCCACATGGTGACTCAGCAGCCTACTCACCCCACCCCCATCTGGACCCAGGTGCATCTCCCTGTACTTCAGACTTGAGAATTTGGGGACCCTAGAGGAACTAACCTCCCCCAGAGTTTCACCTCCCTCCTCAGAAATACACACATGTAGAACGGCTCATTCTTTCGAACTTTCAGGAACCAGGTTGGCTTTAGGTACAGAGAGCATAGCAGGAATCAGACACTGTCTCTGCCTTCCCTTCCTTCTAGCCCAGTGTGGGGAGACAGTCAGGCTTGACTCAGAAAAAACTCAAAAAATAAATGTCAAATCACATCGTCCATGGGCTTTAAGAAAGAAAGGGGAGGGGCAGACTGCTATAAAAACTGTAAACAATGGAGGTTGATCATACTATACCTAATAACCACTAACACACCCAGGTATATAGTCAGGTATGGCTGTGTACAGGGCCAAAGTTGCATATACACAGAAGTTAGGCCCTCCTGCACACACACTTACTTCATGCTACCTGAGCAGAGAATGACTTTCTCATTCCAGTATACCAGCTGGGGCAGGGAGCTGAAAGTTAAGTGCCTACCTCCCCTGCCTCCTCAGCTGAGCAGGTTTAACCCTTTCCTACATCATGGTAGAAGTGGCCTCCTCAGTTCACTAGTCCATCCTGCCTGGGCTTCATTTCTGGGAAGAAGGCCCAGGGCTTAACTAACACCCAGCCCAGTGCCTCCAGGACAGTGTCCCTGCCCCTAGCTGTCCTGGGGTGGGGGCAGAGGGGGCAGGGTAAGGGCTAGGGTCAGGGCAACAGCAAAAACAGGAGACTTCCTGCTAGCAGGATGGTGCTTATCCCTCACACTCCTGGCCTCTTTCTGGGGTCACAATTCTGAGAGCCAAATTTCTGGGCCTTGTTTCTCACACCCTGGGCCAGGGCCAGGGCTGAGAAAGCTTAAACCCTGGTTCCTTGCTGACACTGCTTAGGGTCAGCACACAGTATGGGCCCACATTCTTAGCTCTATGCTGGCTCTTGTCTTCTTCACTTCTCTGGTCTCTATCTTGGGCAGGCCGGTAGAGTCCCTCCCACATTCTTTCCAGGCTTGGCTCCTCACTTCAGCCTTCAGCCCACTTTTCTCTTTATTCTCAGGCTCAGGCTTTTCTGGTAGCTCAAACCCACTGGTTACATATATATATATATATATTTTTTTTTAATTAAAATTTTTTTAGGGCTGGGGGCATGGCTGAGGTGGTGCCTGCCTAGCAAGCTCAACACCCTGAGTTCCCACCCAAAATTAAATTTAAAAAAAATTCGTGATCCTCTGCCTCTGCCCCCTGAGTGCTGGGATTACAGATGTGTTCCGCCTACATACAGTTTTACATGCAGGATCAAGCTTCGGGGACCATGGTGTCTATTCAGTATTTTTCTAAAGTTTTTATTTATTATTTTTTGATGGCACTGGGGTTTGAACTCAGGGTCTCATGCTTGCTAGGCAGGCACTCTACCAGTTGAGGCACTCCATTAGCCCTTTTTGATATATATTTTTTTTCTTTTTTTTTTTTTCCTGAGGTAAGGGCTCTTGAACTATTTGCCCTGGGATGGCTTCAAATCACGATCCTGATCTCTGCCTCCTGAGTAGCTAGGATTGCAGGTGTGCTGGCTTTTTTTTTTTTGGTGGTGGTGGTGGTGGTACTGGGATTTGAACTCAGCGTCTCATGCTTGCTAGGCAGGCACTTTGCTGCTTGAGTCACTCTGCCAACTACTTGCCTGGGCTGGCTTCAAACCACAATCCTCCTGATCTCTGCCTCAGGAGTAGCTAGGATTACAGGTGTGCCGTTTGTTTGTTTGTTTGTTTGTTTTATTAAATAACAGTGAAATCAGATGGGAATGAACATGCTGGGGTAGGGTGCAAGGAAAATCGAGGAAAGGGCAAAATTATATGCTAAAGGACTTGGGTTGGAGGCATGGCTGAAATAGTAGAGTGCCTGACTAGCAAGCACAAAGCCCTGAGTTCAAACCCCAGCACTGGGAAACAAAAGAAAAACAAACAAACCCAAATCAAACAAATAAACAAAAACCCAACAACATAGTGAAGGACTTTTGTTTTTAGGAAATAATTGGTCCATTGCTTCTTTTGATTCCTTTCCTGTAAACACAGAACCCTGTGCTCTGAAGACCCTCCTTTCCTGATACGATGGGTATCCAGCTAGACTGTGACTTCCTGGATGAGATGATATGGATGGGTCCTGGGGAAGGAAATCAGCCTTTGTTATGCCTCCTCAGTGCCAGATACAAGACTGCCTATATATTTGATTCTCCTGATAATCTTTTTATAGGCGAGTAAACCAAGACTCAAATTCAGTGAACTGCCCAAGGTAACACAGCCTAGAATGGAACTAGGGCTAAAGATCCCAGATCTTGGATGAATGGGCCTTGGAAGTGCTCCAAGGAACCCAGAAAGGCAGGTGGAGTTACAGCTGAGGCCTACAGTGCTTTTCAAAGGCTAGAGACTGACCCTTAGCTTCCTGGACTCTGCAAATACCCCAAACTGGTCCTCCCAGTTCCAGCAAGGGAACATGAAGGAAGGTACACACACACACACACACACACACACACACACACACACACACACACCTGCACGTGCTAGGGTAACAATGTCTATCTCTGCCAGGACTTAGGTCTAGGGTCCCTCACCAGGCTGCAGCCCAGCTTCTCTAGCCCAGAAGATCAGTAGATGGAACATGCTGGCCCACAGGGAAGACTGAGAGGCTAAGACTCATGCTCCCACCTGTCTTTCAAAGAGACTTAGCAGAAGACTAAAGAGCTCTGTTTATCACCAAAGCACCCTGTACCCTTAAGAACTCTTGGGTGAGAGGATGCAACTTGGTGGTAGACTGCTTGGCCTTGGATTTGATTTCAAGCACAGAAAAAAAAAAAAAAATCCTTAGGGACTCCTCCTTCAGTTGGTATCTATCCCTGCAAGTTACATCTGAGCCACCTCTTGCTATAAGGGCTCCTGAGGGGTAAACAGAGGCTGAGTGGGTTTGAGTAGGGTCAGAACATATTCAGGCACAGTGCCACCCTTGTCTTATGCTGATCTTTAGCCACAGCTAGTTGGGGAAACAAAATTGCTGGTAATGAACAGATAGCTAGTGCCATCCTTGCTGCCAGGAAAAGGAGACTCCTAGGCCTTTTGCCCCAAGGTCAGAGAAGCATTCCAGGTCTCTCGGCCTAGAGCCCAGAGAGAAGTCAGTGGTATCTCAGATACGGTACAGACTTTGAGTTTCATGAAAGGTTTCTGAGATAACCTCTTAGAAGGGAAGGTGGGTCTAGTAGCTTAGAATTAGGAGATAAGGTGCTGGAGGGTCAATTCTTCCCTGGAGCAAGGACAAGTCCTTGGGCCAGGGAGAACCTCTGGCATAGATAAAAGAGAAAGACACTCCTGAGTTTTCCTGGGGACACTAGGCCTGGCCTAGGGCACTGCCAGGCTCCCCCCATCAACCAGGCCAGAAGATGAGTCAGAGGCTGTGGCCAGGAGCTTCCTCCTAGACTTGGAGGAAATGAGCAAGGGTTTCTCAGGCAGGCAAGTTCTGAATGGTTTAAAAAGGCAGCCCCCTGGGGAACTCTAGGTCCAATAGGCTGGTGGTGGGGCACCAGGGAGAATGGGTCAGCCTCTGTACATACCCAGGGAGGGTGCAAGGTCTGCAGGGATAACTGAGGCCAATGCCCAGAGTAGGAGAGCAGAGCTTTTTTGGTTATGACTTATCCTCTTCTGGACAACTATATACAGGATGAATCACTGGGTATAGAACCCCTCTCTCTTGTTTCTGCCCCAGTCTGGAACAGGGCTGCCTGGGTCTCCCCACCATCAGTCCCTTCTAGGAGGCTAGCAAGGCAGATCTGAGTCATGTCTGTGCCTCTGGGGCACTCACTTATAGGACTAGGGGAGGAACCAGCTGTTGACATTTCCTGCAAGGAAGAGCCCTGCTCCCCCTTCCTCAGCTCTCTGATGTCCCTGCTCCTGCCCTATTCTCAGTCCCTCTTCCTCCAGCATTCTATTCTGGGTCTGTGGTCACAGTTTATATTTGGGACAAGCACATCACAGTGCATCTGACCATTCCTGGCAAAGCTGTCAGCCCCAGGGAGTTCTGGCTCCAAGAACTGTGGTAATTTAGTGTGCCTTCCTCAAATCCTCCCAGTGGGGGAAGGGGCAGTCCTCAGGTGCTCCAGGTGGGAAATCCTGAACATGGTCATACCAGAAAGTACTGAGTTGGGGATGGAGAACTTAACACATTGTCTATGGAGCTCAGTAGTATCCTCAGCTAGGGAGCAGAGAACAGGGCAGACACAGCACGTGGTGGGGTGGGGAGACAGTTTTCTTCTTTCTTTTTGCGGTAGTGGGGATTGAACCCAGGGTTTGAAGCATGCTAGGCATATGTTCTACCAACTGAGCCATGACCCCAGGGGGGAATTTTTCTCTTTCTTTCTTTCTTTCCTTTTTTTTTTTGTGGTGCTGGGGAATGAATCCAGGACTTGGCATATGCACTTGCAGGTGATGGGTTCTGAGCCCCTAGGCCTCCTTCAGTAGTGAAGAGGGGTGTTCTGGAGTGGGGGAATGAGAGGAATACTATCCCATTTAGAGCTCCAGCCTTATTTCTGCCCAAGGAGTTCCAGAAGCCTGGAGGCTAAACTATCTCAGTTCAGCATCCCTTTCTCCAGTTGTCCACCTCCTGAGTGAAAGATGACCTCCGGCTTTTTCCAGGCCCGTCAGAACAGGGCAGGACAAGCGAGGCTACATGAAGACTCTAGAGGTGTGTTGCATCCTTCCAGTTGTGGACCTAAAGCAGGGGCTTTGCCCGGACACGCGCCACTCCCCAGGCCAATAGTCTCTCGGCCCCTCCTGCCCGCAATGGGAGGAGGGGCTGGCCGCAGCGCGAGGAATGCAGGATGGGGGCCCGACGCCCGGGGCACATTCCAAGGGAGACCCCGGGCCCAGAGGTCATGTTTGCGCAACTCAGCGTCCAGCTGAGGCACCCCACAGACTCCCCACGGCCTTCCCCACTACTTGCAACGGATAGCTGGTGGGGAACCCTGAGGGGGAGGGGGGAAGCGGCGGCACTGCGCCGCCCAGAGTCCAGGCCCGGAAACAGCGCTCCGGAAAGGGCTGCTTGCGGGGGGCTGCAGGCAGCGAGCCGGAGGAGAGGGGAGGTCCGGCCGGCCATATGGAAAAGGACCTCTTCTGCACTGCAAAATCGGCCTCGGGGCGCCGGCAAACTAGGGCAGGCCCGCGTTTAAAATTAGCCGGGCCCGCCCCTCCCTTCCAGGCACGGGCCACCAGCGGCGGGTGTACCAGGTGGTGGGGGGTGGTGACTCAAAGGGCTTTTCCAACGCTGCAGCCTCCCGCGCTCCGCATAACCGGGGCCTGCCGCTTTCTGGGAACTCCCCTCACCCGGTGGAGTCTCCTGGCTGACACTCCTAAGCCAAGCTCTCACCAGCAAGGGGGAAACTGTATCCCAAGGACCCAACCCACTCCCGGACACTACTCCAATACCTCATCTCCTCTAGTGGCCCGCCCGGGTCCGCCCTTCATCGTGGTCCCGCCCCCACCTCACCTGAAGCAGGTGGAAGCTGGCCCCTCCCCAGCTCCGCCTACTGCCTCAACAGTCACCGTCACCCAGTCTGGGGCAGCAGCCTAGGCAAACAGCAAGTAGACTCCGAGCACCTCTTCAGGGGGGCCTCACTAAAAGGGGCAGCCAGGGAGGCACAGATCACAAACTCCCATTTCCCTTCTACAGTTTCCCCTCGACTTGGACGCCTACCCCGCCCCGCCCCGCAAACGGAGCAGTGTAGACCGTGGGACCTCAATCCAAGACTTTTCGGGAGGAGAGCACCCGCTACAGCCTATCCCAAAGAAGTACCTCCTACCGGCTTTCATGGTGCGGAACCTGATCCCCCCTATCACCCCAACCTTTGTCCACAATTCCCTCACCTTGAGTGGCGCTCCCAGCAGGCGGTGTAGTGCCGGTATCTGCGTACTCAGGGGCAGAGCCCCATCTAGGCTGCAGATGGGGGCCCGGCGCGGCTCCGGGAAGTTAGCACATGCGAAGGGGTCGCTGTCTTCCAGGTACTGCACCCTCACGGTCACCACTGATACGGGCTCCCCGTCCTCGCCCGCCATGGCTCTGCCAGCCGCTCGCACTGCGCGCCTCGGTGTCCCTGTCCCGCTGCAGTTTCGACCCCAACTAGCTTGTAAGCTTTGGGCCGGGCCGGACCGGACGCTGTAGGAGAGGCGGAGCCAGGTGGAGGCGGGGCCGAAGGAGAGGGTGGAGCCAAGACTTGGCCCGCCGCGCGCGGGGGTGGGGGAGGGAGGTAACTTTTGCCAGGGGCGGGACTTGCGCCAGCCACTCACAGAGCGCGAGTGATCCCGTTAGTTCCCCGGCTAAGAGGGCGGGAAAACCCGAGCTCGCGCCCCGCCTTGGAGAGCGCAAGAAGAGGGAGATTTTTTGGGGGGTTTGGGATAAGTGAGTCTGAGCTTCTTTGGGGGATTTTAGGGCAAGAGGACGGAAGTTTGGATAGTCTACCTCAGCCGCGTCTCCCTCAGTTTAGGGACGAGATAAGCCTAATTCCTTCAGTTTGAGAGATCAGTGGAAGTTATTTCCTTTACCTCGGAGAAAGCAATGAGAGGAGTCTCTTTCAGTTTGGAACAAGAAGTGAAAATAGATTTCACTGTTTGAAGGAAGAGGTGGGATCAGTTCCCTCTAGTTGTGGGAAGAAGAGGGACGGATGCCCTTTCTCAAAAAAGATTGGGATGAGTCAGTTTGAGGAGGCAGGTAGCACATGTTTGGAGGAAGAAGTGGAAATCATGCCCCTTAGCTTGAATGAAAAGTGGAGACAATCCTCCTCTGTTTGGGGCCAGATGTGCCGAGTTCACCCAAGGCTGGGTGGATCGCTCCTGGTTTAAAGGGAATTCCATAGGTTCCTTTCAGTTTCAAGGAAAGGTGAGTAATGTCTCCTGTAGTTTGAGGGAAAAGGAGAGTGGTGCCCCTCGGTTTGGGAAAGAGTAGGAACAAACAGCCTGCTTCGCAGCCAGGAATGAGCTGGGCCTAGTCCCGGCCTTGGGGTCCTGGGGACGTGGTGGCAGCGATGTACATCACGGCTTTCTGGAAGCTCCCAGTGCGCGTGCGCAGCTGTGGTCGGGGTGGGGACCCGAAGGGGGTCTCAGGTTTGGGAGAGCAGCGCGGAAGACGGCTGCGCACTGCCCCCTGCTGTCTGCACGTGGCGGCGCTGGGGCCCGCAGCCTGGGCACCTGGAGCAGGCTGCTCGCCGCTGGGCAGCACTCGACGCGTCCCTCCCCGCCGGGCCCTGTCCTCAGAACTCCCGCGGCGCGCTGTCCCTGGGGGGCGGTTGCCGCTTACCTCTCTGAATCCCGGCGAAGGGAGGTTTGGGGAAGGTTTGGGAGGATGGACTCGAAGGAGTAGGTTTCGGAACTCGGGGAAGGGCTGCGCTAGGGAATTTCCGGAGCTGGGACTAGTCTAGAGGCGATGGAGGAGGGGATCGCGACTACCGGCGTCCGAGGCTGGGTCTCGGAGTCCGGACCTGGCTTGGGGGGATCGGAGCCCCGATTGGGGGGAGCGGGTCCCACGTGCCTGTGACGCGGGGGCGGGAGCAACC